ATATTGTATACTAGTTTCATTAATTTTAAATAACAAAGCTTTTAATGAATTCCAACTGTGGTAAGGCCACGCAACAGTCTTCGCTGTTACACAAATGGACAGGTCCGTCCGGGTAAGTACCACGACCACACAGAAGGACGGCGCGAAGTAGAAGTGCTATACTTCTGCATTTCGTCTGGTGAATGAGGTAGCCGGGGCCCACTTTATTAAAAGGTGGCAACACATCTGCAACCCTACGGGTGTTGCAAATGTCCATGGGCGGCGGTTATCATCAGGTGAACCGAGCTCGCTTGGCACTTTCTCTCATAACAAAAAAAACATATGTGATACGCAACATTTTGTCCAGTCAAATAGTTGAATAATTGATTAGAAAAATTACCTTAACTTAACCTTAAAGCCGCAATGAGCAGATAATAAAAGGTTGAAATAAAAGGACACATTTGTACAGTATTTTTCCTTTTATTAATTCAGGAATTATTTATTTTTTTGTATTAATATAATATCATAGATTCATTACAATGAATATAGTTCAGCGGGTAACGAGGCGTGGTGCACTCGGGAAAGCGGTACCCGACCGCCATCCGTGAGCGCAAGATAAAATAGTTACAAATAAACTTTAGATAATCGTCAACAATAGCGCACGCAAGTAACTTTCCAACCATTTCACAACAGATTCGTGCAAACGCTCCTACCACAGATAACGTAAATTGTCTAAAAAATCATAATAAAAAACGGAATCATCGAACGGTTCTTTTTTTTTTCACTTTCAAACTCGACAAGCGCTCGGTGTGGCCAGTGCGAGAACACATACATAGATCTAACGTCGTAAGTAGACATACAAATTAGTCGCAACAACTACACAGCCTCGAAGGATATTGATACGTAACGTATTTTAAAATTAGGTCGTCGTTAGTGCGCCTACCAACTACGTCGCATCAGCGGAGTATACAACTTGGTCTTAAAAGCGACAGCGCAGCGTGACCCGGGATCGAGATACTCGACAAAGACAAATGACGTCACATCCGTATGCTAGTCTATGGTATCCACAGGAAACACGTGCGTCGCTCTACACTATCTTAATGCAAACACTCACCTCCTATATAAACATTTTTAAACAACGCCACAGGTGCCTAGTAGGATTCCGCTAACCTTGCAATCAACTATAAGTAGAGTGCGCAATTGAACATTCCCAAACATTCCCGATCGCAGTGGACCTTTCTAAACGACAGCGTTGCAAAATAGGAAAAAATTCTCACCTCTGCTAGCCCCAAAGCAACGGGCTCAAAACGTTTAAAATTACGAATCGGCTTACACGGTACAGTATAAAAAGATGAAATACACTTCTGTTTTCGAACCATCACCCCAAATTACGCCATGACACCCAGCTGTATCCACGGTCACGCACTCCAAGACCGACGCGAAGACGCAGAATCTGGTTAGGTAGTACAAAAGCTACGATTGCCCCTACATGAAATGGCGTCGATAGAGATGCGCGTCATGAATCCACGACGCAAAATGACGAGCTCCCACATGAGGGTACACACCAGGTATAAACAACGCGGGAATACTCAAAACTCCCGCCTACCTTTCCTACGTTACATCGAAAGAGTCTACGTACAACGCTACACAACGAAATTATCAAATTCAACCACCGATTTATGTGAGGGATCACTTAACGCATCCGGCGTGTTATGTAACGGAAGAAACTTTGCCAATATTTACGATAGCCCAGTAACTTAACAGTGAACTCGAGTCTTCTGGTGATACTTGACATGACTGAATTCTCGTACCACGCGCAGATGATGCCAAACGCGGCCTCACACCATAAACTGTCAGTTTTAATGATATATTCTGCTCATTTGGCCGTTTTGTTTTTTTTAATTGCAGACAATGACAATCATTCGTTATTTCACATTTGTTGTATCTGTCACGTGGGCAAATCAAGCGTTACGTACACGCTAATAAGAATGAGGATTGTGGCAAAATAGCAACCACTCTATTCCAAAGCCTTATGAAGTGACAAGCGTCAACAAAGTTATTGCAAAACATCAAATCAATTCACATTCACTCGACCTAATCAGATTCAGACACTCGAGTATAGTACTAATATTGAGGAGTAACAATTCTGCAGTCTTAAAATGGCCCATTAAATACTGCACGAGGTGCCGTGCCAATTCAGTTATTGTCCGGCCCCGTAACAAACAAATGTATTACAAAATGCATTCGTCTAAAAAAGCGAATCACAATACTGGGGTATAATTGCTAAATAAAGGAATATTTTAAGGGACGAGATGAAGCTTAACTCTGAAGGAGCAATTTCACTAAATTATTTCGTTGCATATCACATCGAAAGCCGAATTATTGTTCACTAGTGACGCGTGAAAAATATCAGAATAGTTAATCGCGGATAAATCAACACCAAAATCGGTAATAATACGGTTCTCGAATTAACAAGTACCAATAAAATAACTGTTTAAAACTTGTACTGATGACCATAAAATAAAGCAATCTAAAACAAACTAGAAATGGAAATGATAAGAAGACTCCATCGCGTTCGGTCCAATTCCGCACTTCTCGCATCCCGCTCAGAAAACTATACAAGACAACATCGAAAGTAAAATAACACACGAGAAACTTCTCGAAGGCTCGATTAGGCTTCATTTTACAGCAGATTACAGCAGTATGTTCCGCCGCCAAGCGTTCATAACTTGTATCATATATCAAATATATTATTATTTATCTATAGGTTTAAATACACATGTACACATCAACTTTCAGAATTAAAGTATCATTTATTTATTTTATTTCGCTATCACTGAAAAGATACATTATATACTTGATAACAGATAACGGGCCTTGCGCGTCGCGTGTACGCGAAAAAAAATGAATATGTTGAACAAAAATAACGAAAATTTACGGAACGAACATCACTAACTTAACCGCTCGAGGAATAATGCTTTAACAGAGCTGGCATTCGTTAGAGAAAAAAAAAATTGCTATAGTGCGAATGCTGCAAATCTAATTTTGCCAGTGGGCAACACCCATTCCGTAAACTGGCAACACTGTACCGCCGGACGTCAGCGGGACGCGCACGCGACGCGCTCGGCCACAAACAACAGCGCCTAAGAAAGAGATAACAATTATTTCAGGATAATAGGTATCCAACAACAGGTAGGCGTTAATATCAGGTAGATTATCAACTAGATGCTATATAAAACCGCTTGCTGGGAGACCTCCATGGCCGGTCGCTATTCGTTCCCCGTTGTACCGGTGTCCCGGCAAGCGTGCGATCTAAAGTAGTTATTGTTCCGGTTGCGTGGACAAAGCGTCCCCCCCAAATTTCTAAACGATACCAGCGCGTTTATTTATTCAGTCATATATAAGGACCATTGTAGCTCAATCGATGAATACATTATGCAAAGTAGTCGGTTACATATTTTGGGTGCCAATTTTCCCCAGCTCCCGCCCCCTTGTACGTGACAAATTTATGGACGCTACATCGACAGCTGATCGTAGTTTACGCGCGAAATGGAAATGTCGTGAAGCGTATCGAGTAGAAGAGCAGAGATTGCTTTTTTTTTTCTTAATCATAGACACGACGAAACGATGACCCCTATATTTAAGTATACATAGTGTACAATTGTTTGCTTTGGAATAACCATAGTTTTTTTTTTATTATTATTATTATTATATTCGTAACCATTGTAATATCGAGAATAGGAATCGATGTTGGCTTCAAACATCGACTTTTCCCGTAACATCAACACACCCATCGATTAGAATCAACAACAACAATATACACAAGTGAAATGCACAAATCCGCACAAGCTGAGAGGAAATTTAACGTGCAAACGAGGCAGCCGCCGAATTTTCTATACAGGATTTATTTTATTTATGTACAATTTAACTTAAACTTAAACGGCGAATCAACTTGTATCAGAATTACTGCGGCTTTATACAATAAATAATACCAACTAAAATATCCATTCTTCTCAGCCGACACAATTAGTTTTCTTCCAAATAATTAATAATTATAATTATACAAACGAAAGTAAATTAAGAAATAACAACTGAATTAACTGGTCAGTTTACGAACAATCATTTATATGCATTATAATATATTCTTAACATCGTTATTAAATCATAACATAATTATATATGTACGAATTGACTACACTAAATCTATCAAGGAAAATAGCGGTAAATGAATATTAATAAATTACTAATAATTAAAAAACTAATAATTTACACAAAAAATAACAGTTCTCGCCGAAGCGTTTCAACATCGAAAAGTAATGGAATTGTTTCACTATACACTAACTATACAAAACTCTTAGCATAAATCAGGCCTTGACATGATGTAACGCGAAAATAGCAAAGCGTTCGTAATCGATAAAATTGTTGATAAAAATGTTCAGTTCGGAAAACGAACATTATTCATTCAATTGAATTTAATGCCCTAAAATAATCAATATTCGACACAACATAACAAAACCGAATGTAATTTAATATTGCTATATAAAATTTTATAATTTAAAATAAATACTTTCGATGCGAAAATGGAGCATTCACCTTCATTGCTTAAATGAATAGAGGGAAACATTGATATACTAGAACTTTAGTTTTCTAGTTTTCAAATATATTATTATAAAATTATCAATTAATGAATAAACGTTCCTAGTAACATCATCATTTTGTTCGTTGATTTCCATTCATTTGTAATTATTCAGCTACATTCCACATCCTCCATTTTGCCGGACATAGACCTTTTAAACGTGCAACCATAGATAATATGTCGACCTTCCACATAATTGAGGCGAAAAATCTAATAAAGGCAATACTCGTATTTACATTTAAACGTTGAGTGTTAGGCAAAGGTGACGAGCGGACGAATATTTTCAGAAATAAAATTCCACGCCATCTAGCGGCGAATCGATCGAACGCGAGCGTAAAACGTTTCCAGTTAAAGCCGGGACGAAAAGTCTCGCGGAGGCGGGTCACTTCTCCTGCCTGGATATTGCCAGGGCTAGCTGCAGCTCGGCGTCCTCCTGCCTCCGCCTCGCTTCCGCCTCTGCCTCGAGCCGTTTCGACTCGGCCGCCGCCCACGCCCACTGCTGCTCCTCGGAGGGCAGCAAGTCCACGCTCTTCGCTTCGGTGGGCTTCGATTTCTTCTCCTTAGCATGCCGCGCCCTGCCGATGCCGCCGATCGTGTGCACCAGCGACTTGGCGTACTTCACGGGCTTCGGCGACTTCTCCTTCTTCGCGGGCAGCGTGGACGTGGGCCAGGTCTCGTTGAGGTTGCTGTTCGCGTCCTTGCCCCACTCCGACGCCCAGTTGTCGTTCTTCGCGGACCAGCTGTCGGCCTTGCTCGCCCAGTTGTCGGTCTTGCCGGCCCAGTTGTCGGTGTTGCGCGGTCCGGTGGACCAGGCGTCCGCCTTGTCCGGCTGGGTCTGGGGTTTGGGTTGGGGCTTCGGCTGGGGCTGGGCCCACGCGTCGTCCGCCGCCCAGTTGTCGTTGGGCCAGGCGGCCCACGCGTCCGCTTCGGCGTCGGCGCGGGCGAACGGGTCGCGGCCGAGCGGCGGCGCGGAGACGCGTCCGCCGTTGACCGCGGCCGCGGGCCAACTGAAGCCCGCCGCGGAAGTGGGCCGAGCGAACGGGTCGCCCCCCCTTTTGGAGTCGACCACGTCCGCGAACGGGTCCTCTATATTGAACGGATCCTCGTATCTGTAGTCTTTGAAGGGGTCATCGGTGAATTCCATCGGTTTCGCGCGCGCGCTCTGCACGCAACAAAGTGTGTGAGTGGGGCGGGCGTATGTTCGGTGTGTGCGTGTGAGCGAGAGAGAGAGAGAGAGAGAGACAGAGGGGGAGGGGTGTACGCACGTGGGGGCCGGCCGCCGCGTCCGCTTAGCGCTGCAATGTGGGGACAAGCGAGCGTGTTAGCACGTTAGTGACACGGCTGAGCGTGACGGGGAACACTGTGCGACGTCGGTTGTGTCAGAAACCTTATATTCTGCCAGTTAAGCTTTCTACGTCGCATCGACACAAGTTTCTGTATGCACTATAACATTAGTTTTATTTAAATACACCTAATCTTATAGCGTGCGAACACTGAATATATTTATTTACTTCTATTATAATAGTGAATTATAATAGTGACTCAACGTCCCACTACGATGTTTTCAATTTAGACACATACACATCACACAGTGTTCCGAAAGACAATACAGAAATATGTACATATATTATTATTGATTAATTGTTAACCAACAAAAAAGAAACGAATAAACGAAGAAACGGAAGAACAAATAAAATAATACGAAAGAAAATGGGATGGAAGATAACGAGACAACGCAACCAAGCAAAAACGTTCACTCACTAATGGGTAGCATTATAATTAGTATTATTACAGTTAGAAGCATTATTAATACAGAGTTATTAGTATAACATCATGCAAGCGTTTTTATCTAACATGCGACCAATGAATCAAAATGCTAGGAAGATACTTGGTATGACCTTGTAAGCTGAAACGACGATGATGTTCCAACATCACTACTTAATATTGTCTATGTGAACGTAAGTTTGTTTGTTCGCTTTCACGCCAAAACTACTCAACCGATTATCGTGAAACTTTGTACACGTATTCTTAGAGGTACTAAAAGGACATGGATTCATTTTATTAAAAAAAAAGATATTTATTTAAGGGCTTTAACGTGAGCGAAGCCGCGTTTAAAAGCTAGTAGTACGATAATGTTGCTACGATTACGCAAGTTCCGCTGTAGGATGATCAACTCGCCCGAGAGCAGACCTCAAGGTAGATCGGCATGAAATGGACTATACTTTCATCTGGTTGAGGAAACGATTTATTCTTTTTTGGAACTTTTTATGGGATAACTTTTAAACTTTTTTTTTGATGAGACCTTTTTTTATGGCAAACAATTTTAAGCAATTTTAACTACCACCACCCATAGTCATATAGAACGTCTGACGGATAGCAGATGCGTTTAAAAAATTAACTGAAAATATTTAACATTAGGCTCCGGTTAAGGTAGAAATTGTATTTAAATGTAATTGTGATAGGTTCAAGTAGATTGACAGATAACTTTTTTCTAAATTGAAAATCCATAAGTAATAGGAGGACATTAGAACATAGTCAACCACGCGACCACATTGCGGGTTTGTTTTTCAACAATCAACGTGACAATTCAGCGCTCAAAATTGACATTTCCTTTGGTGGTGATCTATTTCGTTCGGCACCAGGGATCGAACTCAAGTCGCTCGAGTATATTGAATTCAAAGGCGAGCGCCCGGACACACAGCTGCCGCGGCCCTAGGTCATCATAGATACATCGTCGTCTTACAATTAGGAATTAATGGAACTAGGATCTAACCAACATCTGCATACAACCTACCTCTAAGAAAGAATAAGGCATGCAATGAGAACATTCCACAAGCCAATTGCCTACCGGGAATACTTCGCTGCCAGCACGCAGCGCTAAGCGGAAACTGGGTTTGCAAAAATCACCTCAGTGCAATAGGGATATAAGAATTCGAATCCATAAAACAAACATTCAATAACTTTATAATGGTTAAAGTCGATTCCCATTACAAAAAAACATTAACCCGTTTCAATTGAATCATTTAAATCGATTTAAAAGCAACGATTGCAACACAATATACAATTGCAGTCAAAATCAACCTTAAGCTGTTTGGAATAGAGATCAATTTCGCTGGACGACACGAGTTCCGTATATCCGTTTAGTGCACGACGGCAAAATATTAAAAAGTAAATACTAACTGCTATTAGCTGACTAATGCCCGATTTCACCATCGATACCTAACTTTAGGGGGAAAAGGTTTAAACTTTAGTGTCACGATTAAAACTTTAGGTGACAATCGAGCGGTGGTGAAAACGAAACTAGCAATTTAAATGTTTTTATAGTGCTAATGTCTGCACTTAAGGTTAAACATTAAAATATGTAGAAAAAGGGAATCGAACCCACGTCTTCGGCATTCGCGGCCCGACGCTTTAGCCACTGAGCTAAACGGCTGATTGCCGCACCGACGTAAATCTTAACGTCTTTTATCTACATTGTTTCTTAGCATTTGAAGTACTCAAACTTTTTAGGGGTCCATGGTGAAAACGGGCATAAGACACGCGCTCCCACAGACATGCACGTGCGTGATCGCTCTAAGCGACACGTGTCGGCACATGTGCATGTTTGCATGCGTGTCTGCGTGCACGCATGTCAAGTCACGAATACGTCACCACGTGTTAAGCGAATTTCGAAAGTTGAATTTCGGGGTTTGATGTCATTTTTGCTTAATCCCACTCTGCCTATGACAATTCTTCACAACGCGAATCTAGTGCCAACAAAAAGATTGCAGCCGTGAATACTTTATTTGTATATTTATTTATTTATGTGGGAACCGCCGATTAAAGACATTTGCAACAACCGTAAGGCTGCAGACCTTTTAACAAGTATCTTGTATCTTGTATTAACTGATGTTTGTGCTTTCAGTTCCGAGACTATTAAAGCTTCATCTGACGCAGAACCGGTGGGCTAGCCAGAACCCATGGGTTTGGACCCTCCGCTGTGGGTAGGGCCACGCATGTGATCATGCGTGCGTTTAACTACGGCATGTCATCTAAGGGTCATCGAAGTTGCGGTGCGGACCGAGACCCCGATGGCCGTCGACGGTGTTTTAGCTAATCGGTGGCTGGGGGCGGTGAGAACCGCCCTGGAACTTTTAACAAGTGGGCCCCGGCTACCTCACTCACCAGACGAAACTGAATGGCACTATTCCACACAATACACTTTTCCTGCATTAAGACCTAAGATGATTTCAAAAGACTTCATTTTTATGTTTGTTACGAACTCGGTAATTTACGAACCGAATTTTGGCATTGGGTTCGATTTAGCTCCCATAAGTTTCATAGGTATTGAACCTAGGACTCCGGAGACACTACAGCAAACTCCTCAAAATCAAGTGGAAAATGTACAGTGATAGGAATATTAAAAGCAGCGTAAAGATTTCTCATAATAATTATCTAAATTACACTTATATACGTATTTTATCGCGTTTAAATTATAATTTTTAATAGCCGACGTTTCTAACCCTTTCCACGTGACAGATAAAATCCACGAAATAGTTTATTTAATATGTATAATATTCGCGTAAAATAAAGAAATGCATGATTAGAAATACTTTTAGTATTTAGCAGGAAACGTTATCATGTTAAATCTTATTTTGACACGTTAAAAAACCGAGAGCAATAATGTCGATACAGAGGTTTTTCTTTAATGAACACTATAATTATTATCAAATATTATAGAAACTGTGCAAGATTGGACCACGTGGTGACGACTCCGTGACGCTTTCGTATCGTGAATGGCATTCAGGGCAACAGAGAAAGTAAAATAGTAACGTTTCTATACTAAAACTATGACAAACCGCGGATACCGTTATTGGTTGTTCACTGCGAATAGTTTAAAAATGCTTCGTGTTTCCTCCCTCTGCTAAGAATCTCAAAAGCATATTAAGCCATTAGCGTTTCAATGAATAAATTAAATAAACGACGACCAAAATACGATTATGTTATCGTAGTTTGAACTTTACAAAGAACGGTATTTGCGTTTAGAACCTATTAGAATGACTAAATTAATTTCCCACTGATAAATAAGCAACTAATGGAAAGTAACATAACAAAATATTATATCAAGGCAAAAATACTATATCGTTTGCTACAGGCGCGGCGTAAAAAGATGCAAGCGAAAAAAAAAAAAACAAAAAAATGCAATTATCTAGAGAAAAAAATATACAAAAATCTATGGAGAGTGGACAACGTACAGATTCATCCACATTTTACTTTCTCTGCGGCGTTAAAACAAAAACTGAATTAGGACAACACGAAACGTCAGCTAAATAAAGACAGCTATGGGCAGCTACGTATTCGGAATTAGAGGGGGGTGGGGGGAGGGTTGAAAAATTCTTGTGTACATAAAAAAAAACAAACAAAATCTGAAAAAAAAATCAAAGTAAAGTAACACAATTCCTAACATTGTTTCAAGAAATATATCTAATTTTTAAATTAGACATATTTCTATAATATTAAATTATTAATTATCATTAAAATTATAAAAATTCGTCTTTGTATGTGAATCTATTGTTTTTAATCTACGATTTTTGAAAACATTATTATATTATTAACATTTAATGACAATTCCCTATAGCGAATGGAATTTGCCTTTAATGGGTATAATAAACAAATAATGAGAGGTAATTGATTTATAATCTGTTTGCAGTAAAAGATTCTGACACTAGCATAAAGGTCATAATCAGACGTTCAATGTGAACAGTAAAGATTTTAACTATAAACAAACTTATGTATGTACGCACGTAAGAAGTTATACTTCTCTGGCACAGCGAAAGAAAAAATGTATCATCTCGTGTGCCAGTACTTTTTGTTGGTGTAGAAAAAAAAGACATTGAATGCAATGACTTGGAAATCAAGAAGTTATCATTGGTTGCCATGGTAACACCATGAAGTCATAATTTAAAAACGAAACTATAAAACAAAGCGATATAAGACTATTACAGATCCACATACAAGGGCGTTTGTTGCGGGGGCGCTTACCTTGTGCGGGGGCAGGGGGCGGGGCGGCGCGGGGCGCGGCGGGGGCGTCTTGTGGCGCTTGCCGTCCGCGGGCGAGGGGGAGGGCGAGGCGGGGGCGGGGCCGGGGGCGGGCGGGGGCAGCCGAGGCGGGGGCGCCCCCCGCCGAGGCGGCGGCGCGGGGGGGCGCGTGCAGCACGGCGAACGGGTCCGCCTCCCACGCGCTCTGCGCCCCCCGAACAGGCGATCCGAAAAGAGGCATCGTTAATACGTCGAAGGGCGTAATCCTAACTTGTAATGTGAGTTTTGAAAAATAAGAAGAAGAAATCTGAACGGACCTGAGACACAACCGGAACAATGATTAGATTTCTTATTATGATTAATTTTATTTCGATCGTATGTTACATGACTGATCGTTCATAAACAAATTTCATATAGTCAAAACGCCTAGATAAAAATTATGAATCGTATTCCCATTTCTAAATAAATTTTCAAGGCGTCTTCATTCATGTATTGATCACGTGATACAATTCTTTTAAAATAAATGAAGCATCTAATGACTAACCAATTTCATTTCAATGTAAAGACAATCATACGTTTAATCAAAATCATCTTTTTATTTAATGAAAAATCCCAACAAATTACCAAACGGGCGAACATATTACGCTACGTGTTTAAGAAATATAAATATGCTTATACAGGGAGGCTTTTCTAAGTGTATCCATTTTTTTTTTTATTAAATTCTAGACGTAAATAATGTAATATGAAAAATAATAAATTTAAAATCACATTTCAACTTATCTCAAAAAGTGCATGATTTATACGCAACTCATTTATTTTACGCGCGATCATTCATAAGTAACGCGCACACAAGTTCGTTTCAAAAGTATACGACGCATTTATGAATGACTGCCGCGTTGTCAACAAGTTCTGTTTTTTTAGGGAATAGAATGGCAATTTAAAAAAAAAAAAAAATTGTTTTTATTTCATTAAACGATTACACCACCGGGTCTGAGCCTCCTGTGTGAATTTGGGCACCCTTAGAAAAGCCACCCTGTACGGGGCGTAAGTAGCCGAGGGGGCGATGACTCACGTCGTCGGCCTGGGCGGGGGGCTGCGCCGCGGCGGGGGCGAAGGCGTCGCCCGCGAACGGGTCGGAGCCCGAGAACGGCTCGCCGAACCCGTCCTGGAACGCACAGCGAACGTCACGTATGTCCGTAAATTCAACGACCAAATTGCTTACGAGTCGCGAAACTTTAAAAAAGATGACCCCAATTACCTAACTCGCCAGACGTAACGCAATCCAATTAAAGAACCGATGTTCGCAAATACATGATTAGTATTGCTGAAGCAATAAAGCTGTTGGTAGATCTGCGTGGTTCTCCTTACATCGTATATTACATGACACGCTATTTACCTCAGAGATGAATTATCGAATTAATTTCAGTTCCCTTTTTGCATTAAGTAAGAATTTTTGACGATGGAATTTTAGGTTCAATACTTGTTTCCACCACTTAGGCTGGTTTTAAGAGAACGCTGCTATATAACTCGGACTTTCAAGATCCCAGTAGAGCGAAGAACGTTCAAACATAACGGCAGGATTTTTGTCTAATTGTGGGTCCAATAAATAAAGGGCTCACCTGTGCTGCGCCGCTGGGCGCGAAGGGGTCGCTCGGCGCGAACGGGTCCGCCTGCCCGCTCGGCCTCGTCTCCGGGAACGGCTCCTCCTCCTGGGAACCGTCCATTACTTTTTGTAACGCAGATAGTAAAAGAGGAGTGTTGCTAACCCCTGACATAAATGGGGGACATAAAGGGTTCTTACTATACCCCGAAGTGAAAAGAAAGGTGTTATTAATCCGGACATAAAAAGAGGGGGGCTTTTAATGCTGCCACGTAAAAAGAGGGACGTAATTAATCCGGACATAAAAATAATCTTATAAGCTATGAATATCGATATATCGGTATATTTCTTTCGACATCCCTCTGCCGGCGACACGCCAATTGAATACCACACAGCGAGCGATGCCGAGACACTCACGAGCGATCCGGCCGCGACGAGCCGCCGCAGGTGCTGCGGCTCGTGCAGCGGCTGCAGCGCTGGCGGCGCCCGGCCCTCCGCCATGGCGTCGAGCGCGGCGAGCAGCGAGCGCTCGTGCTCCTCGAGATGGCCGAGCTTGACGCGCGCCTGGCTGAGCGCGAGCACGGCGCGCCGCAGCCGGCCGGTGAGCTCGTCGCCGAGCTCGCCCGCCTCGCTGAGCTCGCGGCGCAGCGAGCGCTCGCGCTCGAGCAGCGTCTGCGCCGCCGCGCGCCGCCCCGCCACCTCCGCCTCGGTCTCAGCGGCGGCCGCCTCCTGCGCCGCCACCTGCGAGCGCAGCTTCTCCACCTGCCGAACGTTTGCAACTCTCTATAGGAAAACTTTTCCCTCCCTTCCGACCGTTGCCCTACCTGCAACCGTCGCTTTGTTTTTACCTACTGTTGCCGCCTATCTCTTTCCTTTCTCCACCTGCGAACGTTTGCACCTCCCTCTTACTTTGCAACGTCGCTACTCTCTCCTCTCTCTCTCTCTTTTCTTTTGCCCTTACTATATCATCCACAACATCTACCTTCCTCCCGACAATTGCCCTACCTGCGACAGTCACACCATTTGCACCTATCTCTTTCATTTCTCCATATGTAATAGTCGCATCGTCTGTCACTTTCTTTTCTACTGCCCTTACTGTAGAACAACATCGTCCGACCGGGTTCACTGCTTGTCGTGGGGCTTTGTAATCGTGGCTCGCTCGGACTATCGCGTTGCGACGAGAATGATCCCCACACTAGTCGGACCCGTGAGCTAAGGCCGGCCTGATAGAGCCACTCCGAGTAGGCTCATTGAAACCATTTTGGTGTCTCTTCTATCGAGGTAATTTAAAAAAAAAAAGCTAAGAATACTCTTATGCCGCTCTAAGCACAATCAATCCTGAAAGAAAAAAATCCAAACGATCGACCACTCACTTGTGTCTTTAGGTCGTTTAGCCGCTTCTGCGCCTCGCCTTTTTGATTCTCCAACTGTTTCAACGTCGCCGTTAACGTGTCCAGTTCGCTCTGAAACACGTACGATTAACAATGTACGTACAAAATAACAATTAACATATTGAGTAAAATTGAGCTTCGTTCATGGAAATTATCAATGTCTATAGATTTCAACAGGACCTTGGTAGAATAGATAGCGTTGCCAGACTTCAACTTAGTAGGACTCGGTTATGTCACTAAGGGAAGTCGATTGATGCAATTTTCTCAGGATCGTACTTCGAAGCAGTCTATGGGGGAGGCTTGTGTTCAGCAGTGGGCTCAAACAGGCTGAAATGATGATAATGATGATGTCACTAAGCAGACGAAATGCAGGAGTGAAAATACTTCTTCACGATGTTCTTTTGCCAAACTAAGGTACATTCAAATAAAAGTAAAAGGCTGTTGCATGGCCGCCCAGCAATTGCATTATAGAATGGATACTAGTACTCCACCAGATAAAATATAAATGGTTTACGTTTACACTATTACTTAATTTCTGGTTATTTAAAGCAACCGTAAATACTATATCCGAAAGCGGTCACGATAAGAGTTTAACGGCTGTTTTCTACATTCTATCCATCTATAGTTTAGGTTGATGGAGACAGTAGTCAAATAGTAATATACAGATATAGCAAATCTACAGATAAATAGTATATCGAAAACGGTCGTAAGCCCTGGAGTCAATCCCTCCCCCTCCCCCATTCAAGAACAACCATCCTCAACCTTCCCTTCCCCTTCGCAGCCGTCTTACAGTGCTAAGGAACTCCCTAGGGTTGTCACCTGCAGGCTGTCAGCCTCGGACTCCTTGGCGACGAGGTCGCGCTGCTTGGCCGCCACCTCGGCCTCGAGCGCGAGCCGCTCCCTGGCCAGGGCGTCCGCCTCCCGCGCGATCGCCTCCATCTCGGGGGTCGGCTGCGGGCCCAGGTTCAGCCCCGGCTCGGGCATCTGCGGCGGGCGAACGGGTAACGTGCCGATGACTGCGTGGCGCAGTTGCCAACGTATCGGCTTCGGCGTCGGGGGCGTAGGTTCGATTCCCACACGGGACAGCTGTTTGTGTCACACCATAGACAATTGTTTCGCATCTGGGCGTTTATTTATCCACGTGAAAGTTTTGCTTGTCGTCATTACAGTAGAACGTCATTACAACACAGAATAATGTTATCCTAAAGTAAGGGCTATGTTATAAAAATTTAAAGTTAATAAAATTATAAATGATATCTCATTGTTTTTTTTTTTTGCCACCGATATCAGCCAAAGCAATAGACACATCGAGTAGAGAAACACGTAATTGCTAATCGAGAACGTGTACTTTTATATCTAAAATTATCGTTTATTTCCTTTAAATCGATCAATTGTTTTCTATGCATGACGATGGAAATGCATGACGATGGAAAATCAAATTCAGTCTTAATTACGTATTGAATGAATAACGATATGACTCCGAGAACTTGTCCCTGTAGGTACCTTTTCATTTTGTTATATGCTAAGATTATAAGTTAAATTGACGTTGGCTAGATAATCTGACTTTGGTTGGACGTTGTTCGCACGAAATTAGAACTAAACCGGTTTTAACAAATGCAGGCATTCTGGCAATTAGCCATAATAATAACAAATAATTTATACAAAATAGGAGAGCCGACTAATACATTTCAAAATTACGCATAAATCCTTCAGAACACTGCACCTACTAGGAAAAGAATGAAAATGGACGGATATCTTGTGTTCGAATTTTGAAAATTAAATCGACTAAGAAGTCAATAATAAGAATTCATGGCGAAATGTCAGTTATACGAGAAATCACAATGAATATAATGGACATAATATTTCTAATACTATTAGGAGAGGTCACATGTGATCTCGGGAAGATAAATGAGAAGTATGAAGCTCTTAACAATTTAACCGACGAGAAGTTGGAATGGGGTAAGGAAAGAATTTATGTATAAACAACTATTGCATTCACAAAATATTAAGTTTATCAAACGCATTGTTCACAGTAACCTAATGCAATTGGATAACATATCAAAAAAACTTTAATGTAAACAATAGAAAATTTCATGCTATTGACCGAACTTTAATATATACCGCAGGAAACGTTCCTACTTATTACAACTTACTAAACAGTACTAAGATTAATTTTTTTAAGGTTTCCCTTAAATTTAGGCTTTGATGGTGAAAACGGGAATAAGAATCAAAAAATACGAAAAAGGAAAAATGGGATAGGAGATCATTTACACGCCGTTGCCAAAAAAATTAAATCCCGTAAATATTAACTGGTCTCATCAACTAGGACAAACAGTGAAAGCGCCAAAAGCTGTATTAGTCCAAACCAATTTTTCCATAAAACCAAACATTACTTCTAAAATTAAAGAAAACTAAATTTCTTTTCTATCAAGCAGACCCAATTCGTTCCAATCTTCTAAATTATCTGGAGAAAAACCATGTGCAAGGGATTGCGCTAACTGTTTACGTGGGCTCAGCGATTAGAATTCCATGCGCCAGGCCAAACTTGTATGGCGAGAATTCTGTTTGGTTATATACGGAGGTAAGAATTGAGTAAATAAATAAATAATATTATATTATAGGACACATTTTTCACAACGTTCTCTAGTCCCAAACTAAGCAACGCTCGTACTATGGGTACTAGATAACTGATAAACATACTTTTCTTTTGCAAATACATACATATTATATATATACAGCGTGTCTTTACCATCGCGACAATAAATGAACACACATATAGAGGATAACTTCTTAAAATTGTATTAATGATTTACATTCCTTAAACATCAATATTTACGGAGTTATCAAATTTTCCAAAACAAAAAATTTGAGAACACCCTTACGTATAAAACTTTAATGTAAAGTTCATTTGTAAAGGTCACAAAGCATATGAATGGGTTGAATGAATTTAAAAGAGACAAAACATACTATTCGAAGGAGATGCTTGCAATGCGGCGCTGTGGCAACAAATGAAAAAATCTCTGAATAAATGAATCAGTCAGTTGTAGTTGTAGTTGTAAAGGATGTTACAAATTTTGTTTCTTTTTTAGTTAATTAGTTTGTTTGAAAACTGTTTTTTTAATTATGGATTTTTTTAACGTTAATATATTTTTTTTATGATTATTGGCAAGTAGCGTTAGACGTGTCTTCATTTATTGTTGCGCTGGTAAAGACACCCTGTATAAACACCTTTACACTGGAAAAATACTATGATCATCACACAAAATTTTTCCGGTAGTGGAGATCAAACCCACACCCTCAGACGTAGGAGGTAGGTACACAACCCACATCGCCATTCGGGCCGTCAAGTATCCTTCAATGATTACAAGAAGGATTACAAAAAACGAACTTAAAGCCATTTGGGCATTCTCTCCCAGTCAACCCGGGGCGTGGAGAGAGATTGTGGTAGGTTAAGCTAAATAAAGATCAGAAATACTAATTAATGATATAAAATATGCAAATACTTACATGACATTCTTATTTATTATTGTTTTTAATCGTAATTGTTTTTTTTTTTAGTCAATAAATAACCTCACCTTCAGATTGATGGAGGAGAAGGATATGGCAGTTGATAATGGTGACCTCACGATATTTTACGTTCGACCGACAGACGCTGGAGTGTACCAGTGCAAAGTTGGTTCATTACTTGGTGACCTGGTTGTTTTGGAGGTTCTGGACGACGAGGACAAATACGATGTGGTGCGTCTCGACATAGGGAATGGCTAATTTGCGTATAAATGAAATACATATACCACAATAAACTAACACAACAACACTACAACATTAGGAACACGTATAATTGCTCCGCACGATGATCAAATTATTTTATTGTCATTCTATTTTAAATACCGCATAACATTCCACCGTGGTTAATAATCTAAATTGCGTGATAAAAATGATTCAACATACTGTCGCTTCTGAGATTTACGATAAATATCGTACTATCCTCGAAATTAATTACTATATAATAAAATGAATACCATATGCTATTCGTAGTAGTACTTTGGAACTCCCTTATTCCACGCCCTTATCCATACTAATAAATAGAGAGCCGGTTTTTTGTTCAGTCATACTGCGAAAACTATGGAACCGATCGGAATAATACTTATACCATAAGATGCAGCGTGTTTTGGAGAAGGTTTCAGCATATGATATCTTGGTGATAGCTTATCCGGAACCCGGAATATTTTTTGACTTCAAGAAGATGGTATGACCCAGCGAAGCGGGCGGGGTACAGCTGGTATTACTAAGTCGATTAAATCCTTTTGAGATCTTCGGTTTTAAACGTTCATAATCTAATCAGTTGTAATGACATGAGCCGAATTGACTAGTATTATATAATATTAATAATATAGAATGGGCGGGTGGGTCTAAGAACTACTAAGAAGAGTAAGTACCACGACCTTACAGAAGACCGGCGTGAATTGGAAGCGTTATACTACTGCGTTTCGTCTGGTAAGCGTAATTCGTTTTAAGTAAACCGAGGCAGACTTTGTTAAAAGATGGCAACGCATCGGCAAAACTACGGTTTTCGCACCGGCGGTCGCTATCACTTAACATCAGGTGAACTGCCCAGCTCGCTTGCCCCTTCTCCCATAAAATAGTAGCTCTCTAACGTCAGATATACCACAAAGCCCAATAGATTAGTCTTTACGTGAATTAAAGTCTTTTGGATGAAAAGGTGAAACCAGAAACGTCGCGGGGGCCCTACGCATGCCCACCGGCACTCGTCACCTCGGAACTGGTGCTGTTCACCTCCTGGTCGAGCTGGGGCGAGTGCAGTCGCTGCTCCCTAGTTGGGCGACGGCGGCGATATGGTTACTGTTACGTTGGGTACGGGCGGACGGAGAAAGCGGTACGGTGTCATCTTAGCCATAGAACTTGGTTCAAGTTTCCCAAGGTCCGTATCCACCTTTGGAAACCTGAACTAAGATCTAAAGAATGTCTACCCCCGGGGTCGACTAGTCGGTACAAATTATAAAGTGCACAAACAACTACCGAAGGCCTGTTATACTTATCGTTTTAGTTCGAACAAAAAAATCTCTTGAGACCAGCTGAAATAATTTCATAAATCGCTGATCTAGATTAGTCTCTTCAGATTTAATCATTCAAATCCTTTGATTTTAGCCGTTTAGCTCAGTGTCTAGAGCGTCAGGCCGCGAATGCCGAAGACGTGGGTTCGATTCTCACAGCGGCGACAATCTTTTCGCACTTTTTCTACATATTTTAATGTTCAATCTTAAGTGCAAAGATTAGCACTATAAACAATTTAAATTTCCAATCAAATCCTATCAATACTAGAAATAGCGACAAGAAGTGTTCAAGTTGTTTCAATCGAAACTAAACACAAAACTAACACGCATGGTCTGCTATAAATTATCACACAACGGATCTTTATCAAAAATGCACCAAGCAGCTTTTTTATTAATCATGATATTAAAAGACATATGAAAGGCAATTTAAGCAAAACTGTCACGTCATAATTTGTTAAATACACTAGCTCCCAAAGACACAAAGCAGCTACAGTCATGTCCGGGGAAGTACCGCGACCATACAGGAAACCTGAGTAAAGTGGAAGTAATATAATGTTGCGTTTCGTCTGATGAGTATGGTAACCGGGGCCCACATATTGATAGTTGGCAAGACTTCAAAAAGGAAGTTTTGTTTGAGTTTAGTTAGGTTAGATTCTTAAAATTTGACTATATTAGATTTAGTATTGTTATAAAAATTTTAGTGCTAATAGAGTTTTTTGCAAAAAAAAAGACATTCCTCTAAAAATTACCCAAAACCTTACATTTCAGATCGAGGCAAAAGAGATTACCTCCACTTCGGCGACAGCACTTTATTTGGACGATGCAGAGAAGCTACTTCTAGGTACCTTTCCGTATTAGTACCATCACAAAATGTTTGTTTTTCTATTACTTATTGAGTTTCGTTTACAACGTACGAAACGCAGTGGGATATCAACACGGAATGAATGCATTGAATTAAGGTGTGTGCGCAACGATAATTGCAAGAGAATCGATTTCGAATCGATTTCGCGGTAGATTTTAAGGTTTAACGTTCCGCTGATATAGTGGACGCTTGACCCACTTATGTTAGCGTTACAAGAATGTATTTATACTAGCACTAACGCCCGCTTTCTGAAACACTAATCATCGTAGAAGTTAACTAATCAGCTGTCAAATGGCTTTTCGTATGTTATTTTAGTTTCCAAAAGGATGGTTAAACTCTCTGAATTGATCAGAATAATCTTTTTAATGATGATAATTCAGAATGATCAATTCAAAGAGTTTAACCGTTTTATCTATTCTACGTATAAAACACTAACAGACTGTACTATACAAAACTTTCTCAAAATTCACGAAACGAAAACAAGAAACTGTATTTACAACGTATGAAGAACAGTGCTGTATAAGACGGATAGAGCATAATCCATACTCTTATAAGAAAAACCCTTAAAAATCCCCCCATAGCATTCCCCGGCGGCTTACCCTGTCGGTCAGCGCTCTTGCCGAAGACGCTAAAGGAATCGACACCAGTCACACGAAGGAACAACGAAATCATGATTGGAATGTGTAAGGTAAATACATGTTGGTACTTTACGAGCATCCCTTTGAGTGGCAAGTCCGTCAGGGTAACCGCGATCTCAAGACCGGCTTCAAGTAGAACTGTTACATATTTATGTGGGGCCGAATCACACTTGTTTTTTTTTAATTTGATAAATTGGCAAACGAGCTGGCGGTCCACCTGACGTTAAGTGATAACCGCCGCCCATGGACATTTGCAACACCTGTAGAGTTGCAAATGCGTTGCCATCTCCAAATAAAGCGGGCCCCGGCTACCACACTCACCAGACGAAACGCAGAAGTGTAACACTTCTACTTCGCGCCGTCCTTCTGTGAGGTCACGGTACTTCCCCGGACGGACCTGCCCATTCGTGCAACAGCGAACACTGTTGCGTGGCCCTACCACGGATAAATTGTTCTTTCCTTGTCGTCCTGCGAAACGCCACAGGTCCCGTGCACGAGCGACGTTTTCGAGGTTCGAACCGGCGGCGGCGAGCTCGTCGAGCGTGCGAACAACAGCGACGGGGCGTACTCGCTGAGCCAGGGGGAACCCCCGCGGCCGCCGCCCGTCACCAGGGCGGTAATTTTCGCCGCCAAGGGCGACGGGCTGGTCGTCAAGTGTCCCGGGTGAGGCGAAATACTGGGTGTGTTTTCCGCTCTTAGCCCGGACGGAATAATCGAATAGATGATAACAAATTTTTCCCAGAAGGAAATAGTGTATATGACGGGGTTTCGTGGTAAGTTCAAATCCGTCAGATTTTAAATTCAGGTCGGTAATTCGGGAGGTATACTAAAAGCAAGCGCCCGGAAACTAGGGCTATAAAGGTATTTGTTTCAATGGTAAATCTTAATACATTAAGCACATCACGCCGCAGTTTTCAATGTTATCTCGAGTAAGAAGATAAAATATCGATATGTAAAATCAAAAACATCTCGATATGTAAATCGATAAAATATCGATATGTAAATCGATGTATCGATATATTTCGATATCCCTACAGTGGCTTCAAATAGTGTTCGCCGCTCCCAACAGCACCACGCTGCGGGACGTGCCCTTGAGCTGGAGGCTGGGGAGGGAGGAGGTGGCACCCAAGGTGCTGGACACCAGGAGCGGGGGGCGGGTGCACCTCAACGCGAGGGACCACATCGTCATTGACGACGTCCAGCTATCCGACGCCAACGTTTACAGGTGACGATTTAAACAAAAAGACAAATGCCTAATTTTTTTCATTGTTTATTTTTTATTCGAACGTTGGCCCATAGGCATATAGATCTGATGACTCCTTGGCGCAGTTGTCAAGGTATTGGCTTCGGCGCCAGGAGTAGTGGGTTCGATGACACGAGACCAATAGTCGTTTCGGATACATTTTTTTAGGACACATTTTTATACAACTCTACAATTTTTATACAACGTACTAAGCAACGGTTGTACTATGGGTGCCATATAGCTAATTTTCTTTTATAAATAAATACATATCATAAAAACACACAGACACTGGAAAAACACTGTTCATCACACAATATTATTCCAGTAGTGGGTATTTCGAAAATACGCAGGTTTCCCACGATTGTTTTCCTTCACCGCTGAGTATGTGATAGATATTTCACCACTTAAAGTTAATATAGTATGTTTTCTAGTACTTCAAATTAAAAGCGAGGGGACTTATATAGGCTGACACTTTACTTTCGACTCAGAATCGAACCCCGTCCCTTGCAGCTGCTGGCAACGCGAGAACCTGGCGGGCGTGGTCAAGCTGAGGGTGTACGAAGACACTCGCTCCAAGTACGGCCGAAGGCTCCTCTTGGTCGGTCTGTTTGTCTGTCTGTGCGTCGCTTTTAGGCTTACGGAGAACTTGTATGTATATCAGCAACGACGCTATTGGTCTTAGGATTCAGGGATTGACCCAGGTTCAAAGCGGCCGTTGTAAAGATTATGTTTGCAATTGTTGATAAGATTTTGAGGTAAACGTAAATTTAAGTTTTATATTTTATTTTTTTATAAATATTGCGTTTTCTTTTAAACTGCGGGCCCTCTGAAGAGCTACAGGTTCCATGTATAAGTATGGTCAACACTGGGAAATTTAATTTAGATTTTTATGCTAATAAAAAATTGTTAAAAAATTTAAGTTGTCACTATGTTTATTTGAGGTTTTTTTTTAAAGTAGTGGTACTGAAACTTTACCGAAAGCTTTAGCGGGGTCTATAAAAATACCCAACGTTTACTGACCGCCCTCACCAAGTGAGGATACAGAGTGAAATAGTAGAGGCTGCATTCGCAGTTCATTTATCTTTCCTGAAACCGAGCGAGCAAGCAGTACCAGCTGAAATGAGCCTTAAGTCATTGCAATAGGGTACGGTATCGTAGGACGGCGCGTAACTCTTGTTGGTATGTCTAATTAGAGCCTTAACTGATTGCAATAAGGTGCGGTATCGTAAAACACGGCGTTTAGCGTCACGGTATGTACAAGCTGAAATGAGCTCTACGGTCGTAATAAGGTGCGATGTCGCATAATACGGAGAGCGGTGTACTGACCTGCGGCTGCAGCGGTCTTATTAACGCGGCACTTAGCGGCCCGGTATGTACAAACTGAAATGAGCCTTATTTGATTGCGATAAGGTGCGATTTCGCACTTAGTTAGCTGGTGACCGCGTTATACGATACCGTACTGACCTGCGGCTGCAGCAGGTGCGGTATCGTATAACGCGGCGTTTCGCGTCCCGGTATGTCTGAGCCGAAATGAGCCTTATGCGATCGCAATAAGGTGCGATGCGGCTGCAGCAGGTGCGGTATAGTACAACACGGCGTGTACCGTCCCGGTATGTACAAGCGGAAATAAGCTTTACGCAGTGGCAATAAGGTACACTGACGTGTGGCTGCAGTAGGTGCGGTATCGTATAATACGGCGTTTCGTGTCCCGCCATGTACGAGCTGAAATGAATCTTAACTTATAGCGATAAGGTGTAATGTCGCTTAACGGTGCGGCGTTTAGCGGCCCGGCACGTACAAGCCGAAACGGGCCTTACGCGGTGGGAATAAGGCGCACCGACCTGCGGCTGCAGCAAGTGCGGCGGCAGCGCGGCCGGCGGCGGCTCGCCCCTCTTGGCGCGCTGCACCAGCCACATGGCGGCGGCGAACTGCGCGCGCGACAGCTTGCCCGCGCCGGCGCCGTCGCACAGCGCCCTGCGTCCAGGGTTCAGGGCTCAGGGCTCAGGGCTCAGGGTTCAGGGTTCAGGGTTTTTATGTGAGAAAGTGGCTAACGAGTAAGCGGTTCGCCTGGTGTTAAGTTATAACCGCCTGCCCACGGACATTTGCAACAGCCGTACGGTTGCAGATGCGTTGCCACCTCTTAATAATGCGGACCCCGGCTACCTCGCTCCCCAGACGGACCGCAGAAGTGCAACGCTTCTACTTCACGCCGTTTTTCTGTGAGGTCGTGGTACTAACCCGGACGGACCTGCCCGTTCGTGCAACACCGAACACTGTTCCACCGCAGAAACTCTTTTTAATGGCTGCCAAAGGTTGGCGATACACCCGGGCTAAGGGTTGCCAACCTTCGCATTCAAATGCCCTCAGATGTCATTCCAAGGGCGGCTGTAATCGGGTTAAGACTCCCGCTGCGCTTCAAATACACTTGACCACAGACCGATGAGCGTAAGAACCGGCACCCGTCGTACTTAAAGGTTGGCAACACACCCGAATGCTCTCTAATGTTTTCGGATACCTAATCGGCCGTAATCACTTAATACCGTTGGCTCGACTGTCAATTTTTGACATTGAACAAAAATTGCTGCTTCGTAAGCCGAAGATGCCAGTGGTCCTTCGAGCCGGATGCTCACAAATATCAATTTTCCATTCGCATATTGATCAGCAGTGGACTCAAACAGGCTGAAATGATGATGATGATAATATTGATTTCATTACATAATTGATTATTTATTTTGTCATATTAAAACAATTACTTTAATTTATCTCGTACTTCATAGACATTCAAGATCATATGAATCACCAAAAAAAATTTTAATTACAAAATGTTATTACGTTAATTATCCGAGAGCTGCTTGAGCGACTGTTCGAAGGGCGACTATTGCTTTCTCACTCGCACAACGAACTTAATGGCTCTTCCTTCTAATTCGGATTAATTAGCTACGTTAAATAGATACCAAACTTAATGGCTCTTCCCTCATTATTGTACTAAATTCAATAGACACAGTTCGGTGTGGAACCATTACAATAGGCGAGTAGTTGAACCAGATCCCAACCCCAGCAGCACCCATCAGCACCCACCAGATGTGCGCCAGGGTCTGGTGCGGCAGCCCGCTGCGCAGGAAGGTGTCGCGGATCTCCGCGCCGGAGACCAGCCCGTCGCGGTCCAGGTCGGCCGCCTCGGAATCAGACCAAAGCGAAACCTCTGACTTCGAACTAAGGTTTGTTCGAGCCGTCTTTTCGACGTCGCGAAATGTTAAACACTTAAACAAGGTATTGGCCTGTAGTCAATACAGTAAACTTTAAATGAAAGTATTTTTATCGATTTATCGTCGACAGAACGTCACGTGGTCATAAAAGGTGTGAAGAATTGAAATAAACACGCGATAAATCAGTAAGAATAGTTTCATTTATATGTACTAACTTTGCCTGCGATTTTGTCCGCGTGGAATTTAAAATTAATGAAATTTTTTCTAAAACAAAAGTATCCAAAGTTACACTTTATTACATCAGCCATCTGCCGGTGAATGTCCCGTCAAAATTGGTCCAGCCGTTTCAGAGACTTGCCAGCACAGACAAATAAAAGTTTTTGGTATATGTACCGTGTATACATCCTTAAGCATTTAGTAAATAGCGATTATTTTAATATTACAAACACTAAACAAACTTTATTAATCCATATAGATAATGACGTAAATACAAAAAATAATCAGAGCAAAATTTAAAGTGAAATACCTCGAACTGCGCCTCGTACTCGGCGCGCTCGCGGGCGCTCGGCCCCGCCAGCGAGCCGTTCGCCGAGCCGTTCGGCAGCGCGCTCGGCACAGCGCTCGGCACAGCGCTCGGCGCTACGCTCGGCGCCACGCTCGCCGCCATGCTCGGCGCGACCGTCGCGGTCGGCTGCAATCGGTTCTACTTCAAGGGATCGTTAAGGGCTTACCCCCAAGCAAATAGTGGGGTGTTGTAATTTTGACGTGTCAATCGCACAATCCACGAAAACAAATTAAAAAATAATTAAAAATTTAAAAGTGCTGTATGTAACTTGATTGTTTCTACCGGTGAATGCAAACGGCAAAGTGTCGTTCATTGTGGCGTTCTAGTCTATGAACAGATACTATACAGGGTGGCTTTTAGAAAGGTGCCCAAATTCACACAGTAGGTTCAGACTCGCTATTTCTTTTTCAAAAAAATTGCCATTACATTCCATAGAATAAAGAACTTGTTGATAATGCGGTAGTCATTCATGTGTACGTGTTAGTTATGAATGATTGCGCGTAAAATAATTGAGTTGCACATAATAAATCACACACTTTTTGAGATAACTTCAAATGAATGTAATTATTTACTTACGAGTGATTTAATATTTATCATTTTTATACAACATTATTTATGTCCAGGATTTAATACAAAAAAAAAACGGACACACTTAAAAAAGCCTCCGTGTAGGTATAGTATAGTCAAGCATCAGCTCAAGATAACATATTGAACAACTCACGCTGGAGAGGTCCAGGAGGCCCTCGAGCAGCGCGGCGTTGGAGTGGTGCGGCGGCGGCTGCGGGCGGGGCGGGGGCGCGCGCGGCTGCGGAGACGGAGGGCGCGAGGGGGGCCGGGAGGGGGGGCGCGAGGGCGGACGGGAGGGGGGGGGGGGGGGGCGGGCGCGCAGCTCCGCCGGCAGCACGGTCGGCACCGCGTGCTTCTCCAGCGCCTTGTACACGAGGTGCATCGCCTGCGAAACGAGAGGGACACTGTTGAAAACAGCGCCATCTGTCCTTTTGTCCTTGAACTACATAGCTAGTTTTTCTGTTTCGTTTTTAAGTGAACGGGCGTCGCTGACGGAGGCCCGTTAAGAACAGCGCCATCTGTCCTTTTGGCCTTGAACTACATGGCTAGTTTTTCCGTTTTCTTTTTTTAAGTGAAACGTCACTAGTAAAAGGGCCCGTTAAGAACAGCGCCATCTGTCCTTTTGGCCTTGAACTACATGGCTAGTTTTTCCGTTTTCTTTTTTTAAGTGAAACGTCACTAGTAAAAGGGCCCGTTAAGAACAGCGCCATCTGTCCTTTTCTATTGGAGCTAGTTGGCTTGTCATTTTTTTTTTTATAAAGGGACGTGACTAGCGGCAGTAAAACAAATGGTATAGTTCATAAATCAAATAACTCAGCTGATTTAATAAAAAACAGTACAGTAAGAACTCATAAAACATAAAATATATGTTAATTTTCGTATTGTATTCCTTTAAATGTATCCTCCTAATAAACTACTTAAGTTTTATTTTTTAAACATAAAACGAAGCATGACTTGATTTAACTTAGTACAAACATTGAAACACAACATTGCCTAAGCGTTTCTAAATAAGATTTACTCACCACTATAAATTCATGCCTATCGAGCATTCCATCTTTGTCTTGATCAGCCAAGTCCCAAATCTTTCCCAGGGTCTCTAAAGGCAGTTTTGACTCCATCAAAACGCCTTTCACCTGGAATTTACAAGTATAAAAATGTCACCACTATCACTAACTAAAGGATTTAAAAGTAGACGGTAATGACAAAATACAATTATTAAATAGTACTATAATCGGAGAACCAATTTGATCATTACAGCTAAAGAAAATCATCCGCCCTTTTTTTGTAGCACAATTTGGAAAGCTAATTTACGTTGAGATTTTCGTTGGTGGCGCAAGCGGCCGTTTAGCTAAATGGTTAAAGCGTCTGAGTGCGAATTCAAAAGACTGGGTCGATCCATGTAGCGGGTAAAATTTTATCGTCCTTTATTCTAGTAATTTTAATTACTGGTGAGATCAACTCCTTATGAAACACATGCTGGTTCCCTACACAGACATAATTGGAGTGTTATATTGAAAGAGTTTTAACCCTTTAAGTTTTTGTTGTTAAATTGAATTCATTGTGGTTTGCAACTATAATTGAGATGGCACTTACCAAGCCGGATATTAGCATATTACGTATAAATTGTCTAAATCTAGTGTACATCTTGTTGGTGCAACAAAAATAAATAAATAAATAAACCCTCAGCGATATCCAAAATCATCGATTCTTAAATACGTACCAAGCTAAACAACACTAACGTCGAAACTCGTAATTTGTTTAGCTTCTCGCATTTATTTGGAGATTATTGTATTAATGGGTTGAGGCTAAGGAAGTATACATCGGGCTATTGTAATATGAGCAAATTCAAATTAAACTATATTCAATACAGACGCACTTCACTCATTAATTGATCATCAAAATATTACTACCAGTTCGGAAAAACAGCCACTGACCTGTGTAGAAACTGCCAAGGAAATGCCATAGGCCATTTTATTATTACTATCCGACTGCACCAGAAGGAGGGTTATATTTTTCGAGGGTATGTATGTATGTATGTATGTATGTTTACCGTGAGAATGACACTGGGTATATCAAAATAAAAAATTACACGGAAGCGCTACTTGTTTCTAAACCATTATTTGTAAACCATGTATCATAGACCACTTGAGCTTACCTTGTTGCCCGGTATGAGCCCGTTGTTTGGCTGCAGCGAGTCGAAGAGTTGGCTGTACTTCTCCCGCTCTGCGGGTTTGATGCTCCAGTCGCCGGCGGGGGCGGGGGCCGCGGCGGGGGAGGGGGCGGGCGGCACCACGGGCGGCGGCACTTTGGGCAGTTCGCCCTGCAAATCGATTCCGAATCGATATGCGATCGGACGAGTCTATGAATCGCGAGGAGCCGCGATAGCTCAGTGTGCGGGCGCTCGCTTTCAATTTGTTACAGCCGAGCGACCCCAGTTCGAATCCCGGAGCGAAGAAATGAAATTATCGATTTTATGTGCCGACGTGCTCAGCGGTGAAGGGAGGAAACATCGTGAGGAAACTTCGAACTTTAGATGTTGTGTACCAGTCAAGGGTAGGCTACGATGGAAGGGCCACGCAGCATCCTCGGCTGTTGCACGAATGGGCAGGCCCGTCCGGGTAAGTACCACGACCTCACAGAGGACCGGCGTAAAGTGGAAGTATAATACTTTCGCGTTTCGCCTGGTGAGTGAGGTGGCCGGAGCCCAATTTTCTAAAGGTTGTCAACGCATCTGCAACCCTCGGGTGTAGCAGATGTCCATGGACGGCGGTATTCGCTTAACATCAGGTGAAACGTCCGCTCGTTTGGCAAGTTTTCACATAAAAAAAGTCAACAGACAAATAAAACGGAGGGAATAAGGTGGCTTCACTTACCACTTTCGGTGGCGGCGCCTCGCTGTTTATATTGCTCATGTTGATGTCCTTCCCGGCCTGCGCTAGGGCGACAAGCTTGAGCGCCACAAATAGGCCAGCCTGGAGCGGGGAGAGTTGAATCGGTTAGTAATATTCGGACAAATTACAAAATTCAAGTCTAGGTAGGTTTCAGGGCACATTTTACACCACGCTGTCGGTTCCAAACTAAGCAACTTTTGTACTATGGGTACTAGATAAGTGATAAACATACTTAAACATACTTTCTTTTGTAAATCTTATATATAAAATTCTCGTGTCACAATGTTAGTTACCTTATTCCTCCGAAACGGCTTAACTGACTTTTACCAAATTTTATATGCATATTCAGTTGGTCTGAGAATCGGCTACTATCTATTTTTCATACCCCTAAGTGATAAGGGTTGTTCACCCTTAACATTTTTGTTTTAATTTTTTTTTTGTTTTTATTTTTTTTTTATGATACAGCATACAAAAATACATACAAACCTAAATTTTCACCCCTCTACGCAGACGTAGTCGCGGGCAGCTAGTAAATATGTATTTATTATAGATATATAAACACCTAGATGTAAAAACACTATTTTCATCGCACAATATTTTTCCAGTAGTGGGGATCGAACCAACACCCTCTGGCGCAAGTAGCAGGTGCACTCACTAGGCCAATCGGGTCGTCAATATCAAGATTACAAAAGAAGCGATTCTCGCGATCTATAACGTCTATATGGTTTCGCTTACGCGAGTTGCCGCGTTTTACGAGAAATGTTGCATACGATAAAAAAAATTGATCACCCGTATTGAGTATTCAATGTCTCGCATTCGAAATTTATGGGGGCATCCAAATATACAGATACGAGGTAGATATGACACTAGCGCATTGAAACTGAAGCACTCAAATTACGTAGTGTAAACCTCCTTACAGCACAGGATAATGTTATCCTAAAGTAACGTCGATGTTTTTAAAAGAAAAGAATAATGAAGAAAACAACCATTTGATAACTGTTCTGTTCCGTACGTGTAGAGCTGTTAGAAATACTTTTACGAACCAATAACATTGCGACTAATTGCTTTTTGTTTAGCACTCCAAAACCTTTCAAATGATAATTAAATACATTCTGATGAAATTAAATGAAATTTCGTTTAAAAACCAAGAGACAAAGCTTTGCGTGGTTTCAGTTTTATTGCTACTGATTGCGATTAATCAAGCTTTCGTTACTCCATCTAGTGGGGGGTCGTCCTACACTGCGATGGCCAGTACGAGGCTGCCACTCGAGAACCTTTCTTACCCAACGGTTATCGGTTCTACGAGCTATATGGCCGGCCCACCGCCCTGTGCAAATGTGCGGGAAGTCGATGGATGCAGGTGGCTCAGGATCATACTTCGTGGCAGTCTGTGGGGGAGGCCTATGTTCAGCAGTGGACTCAAACAGGCTGAAATGATGATGATGATGATGAAGCTTTCATTCTCAAAAGCCTGTGTTGCAATAAAACAACATAACGAACAGTTAACTGGGAATGGATTAGTTTAGAGAGATAATCACAGCTTAAGCCCAATGGTGAGCACTGCTTATTGATAATTTTATTTTTTATTTTTTTATGTGTGAAATTGGCAAGCGATCTGGCGGTTCACCTGATGTTAAGTGATAACCGCCGCCCATGAACATTTGCGACACCCGTAGGGTTGCAGATGCGTTGCCACCTTTGAATAAAGTGGGCCCCGGCTACCTCACTCACCGGACGAAACGCAGAAATGTAACTACTACATTACGCCGGTCTTTTGTGAGGTCGTGGTACTTACCCGGACGGACCTGCCCATTCGTGCAACAGTGAATATTGTTGTGTGGCCACAGTAAACTTGACGGGTAAACAATTGTATAAAACTTACATTTCACAACATCACTATTTCATATTTGTACACGCGCTGCGACATTCTCATCACTTGTCGTGTAGAATTTAATTAGCGTTAAACTGGTGCGAATAAAATTCTCCCATAGAACACGGCCCGTACATTTCACGAAGGCATCGAACCCGCGACGTTCATTATTACACACGACACTACATTCATCATTGAGGCGCCAATCGCACTTGTTGGTGTTGCCAACTTTTCACCGAAAAATATAATTGCAAATCAATCTCCTCATTACAAATCTACTCTAAGAAACAAACCTCACACTCTAAATAAAACTAAAACCAACATTCAATTGCGACAAGTACTAGTCATATTAACAGTACAAATTTGTAACGGAGATAACATAGAATGCCGTTTTTTTTTTTTAAATAACAATAACACTTTATTGGTTACAACAAAAAAAATACTAAACGTGTTATCGTTTGAAGCATTGTGATAATTTATACAGTGTAACAAACTACGGCGTGTTCCCCTCAAAAACATAGGTAACACAGTTATCTCGACCGCTTTTAAGTGAATACGGTGATAATTAAATCTCTCAACATATAAGAACATCGAAGACGGTACATTCCTTCGATTCGATGAAAATTTTTAAACGATTGGGCAGCGGTCGTCTCACTTGAAAGGCAAAACATAAAAGCATTCAACTTCCACTTGCCGCTTGTCTTATATGCATCGTAACAATAGCAATGAACTACAATATTTCTAAAATTAATTTGATCGACGTCAATAAAAAAAATTGTAGAAAAAAGTAACGAATACTTTTTCGCCGCCGTGGGAATCGAACCCAGGCGGGATTCGCGCCCTGACGCCTGCTTTAGCCACTAAGCTCAACGTCTTTTATCTACATTCTTTCTAGCATATAAAGTAATGCTTGGCGCATCCGTTGTTATATCGAGCCTCAAGAGTAGACCTTAATCCATACTAATTTTATAAGTGCGAAAGTAACTCTGTCTGTCTGTCTCGCTTTCACTCCAAAACTACTGAACCGATTTAAATTAACTTTGGTACATATATAGTCTAGAGCCTGAGAAAGAACATAGGCTACTTTTTAATTGGAAAAAAGTGTTGTAAAGAGTTGAAAGATATTTATTTAAGTGCTTCAGCGCGAGCGAAGCCGCGGGCGAAAACCTACGCTATAGTTTAAATGTTAAATCTGCTAGATCTAGTGGAGACTCCTTTAGGATGGCAACACTACGATGACGCGTCAACGCAGTCCCATCTGACCGTTGTCGCAGTACGGCAAAACGATACAGATAACGCTATCTAACCAAACCAAATAACTGTGCCCGCACAGCTGTATGTCGCTAAAATATTTGTATTATCTTACGTTGCGACTGTTACGTTTGGCTCGAGGAGGGTTGTATATGCGCAATAAATGAAACGTTGCCGCAGCGAGTGCAGTTTTATTAACAACAGAAGGAGGGTTATGTTTTTCGAGAGTATGTATGTATGTATGTATAATTGTTTGGCCCGTCCAGTTTTACCCGACTGTGCGAGAAGGAGGGTTTTTTAGTTTTTTTTTTTTATAATATTCTGTTTTTCGAGAGTATGATGATGTTTTCCCTAAGTGTCCCCGGAGCCCAAGGTCCAATGCCAATGAAATTAATACGGGACCACATGGGGAGCACCAGTTTTCAAATAAATAAAGAATCATCAAAATCGATTCACTCAATCGAAAGTTCTGAGGTAAAAAACATAAAAAATACAGTCGAATTGAGAAACTCCTCCGTTTTTGAAGTCGGCTGTAAATCAAGGATTTTATGTTTATTTATTTATTTATTTATGTTGTGATGACATTTAGGAGTTAGGACCAACATCTGTTATCTGGCGTCCTCTTTATTAGGGTTCTGTACCCAAAGGGTAAAACGGGACCCTATTACTAAGACTCCGCTGGCTGGTTGTCTGTCTGTCTGTCCGTCTGTCACCAGGCTGTATCACATTGAACCGTGATAGCTAGACACTTAAAATGTTCACAGATGATGTTTTATGTTGCCGCTTTAAAAACAAATACTAAAGAATAGATAAAGATAATGATACAGAACCCTTTGAGCGCGAGTCCGACTCGCACTTGGCCGGTTTGTTAAGAAATTTGAAACGGTTCTTAGCGAATACTAATTAATAAAATAAACTTTAAGTGATTCTTAAATAAATGCTAAATTCAAATTAAAACTTCTATTATTACGCGTCAATCATAATTGACCCTTTTCAGAATGTTTGTCTGTGTTTGAAAACTTGTCTTAAATAGGGTACGAAAGACTCAACGGCTTTCTATAACAATTATAGGGTTTAAAATACGGATTTCAAGTAAAATTTTAGTTAATTAACATATCGATATCTATAAGGGTTAAGTAAATAAATAAATATTTTCGGAAACATTATTTTTACACTATTCCCAAACTAAGCAATGCCTGTACTATGGGTTCTAGAAAACTGATAAACATATTTAGACATACTTTTGTAAATAAATACATACTATACATATACAAACACCCAGACACCTACTGGACAAACCAGATACTGGAAAAAAGTTCAACGCACAACATTTTTCCAGTAGTAGGGATCGAACCCACACCCTCTAGCGCAAGAAACAGTTTCACTACCCACTACGCCAATCGGATTAAGAATATATATAATACATTAAATAATTACTGGGTCCACGGTTACTAACTCACTGGTCAAGACAACTTTAATACGTATTTGACGAGAGAATTTCGACGCTGACGCCAGAGCCATGATAGCTCTGTGTCCGGGCGCTCGCCCTTAATTCTCGAGCAACCTGAGTTCGATCCCCGGTGCCAGCACCAAAGAAATTGCTTGGTAATATTAAGTGCTGACTTATCACGTGCTCTGCGGTGAGGGGAAGCATAGTGAAGGAACCTGCATATTTTCGAAATAGTAACAAAAAATATTATTTCGAAAATATTCGTAGTCCGCCAATCCGCAGTGGGTTGGCGTGGTAGGCTATGCCCTGATACCCTCTTTACAAAGGAGGCCTTTGCCCAGCAGTGGAACAGTTATAGGTTGTTACTACTATTTCTATACTTACGAATCAGCGGTTGGTAATGATAATGTGCATGACGTGAAACTGAATTGAAAAAAATTATACTTAACAATAAGAAATAAATAAAATTTAAGCCAAATAAAGGCTTTATATTAATATCGCGACAATATTTAAGATTGTAAGAGAACCGAGGCAAACGCAGGCTATTTAAAAATCCGGGCTTATCTTCAAAAATGGTTAAAACCGATTTTGCCAGGCCTTAAATTGACAGATTCAGGACTTCTCAAATTGTAATCCAGCCTGCATTCCTCAACGACTCGACTCTAAGAAGAATGTTGGCAGGCTGTTTTTTTTATGTGAACAGTTGTCAAGCGAGCAGACGGTTTACCTGATGTTAAGTGAATACCGTCACTCATAGACATCTGCCACACCCGAGGGTTGCAGATGCGTTGAAAACCTTTTGAAAATTGGGCTCCGGCCACCTCACTCACCAGACGAAACGCGAAAGTATTATACTTCCACTTTACGCCAGTCTTCTGTGAGGTCGTGGTACTTACCCGGACGAGCCTGCCCATTCGTGCAACAGCCGAGGCTGCTGCGTGGCCCTACCACCGTAGAAGGCTGGTTAAACTTAAATTATTCTTTGAATTAAAAACTACTCTGTGTTATTTACCAAAATCAAAATGATGCGTAAACAAAGTCGTCATAATCTAATCGTACGTAATAGAATCTTGTGTATAGATCGATGCGATGTTTTCTCATCCTTATCGAAGCCTTATCGAAGCCTTATCGACTTCTAAAGCGCTACAAATGTTCTAGATTAAGATCGTTCAACAGAAGCGACTACCACTACCCTAGTTTAGATTCTACATTTGACGACGCTAGAACTAGTGATCTAAGTGACATTTTTTACCGACTTCAAAAAAGGAGGTTTCTCAATTCGACCGTATACATATATTTTTTATGTGTGTTCGCGGATAACTTTGTCATTTATGAACCAATTTTGATGATTTTTGTTGGAAAGGAGATATCCTAAGGGTGGTACCATGATAAGGAAACCCGGATCTGATGATGCCATCCCAGAGAAATCGAGGGCAATCCTCAAATGTTCTAGGTGTTGACAATGTTTTATTCGTTTCCTGTTTGAAGTCGATTTTTTTGTTAAAAATTATTTCATGTGAGAAGGTGGCAAGCTAGCTGGCTGTTCACCTGATGTTAAGTGATAACCGTCGACCATTGACATTTACAACAGCCGGCAGATGCTTTTAATAAAGTGGGCCCCGGCCACCTCACTCACCAGACGAAGAAGTGTAACTTCCACTTCACGCCGGTCTTCTGTGAGGTGGTGCTTACCCGCATCTGCCCATTCGTGCAACAGCGAACACTGTTGCGTGGCACTAATACATTAAGCAGCATAAAACTTTAGCCGTCTCCAATCACCCAAAGAAGCGAAATGTTCCTTGTGCTAGCTAGGCCATAAATCAATTTGGTTCGATCAACATAATGGACGGCCCATCACGCAAACGTCTCTGTACCAAAACAGCTTTAAATTTATTAGTCATCTAATTATCCAATAAAATGTAAAAAAGCCTCGTCACGAACGTCAGAATACATAGTAATAATAGATAATTTAATTGTTTTACTTTTGTTGTGAAATAATACTTACAAAATATTTACATACAGCATGCAACGTTTTTACGATAAGTAATTCAAAAACGTATATAGGGATTTTTAACAAACTTCAAAAAAGAAGGAGTTTTCTCAATTCAATCGTACATTTTTTTTTTGTTTTTTAACTTACTCGTTTATGAACCGATTTTGATGATTCTTTTTTTATTGGGGAGGAGATATCCCAAGGGCGGTACTATGATAAGGAAACCCGGATAAGATGACGGCATCCCAGAGAAATCGAGGGCAATCCTCAGATGTTATAGGTATTAACAATGTTTTTATCAATTTCCTGTTTGAAGTTGGTTTTTTTGTTAAAAATTATAATGACTTTTTTACTTCCTTATGTATATAGCTCAGTGTCCGGAAGCTTGGTTTTAGTTCATTATACAAAAGCAACCTTAGTTCAAAGACCGGTGCCAACACCAATGAAATTGTTAATATTAAGTGCTATACAGCGTGTCGTTACCATCGCGACATAAATGAACACATGTCTAACGCTACCTGCCATTAATCATAAAAAAATATTAACGTTAAAAAAATCCATAATTCAAAAAAAATATTTTTCAAACAAACTAATTAAGTAAAAAAGAAACAAAATTTGTAACATTCTATACAACTACAACTGACTGATTCGTACATTCAGACACTTTTTCATTCGTTGCCGCAGCGTCGCATCACAAATCTCTCCTTCTAATAGTATCTTTTATCTCTTTCCAATTCATTCAACTCATTCAAAGCAACAACCTTTACAAATGAACTTTACGTTACAATTTTAACTCTGTATATATTCATGTTTTAAGAATGTAATTTTTTAATACAATTTTAATAAGTTATCCTCTACATGTGTATTGGTTCATGGTCGCGGTAGTAGCGACACGCTGTATATCACGGCCTTGACGGTGAAGGAAAACGTCGTGAGGAAACCTGCATATTTTCAAAAAAAAAATACTTCGAAGATATGTGAAGTCCGCCAATCCGCAGTGGGGCCGCGTGGTGGACTATGCCCTGATACCCTCTGTACAGAGGCCGTTGCCCAGAATGGGGACATGTATAGATTGTTAATTTAACTTTTATTTTTATCATTTCTCTGATTGATCCGGGATTGTGATTGGCCAACGGTCAACCAATAGGGTCCATTTCTTATCCATACTAATATTATAAATGCAAATGAAAGTAACTCTGTCTGTCTGTCTTTCACGCCAAAACTACTGAACCGAATTAAATGAAATTTGGTACACAGATAGTCTAGAGCCTGATAAAGGATTTAGGCTATTTTTTAATTGGAAAAAAGTGTTGTAAAGGGTTGAAAATATCTTTCTTTAAAAATACATAATTATAGTTTTTAAAGAAAGATATTTACGAGTATTTAAGGGTTTCAAGGCGAGCGAAGCCGCGGGCGAAAAGCTAGTTATAAATAAACGGCGTTTCAAATGCACGTTCAATAAAACATTTATTTCTTAAAACTTTGTCGGATAAAAAATGTACAGAAAAATTAAGTAACGATTTCACCTTGGGAACCTACAATTCCAGTTTGATAATTTCACTATATAACGATGAATATCTCACTGTTTTTAGAAATACTTTACACTAATGAAAAACATATGTTACTACATAAAATTAGTGGACGATTAGTAAAACGATGCCTTGGGCTAGAATAAAGGCCGTGTTTCTGAAAAGGCGCGTAATTTATTAAACACTTCGCAGACCGAATGAAATTAACAAGAGCCATACGATAGGAACAATGCAAAGATCACAAGCGCAACGCCAGGCGAGATGGGAGAAAACAATTGTGCTGGCAAAGACTAACTTTAATAAGCATTTTTCCCCGTTAATTTCGCTGACTTAATATTAAAAAAATAACATGTTTCACTTTACGTTGTCGCTTACGCGTCATTTTCTGTATTTTCTGTAAAGACTAAAGGCCCATTTACACGATGCCATTTTCTTGTACATGCAAGAGCAATAATTGAATGCAATAAATTGCGCGCAATAAATTGGTTAGACCATTTGTTGTTTAGACCATGCAACTTATTTATTGCTTCAATTTAATTGTATACAACAGGCAAGAAACTTGCACCGTGTAAATGGGCCTTAAGTCTTTCAAGTGTGGTAGGGTTTCGCTTCAGTCTTCCGCATCTGCATTAGCGGGCAGAGCCGTCGGGGTAAGTACCTCACGGAAGGCCGACGTCAAGTGGAAGTGTTATTACTTCTGCGTTGTCTGGTGAGTGTGGCAGTGGGAGCCTACTCCGCTAAAAGGTGGCAACGCATCTGCAATCCTGCGGGTGTTGCAAATGTCAATGGACGACAGTAATCACCTAACGTAAGGTGAACCGCAAGCTCGCTTGCCACATTCTCGCATAAAAAAATTATAGACTGTCACTTCAATGTAATGATGATTCAAGGTACCTTGTCCAAGTAGCCCTTGCCGTTCGGGTCGGAGAGGTCCCATATCTTGCTGAGCACCACATCGCTGAGCCGGGACTTCTTCAGGAACCGGGCCGCGTCCAGTGCCTGGATGGCGCCCGTCCCGTTCGGGTCAACCTGCAATTGTGCATTACGTATACCTCACTCGACTCCAAGAAAACATTCGAGTAAATTCAACCATATCATTAAACCGTAAAAGTGCCGCGATAGCTCAGTGACCCAGAGCTCCGCTTTCAATTCAATAGACTCGAGCAGTCCGAGTTCAATTCTCGATGCCGCCACCAATGTAATTACTAATTAAGTGCCGACTTATCATTTGCCCGGCGTTGAACGAAGACGTCGTGAGAAAACTTGCACGTATTCGAAAAATTAGAAAAAAAACATTTCGAAGATATGTGAAGTCTGCCAATCCGCAGTTGTGGCCGCGTGGTAGACTGCCCTCGTACCCTTTGTACAGTGGCTTTTGGCTAGCAGTGTATATTTAAACATCTTACGGCTTTACGTAACGCGATGAAATCTTTAAAGCATTTATAATAAACAAAATAAAATCTATGTCGTAATCACAATAAGGACTTGCCGTTGTGCAACTATAGGTACTATTATTATATTTTCCGTCGGGGACATAACTATATGTGGCGCTTAGAGTAAACTTATTTTAACAGGCGTGCGGTAACATCAGATGAAGCGGTAACTGATGCTTAATAATTTAGATGTAGCGTTACCTCGTACCCGCCTAACTTACTATAATGTAAACCCAAACAAAGCACAAATACAACTGTTTCTGTGTTTTAAAATTTCCACAGTGGCAATCTTCGCACTTAAGATGAAACATCAAAAACTGTAGAGCCTCTTCATCCTAAATATATAAAACTGCGTCGCTAGAGATATTGGAAAAAAACAACAATTCCATATTCGTAACACGGTACACACCGCATTGAGCGGAGCCATGCGCTCTTCGGCGCCGTAACAATAACGAGAGCCCAGTGGGACATATAGGAATGTATTGGGGGCCAAGTGGAACTTTGCGTCTAGAGGGCTCGTCTGAGGACGTGCTCCCAATCTTGAGAGCGTACTGCGGATGTCGAGTGCCCTCCCCCCCCCTCCCTTCTCCTCTCCTTACCCCCGAAGGCCCCTTAAAGGAGGAGCAATTAACATGTAATTATCATACTGTAAACGATTGCGCATTCCCAGACACGTAGGCTTCTCGTTATTAACGAGAAATAATTGGAATCCATATCGATAAGAACGGTGTAACGTTCGCCGTTTTGTATCCACAGTTCACGTATTATATCTCTTTCTTTAATTGTTATTATTCACTCGTGTTTTGTATAGTTCAACTCACACGATATGTGACTAATAACATAATTGGCTAGCATTACATTTGTAGTATGAAATGTAACGGTAAACCGTTATTAATACTATACAAATAAACAATCTGAGTCTTTTCCGAGCAGTGCCACCATTTGACGATAAATCCACCGCGCAACTGTCCAGACCCATACTCCAACACACACATAAAAAAAAAGTATGGCATCATTGGGCATCATACCGGAACACGGGAGATCATTTCACGGAATGGGCCTCCTGATGTGTGATAATGTCATGGCGGCATCCGATGCCTACCGTGGATAAATGCATCGTTACATAACAATGTTAATATTTACAATATTATTAAAATGTCACAATATTAAATTATTGCAATATTATTAATGTAAAACTGTTTAACCCATTTCATCGAGTAAAATTTTCAACCTTAACAAAAATCAAACACAAATGCTATACAGATGTGAGCTTAAGAGACGTTTTAAAATGAAAAGAATCAGATAAAATCCGTAAATTATTTTTATTAAAAATTAATAATAATTGCTTAAACAAAAATTAATATTTGATAAGGGTCATAAAATAGTTTTATTTATCTTCGGTACGATTTCGATTGTCATACCATCTGCAGCACTCAAGGTATATCGATACACACTGAAATGGTTTTTTTTTATGTGAAAAGTTGCCAAACGAGCAGACGGTTCACCTGATGGTAAGTGAATACCGCCGCCCATGGACATCTGTCACACCCGAGGGTTACAGATGCGTTGACAACCTTTTGAAAATTGAGCTCCGGCTACCTCACTCACCAGACGAAACGCGAAAGTATTTGTCATACTTCCACTTTACGCTGGTCTTCTGTGAGGTCGTGGTACTTACCCGGACGGGCCTGCCCATTCGTGCAACAGCCGAGGCTGCTGCGTGGCCCTACCACCGTTGCTAATTCAATTAAGTTAATTCGTTAATCTATTTTCAATTTGACCACGGACTTTAACATTAAATAAAAGATAATATAATATTACGTGTGTGTGTCGAATACATTAATAATCAATTGTTATCATTTTTTTTTATTAGTTTAATGTATTTTTATGCATAACTAAAAAAAATTAAGCATTGTGATCTCCTCTATATCCATACTTAAGATTATAAATGCGAAAGTAACTCTGTCTGTCTGTCTCGATTTCACGCCAAAACTACTGAACTAATTCAAATGAAATTTTGTACACAGATAGTCCTGAGAAAGGACATAGGCTATTTTTAATTGGATTTGTATTTTAAAGAAAGATATTTATTTAAGGCCTTCAACGCGAGCGAAGCCGAGGGCGAAAAGCTAGTAAGCTATAACTGAGCGAAACTTCATTCTCTTCCGTCCACGCAATTTCCGTTTAGCTTAGTGGTTATTATACAAATGGCGCGGGTTCGATTCCCACGGCGGCGAAAAACTTTTCGTACTTTTTTCTACACATTTTAATGTTTCATCTTTTAAGTGCAGATATTAGCACTATGAAAATATAAAAATGATGGAGTCTGCCATTTGAGGTTGAACTCCAGACGTATTATGTAATAATCGAATGTAAATCAAGTTAATGGCAATGTCACATTTAAAAGTTGGCAAATGTATGGACCAATAAAATGTATGATCAGGGTAAAAACTACGTGCCAAAAATTTAAAACTATCATCAAAGGCCAACATGAAATATGTTATATCAAAGAGGTTACGACAAACTACCCTGAATAAAATATTGAAACAAAGACGCATTTCAAAGGAAGTATATCTTATGAGAACTTAATATTTTCCTATAATCTTTTTAACATATTATCTAGTTTTTTTTGATTTTTCTTGATAGCACTGATAAATTAGAAGAGTTAGATACCATTCGATCTTTTTGAACAACAACAACCTTAATTTAGGATAACATTATCCTGTGTTTTAAGGACGTTTTACAAACATAAATTCGACGTGGACAAACACCCAGATGCGAAACAACTATATGTGGGTCACACAAATAGTTGTCCCGTGTGGGAATCGAAACCCACGACCCCCGACGCCGTAGCTTATACCTTGGCAAGTGCGCCACGGAGTCATCAAAAAAACTTGTGAAGAAATTGTCTGTCTTAAGTCCTTTAAACAAACAGTCCAAACTGTCAACCATATAAGGATAGGTAGCTATGGATACTCCCTTTCTATCTTTGTCCAACTTAATTATTGCTTTCCCATCCATACATCTATAGCATTCAAGTTGGTGATGGTATGGATGTTGGATGCAAAAAAATATGGCAACGGTCGAGGGTGTGTCGAGTGAGAAAGCGTTCCTTCTTAGAACCACGGATCAGTATTCAGTGAAGGTCATATATGCAACGAAATCGACACAACGGCACATCACAGTTGCTATTGGAGTCTAACACAAACATGGGCACAAAGATTATTTATTAGAGAAAAAAGAAAGTTACTCTATGAACTCCTTCTAGCAGAAGCATCCATTCAGAAAGTGGACGTGGATAAGTCCCGATGGTGCAAGCAAAAACGATATCTACTTAATCTTAAATACCAAAAAGCTAATATTACCATGATCGGCAGGTAATGCCAGTTACTAGACTCCATATAGTAAGTAACTCGTTCATGGGGCGGTGTATACGCTTTTACAAAAAAATCCCAGTAAATGCGCAAAACCTGCCTATTAACTGGTTTAAGAAATTTATTAAAGAAAAACTTTATAAAAAAAGGTTATTATAATACAAATGAATACATTAATAACAATAACCCCTGGGAATGAGTTGATCGCTCCCAAGCTATTTCTAAAAGGAAAAAAATCAGTTGTATAATATTTTAATTTTTTGTTAAGAAAAAAAAATTAATTACAAAAAAGAGGATACCTACGGAGTTTCTTTCGCCTGTTTCTTCTCCGCTAGAGGAACCTCATTACGAAACGGTGGTAGATTTAAAAAAAAAATATGACTATTGATAAATGAAATGTAAGTTTCTTATGTCGATGAATAAATGATTTTAATTTTTTTGATTTCGATTTTTTTGATTTTGATTTTGGTGAAAAAAAAATTATTTTATAGTAGAAGCTAGTGAGGAACTAATTGATGGGTCAGAATCAAAAAAGCTTTCACAGATTTAGAATTATCCCCATTTGTGTTCGTTGTTCTACGATTAATGATATTTAAACCTCTGCGTACGCGTTTTACAAACAAATTAAATATAGACGTGCAACCGCAACAGGAACGACTATTCGTGGGTCATACAAATACTTACCCTGGCTCTACCCACGTTTCCGAAACCTATTTCATATCATCTGTTTACCGAATATTCGAATTGTTCCCAAAAAACACAAAGAGGACAATTTTGGCCTACTAGTGGTCGCAATTCGACCATAACCAATTTAAATTATAAGTTTGAACAATGTTAATTTTTTTTTATGTGAAAAAGTTGCCAAACGAGAAGACGGTTCACCTGATTTTAAGTGAATACCGTCTCCGATGGACATCTGCTAAACTCGAGGGTTCCAGATGCGTTGACAACCTTTTGAAAATTGGCCTCCGGCCACATCACTCACCGGACGAAACGCGAAAGTATTATACTTCCACTTTACTCCGGTCTTCTGTGAAGTCGTGGTACTTACGCGGACGAGCCTGCCCATTCGTGCAACAGCCGAGGCTGCTACGTGGCCCTACCACCGTTGCTAATTCAATTAAGTTAATTCGTTAATCTATTTTCAATTTGACCACGGACTTTAACATTAAATAAAAGAGTATATAATAAACGTGTGTGTATTAAATATATTAATAATCAAAAAAAAAAATAATTACAAAAAAGAGGATACCTACGGAGTTTCTTTCGCCTGTTTCTTCTCCGCTAGAGGAACCTCATTACGAAACGGTGGTAGATTTAAAAAAAAAAAAAATATGACTATTGATAAATGAAATGTAAGTTTCTTATGTCGATGAATAAATGATTTTATTTTTTTGATTTTGATTTTTTTTTGATTTTGATTTTGGTGAAAATAGTGAGGAACTAATTGATGGGTCAGAATCAAAAAAGCTTTCACAGATTTAGAATTATCCCCATTTGTGTTCGTTGTTCTACGATTAATGATATTTAAACCTCTGCGTACGCGTTTTACAAACAAATTAAATATAGACGTGCAACCGCAACAGGAACGACTATTCGTGGGTCATACAAATACTTACCCTGGCTCTACCCACGTTTCCGAAACCTATTTCATATCATCTGTTTACCGAATATTCGAATTGTTCCCAAAAAACACAAAGAGGACAATTTTGGCCTACTAGTGGTCGCAATTCGACCATAACCAATTTAAATTATAAGTTTGAACAATGTTAATTTTTTTTTATGTGAAAAGTTGCCAAACGAGAAGACGGTTCACCTGATTTTAAGTGAATACCGTCTCCGATGGACATCTGCTAAACTCGAGGGTTCCAGATGCGTTGACAACCTTTTGAAAATTGGCCTCCGGCCACATCACTCACCGGACGAAACGCGAAAGTATTATACTTCCACTTTACTCCGGTCTTCTGTGAAGTCGTGGTACTTACGCGGACGAGCCTGCCCATTCGTGCAACAGCCGAGGCTGCTACGTGGCCCTACCACCGTTGCTAATTCAATTAAGTTAATTCGTTAATCTATTTTCAATTTGACCACGGACTTTAACATTAAATAAAAGAGTATATAATAAACGTGTGTGTATTAAATATATTAATAATCAAAAAAGAATCAAATTACAAAAAAGAGGATACCTACGGAGTTTCTTTCGCCTGTTTCTTCTCCGCTAGAGGAACCTCATTACGAAACGGTGGTAGATTTAAAAAAAAATATGACTATTGATAAATGAAATGTAAGTTTCTTATGTCGATGAATAAATGATTTTGATTTTTTTGATTTTGATTTTGGTGAAAATCGGTACCTAACTATAGCTATAGGCATGTTGGTCCATGTAGCGGTGTCTAAGTTCTTTAAGGCTCCAGAAGAAACCCCCAAAAACACATTTCACAGACCATCAAATTAATGAATGATCGGAGTAACAGTAGAATGTTAATGTGAAGAATATTTCGGAATACGGCAAACCCAATAGACAAATTTCAAAGTTCGTGCGACAAGGCTTGCACTTTACTTCGCAGCGTATTACGGCCGCAATTGAGCCGAACCAGGGCTCTAAAGCTTTTGGACAGCAGTGTATTGCGCAAAAGATCCTAAGATCTTAACTGAAGATCGAGCATGGCAGCATCATCATATCGAAACCGACAATTTTGAGGGAGCTTGAAAGGTTTTGTACACCTACACACGTAAATTCATTGCCAGAACAACTTAGGCCCCTCGCTAGAGCTAGCCCGTCGGTGATTAGAATGACTCTGAAACAGGTAAAGAACAACGAGGCAGCGGATGATGACGGAATTACGTGGGAACCTCTGAGAGTGAGTGGAAAACCGGTACTTCTAGTCCTACAGAAGCATTTTTAAAATTTAATCTCGTCATACTCCAAGATACCACCCTTTTCACACTCTTCTTTAAAAAGAGAACAAGACCCAGTTGAAGAATTACACAACCACTTCGCTCCTTAGGCGTATATACGCTGTTTTCTAGAGGAAGCTCTGAAACATGGTCTTTTAAAGCTGACCTTTTACCTGCTGACCGGAAGCAAGAAAGAAAATTTCGGAATTTGTATGCGTGAAAAACTCCTGAACGAAGAATTTCGCCGCAGTACCAGAGTAACCGACAACGCATATTTATATTTTTTATTTTTTGTTAATTATAGTTTTTTTTTTTCTCTCTTTTATTGTGTGCGTCCTTTATTTTGGTAAGTAAATGTATTTTCTTTCTAGCTCTCCGGATTCGATTTCTTTTGTGAGAAGGTGGCAAACGAGCCGGCGGTTCAACTGATGAACTGAACCAACCACAAACCAGAAGAAATAGCGTTGGCTAGCCAAGGTGGACAGACAACATCGTAAAAGTCACGAGCAATGGATGAACGCATATGACGAAGGGGTCGTTCATTGTGGTATTCTAAGGGCGAGGCCTTTGTACAACAGTGGACATCTCATCTGACTTAGAATGATAGTCAGATTATTTACATAATCAGGAATTTTCCAAATTGAAATCGTAAATACTCATTGCTTTATGGTAAAATTCATTATATAATTGATAGTCAAAATAATAGAATTTTCATTGAACTGTTTATAGGATGATGTTTAACATATGGTATTTCAAGTATTCAACAACAACTTAATAGCAGGGTTATATAAAATGTATTAATGCGAATTAAATGTAGTTAAAGGTCAAACATGAATTAAATGTTACATAACTACTTTTAATAATACATGAAACCGCAATTTAATATAGGTAATTGATGTTAGATAATATATGAGCCGGCATTTTATTTTATCAGAGGGTAAGTAAATACCCACACACAGTGACATACAAAACAGCCATGGAGTTAGAGAAATATACTAAAGAACAAGAGTTTCCAATCTTTTATGTGGTGGACTGTGGTTCTCATGCAAAGGAAAAAATGGAAAACTATAGTCATGTGGAAAATACATCAACTTTATGGTTCTCTCCTGCTGTTGTGCATACAAGCATTCCCTACAATAATCCTGTTGAAATAATTTAAAAAATGTTTTATAATTTTGAAAACTAAAGCCATTTCTACTACATACTTAGCTTTAGCTAACACAACTTCATCTAATCACATTTTTAACAGTGATTAGCGGTAGCGGCAGTATCAATTTCTAACATCATTCTATCTAAAATGATTATTTAATAGGTAAAGGATTAAATTACCTATATAGTGAATTGCTAATTGCCTACATTGCCTTTCAGACTAAACACAATTTTAAATTTTATTCTTATTTATGCTTATGTATGTGTTGTTAAAGAATACACATATTAATGTTACTCTGTTTCCTGCAGTGTTCTATCAGAATTAAGGACCCGAGACTGAAATAAGTTTGAGAATCATGGTTTATTTCATGCATCATCATTGATTAAAAAAATTACAATATTTAGAAAACTGTAAATTGTTAGATAGATTGAAACAACATGTGGCCAAAGTGGTCATCAAATCCTCTACTATCATTGCAAGCATCCAATTATGGAGCAACTGCATGAAAAGGAAATAAAGTAATACACAAATAATTATCGATTTATTTAGAAAAATTTATAGTTAGATTGGTAATACAATATTTGAGCACACGCTAGATAAACCAATTAGTGTTATTTAACAGATCTTTGTGATTATTAAAATTAAAATAGATTATGTAACATTTTTATTTAATATTATGGAAACTATTAAAGATTTATAAAACACCCTAGTAATCTGTTTAATATCTAGTGCACATATTTAGAATACAGTCAAACAAGGTCATTAAATATAAATTGAAATATATACTATACTTTTAATTAACTTTGGCTCATTTCTTTAAAATGTTATCTTAACACTACTCATGCTCTTTATAATTTTGTCGGTATATAAATAGTGATACAATCACAATCAGTAAAAAAAAATCCAACACCTGAAAATAGGTGCACAAACTTGACTAGATCATCAATTATCTAACATATAAAACAACATCATCTCTAATGCCAACATGTATCAATTAATTATTTTTCTTTTCCTTTTGTGCCTTTTTCTATGCAGTGTACATTATGACTTGAGAGTAATTCCCTGATTATGGTTTAAACAAGAAACAAGTTGAGCTATATCATACCAATATAGAAATGAACTATATGAAGTGTTTCAAGATTCGAAATTTTGTCGTTTTACATTATTTATATTGATAAGTACAATAACTTCAAGTTTAATGGCTACCTACGTTCAGTGTGACTATTGATTAGTAGTTGTAGCTTTTATTATTAATTCGATGTATAGACCTATAAAAATCGTGGTAAACGATATACAAGCCGTCAATGATTACTGTGCGGGCGTAGAGCGGATAACCAAATAAGTACTTACTTGATGATAGTAGGCTTCGTATATTGAACTGTGGGTCCCTGCCACCTGCAACCCGTTAAGCCACATATTTAATGCCAAAAGCACTTGGAAATATTGTCTAATTCCCGAATAAATGAGCGTTACATGGGTGTGACATTACACTACTGACATTCAATGTTCGCGCAAAAATTTATGTAATTAAGCCGTAATTTACGAAGAAACAGACTAATATATTCGATGCACACAATAGACTATCACTTCACTGAAGTTAAACAAGAAATTTGAGAGATTTTCTTAATAAAATTCTTCGCAATACATATTTTTTAAACAGCAGAACCAGTACATGACACTTTAAAGAGGTGTATTTCTAAAACACGATACGCGACCGGGTAATTTTACTGCACAAAGTAATTGCTAACATATTAAACTTTAATTTGAATAATATTGCAGAGAAATCTTCACCGTACGAGCAATTTATTTCTGTTTTATTCTACCTGAGTAGGAGAAGGCAAGGCAGCCATTTTTTACATCTCCTCGTTGACCAATCAATAGAGTCCATAGACTACGGATGGTTTGACATTCTAAGAAAGCATAGATTACTATCAGTCAAACATTAATGTCCCGTAGAGTAGGCGTTACTTTTTTCTTTTTTAGTTTAACGAAAACTCGTTACGTTTTTTAATCAATTATAAATCATCTGCAATGTCTCAAACCAAAATCGACCCTATTCGACTTGCTTCATTTAATTTTGTATGAAGAAACACTACTACATCACATTTTTCAAACGTCGACGCACACTGTTTTACGTCAATTGTTTTGTTATTTATGGGTTCATTTGACAAATCTTAATTAAAAGGTTTTACACATTTCATTGTTCATTCATAATCAATCATGTTTTTCTTATATTAAGATACTATAAAGTTCAGTAAAAAAGTAAAATGATAGCATATTTTTATGTCCCACAGCTGGGCCAAGGCCTCCTAGAGCGTATTAGAGCATAGTCCATCACGCAGCCCCACTGCGGATTGGCGGACCATCGAAATCCACATATCGAAATATTTTTTTTGTTATTATTTCGAAAACATGCAGGTTTCCTCACTATGTTTTCCTTTATCGCTGAGCAAATAAAGTTTAGGAAATATCCATTAATATTCGATGTAGTATAAGCATGTAATTATACTAGAAGGTATAAGGATAAAGGTAAATAATACGTAATAATTACTTGTATTTACGCGATTACACACTATAAATGAAACTAATTTTACAGATTTATCGCGTTTATTTTAAATTTTTATTCCCGATGTTTCGAACCCTTTACAGCGTTTATGGTCAACGCTTTCGGTTCGACACGTCATACGTACGATATATCCGTAAAATTAGTTTTATATATAAAATAAAACAGTTAAAAGCAATATACACGATAGTTTATTTCGAGTAAACTAATTATAACGAAGTATATTATGTCATTTTTACTTGATCTTTTATACAAAACGGAAAGTGTGAACAATTTCATAATTTACAATTAATAATTCCGTTAAAATTTAGTATATGGTTAAATAAAATAAATAACTAAAATTTTGGAAAAGATATAACAATGGATGCACCAAGCATTGCTTCAAATGCTAAAAACCAATGTAGATAAAGGAAGTTAAGATATTCGTAGGTGTGGCAATCAGCCGTTTAGCTTAGTGGTTAAAGCGTCAGGCCGCGACGCAAGATGCGATGCAAGACGTGGGTTCGATTCCCACAGCGGCGACAATCTTTTCGTACTTTTTCTAGATATTTTAAACTCAAATTTTAGTTATATTTCTTGGCCCTAACCACATTCAAAAGGTCATTAAGATACAATCTGTTTTTTAGCAATCTCTACAAATTTCATTAAACGCTCGATTCCCTTTTTATTTATATCAAAGAATGGTTGTTTTTCGATTTCTATTAACCACTTTTTCAATCTTACATGATGATCCGCTAATGGAATTAAACACAGCACTGAAGTAATAGTAGACGCGGCGCAAATATCGCAGAGAAACATCTGAAAATGTTATAAAAAGTATTTAAATATTTCATAGAGAAAAATTAGGAACTATTTCTTTTTTTATGTGAGAAGGGCAAACGGGGACTCATGGACATTTGCAACACCCGTAGGGTTGCAGATGCGTTGCCACCTATAATAAAGTGAGCCTCGGCTACCTCACTCACCAGATGAAACACAGAAGTATAACACTTTACGCCGATCTTATGTGAGGTCGTATTGGAACTTTTATTTCAATTCGTTTCTTACAAATTAAATATTTTTTTTACTAAAATAGTTGTTTATAGCATTGTCAATGAAATGGTCTTTGAAAAAGTTTGATCATTGATCTGATCTGATAACTGTCTAATCGATAACTGAATGTGGTGGAAATAACCTTTCAGCGCGAGCGTACCTAGTGTGTCTGATCTGTCTTTATCCATTTGTTTTTTGTAAAGCTTCAAGTTTATTTAAAGAACGAAAACTAATTTATAGTTTCAAATGGTTTGATCAGATCGAAGTCCAATGAACTGTCAAGCCTGAAACTTTAATCTACTTATTATACCCTTATTACTTACTCTATCGCCAGCAAGCCATGTATGATAATGTAATCGATTTTCCAAGAAATCGAGTGCTTTGGTCCATTCGTTACATTTACTTTCACCAGCTTTGGTACCAGAAAAGAACCTCGTCTGTAAAAAAATAAACTTTAAAGAGCCACAGTCAAGGCCTTAGTCACAAATAAACTTATTCGGTAAATGAAACCAATTTTGTAGCCTTCCTTCAGCAACAATTCGCTGAAGAAAAAAATTCTTTCATAAATTCTCGTTCATCTAGAATATTGTTAATCTTACCATAATCAACAAAAAAATTAGATACGAAAATATTGAAAACAAAAACACAAATCTAGGCTTACGACGGCAAATCTACTTACAAAAATCTCACTGTCGATTGGGAAAAGCGTTGACGAGTTGAAGAACAACATCTCGTCCACTTTAGCTTTTGCCAGAGCGTCTTTAGGGTACAGTACGTTAAAATGGTCCCACTTTCGGCATAAATACAGCGATATTACATGACTGTCGCAGATGTTATCTGCCCCCGATACTAATGCTGGCACTTTCTGCAGAGGGTTAATCTGTGGAGAAAATTGATTGTGAAGTGAAATTTTTTAGTTGGCGATTCGAAAGTTAAATAGAAAGGAGGGTGCAATTTCAACGACCCGTTACGTTTACTCACATTTTGCTACATGAGATAAAAGATATAACGTAAAGAGAGGCTGCGGTAAAACCAGGCAACAGTGATCGCTGTTGCACGAATGGGTAAGTCCGTCCGGATAAGTATCACGATATCTCACAGAAGACCAGCGTTAAGTAGAATTGTTACACTTCTGCGTTTCGCCTGGTGAGTGAGGTAGCCGGAGTCCACTTTATTAAAAGGTGGCAACGCGTCTACAACCGTACGGGTGTTGCAAATATCCATGGACCGCGGATATAATTTATCATCATTTGAGCCATTAGCTCGATTGCCAATTTCTCATATAAAAAAGAGAGAGAGCGACGTACACACTCAAGAAAAAGTGATAGAATAGGATAGAGTAGAGCAAGCTCACGTTGTAAGACACGTACACGTCAAAAAAAGTCACAAAAAAAAAAGAAAGAAAATATTTTTTTATAGGGATATTATCACCATGTAGTGACCAGAACTAATTAAAAAACAAAATATAATTGTATGGTGGTTGTACATTATGAAGAATACAAGCAAACATAATATAAGGACCGCAATTGCTTGTGGTATAATTTTGTACGGCGCTTAGCGCGTCACAGGATTGAACAGTTGAAGTACATATATGCAAAATTGTAATATAATCGGTTTTATTACATTGATAATTTTACCCAAGATAAGTTTTAATGATGCAGGATCTGTAGAATTTCTTTTCTTATAAGTACGATTAAAATTTTGATTTTTACAAAACTCTTTAGAATATTCTAAGAATTTGATTAGGTATTACAAAGCCGCTTGATTTGGTACTAAAAAAAGGTCTGAACCACGTTTGCAAACGAACATTACGTCTGAGCAATTTCGATAATTTTATCGAGAATTTTAATTCTGTTCAATGGCTGACGATGGTGATGGTGATGAAGAATTTTCGTTTGTCTAAATTGCAAATTTTCAAGACTTACTCTCCTGTAGGACTCAGTTCTGTTTTCCGAAGCGAATAGATCTATAGTGCGGTGCTCGAGTTCTACGCCTAAGATAGAGGCTGTCATGGCGACAAACCTCACAGGCGGCGCCGCCACGTCGCCGTATAAAATGGGCTTTTCAGCTGTTACTGTGCATCTGAAACAGTCATTCAGAAATCAGAAAAAGTTAAATCGCTATGAAACTTAGGTGCTGTTCTTGCCTTAAAAATTCTTTCGAACTTCTTCAATAAATAATTGGGATTTTGTGGTGTTTTTGGGGCACAAGACGCAATCTTTCAGGTTGGATATAGATTTCAAACATATTTTCCTCCACTAGATACTATTGACTTACTGGTAAGTTAAGTGATTAATTTGCAAGTAATCACCAACACCCATGGACAGAAGATGTGCACGTGTGTTGTAGGAGTTTAAGATGAAAGGGATTTAAAAAAAAGTCATTTATTTCATAAACTTTACTGTAGGGGAGGCACGCGCAATTATTAATGTAGGCAATTTACGGTGGTAAGGCCACGCAGCAGCCCCAGCTGTTGCACGAATGGGCAGGCTCGTCCGGGTAAGTACCACGACCTCACAGAAGACCGGCGTCAAGTGGAAGTATAATACTTTCGCGTTCCGTCTGGTGAGTGGGGTAGCCGGAGCCTAATATTCAAAAGGTTGTCAACGCATCTGCAACCCTCGGGTGTAGCAGATGACCATGGGTAGCGGTATTCACTTAACATCAGGTGAACCGCCTGCTCTCTCGGCAACTTTTCACATAAAAAAAAACGCAGCAGCATTGGATGTAGGACTTGTGTGTAAGAGGTCAAATAAGACTGAGATAAAATAGGTCAATCCAGTGAATTAGATAACCTGAAGTCCAACATATATAAAGATGTTGTCCACCATCTATCTGATCTTAGTGTCTATCTAGTTAACAATTTCCATATTTGCCATTCCATAAAATAAAAAAGTGAATAAAATGTTCGTATGTGAGCGTGTCTCCTTTCTTTGTGTTACTCTGCATTTAAATGCCACGGATAACGTCAGAACTTGATCGTTATTTATGAATTCATCTAACCGCTAAAACTCAATACTAATTTATGTCCATAAATTTATTTATTTATAGGCAATCTGACTATTAAAAAATATTTAAGAACGGTGGGTTTTCTTTGATAGCTCTATGCCATTAGACGCCCCTGTCACTATGAGATCAATCGCATGCATTACGGCCGGCGAAATTGACGTCACTGTATTGTATAAAATATTTAAATAATAGTTTTTTTCAGTGTTAGCTGTTACCCACAGAAATTCACTAAACCACTGGGAGGAGGTGAACTCATTCATAATGGGTTCTCTACGAAAAATTGATCTTTTTTGTTATAGTCATACAGTAGTAATATTAATTACTTCTACAGTATGACACACTAAAGTTTCCTTAAGTCATACAAATACTTGTTCCGGGTGAGAACCTAACGCACACCCAGCGGCCCCCAATCTACCTTTTACTGACTGCGCCAACCGAGTCATCTTATTCACAAATAATTACTAAAAACAATTCATAATCTTCATTGTTCCTCCAACAAAAGACGAAACGATCAGGTTGGGTCTATCATTTACCTGTTGACGTTCCCCGCATTCATGAGTTTACAGTACATGTAACTTAAAAGCCACAGCGATGAAGCTTTTACTGAAGCATTGCGTTTACCACCGACAATTCGATCACTGTGTGGTAAGCATTATATGGGATGGCAGCACTAGCTAGCCAGAGATAAAATAATACAATTAAAAAACTCACTTTGCTCTATAGTGCTGGCGGTACGACAGGTTCCTTTTACCTATGGTGAAATTGGCGCGAGCTCTCAGATTCAACATGGCGGACGTGTTGGTGCCGCTGATGCGCCTAAGCGAATGCGATCGAGACTCCACCTAGGAACGGGATGGAGGGTTGGGTTATCGTTCTGCCGTGCGATGAACCGACAGACATGGTACCTGTTTATTATTTACATATTTGTAATACTATCACCCGGCTTCTTTAATAAAAAGATGCATGAATCAAACCGTGCGTTGGCAACACGACACGTAAACAATTATTCAGGGTACCGTGTGGAATATGAAACCAATGACAAATGAGGACGTCCAAATCTAGTGTTGCGAAGTTCCTCGTAATTTAGTCATTTTCTTCTGTGATTATTATTTATAACACATCTCTCTATTCTGTTCCTTTAGAAAATATTTCAAATATTTAATCTGTGGTCAATCTTTGATGACTTCGTGGCGCAGTTGTCAAGGTATTGGCTTCGGCGTGAGTTCGATTCTCACACGGGACAAACTATTTGTGTGATCCACAGACAGTTGTTTCGCATCTGGGTGTTTGTCCGCGTGAAATTTATATTTGTAAAATGTCCTTACGACACAGGATAGTGTTATCCTAAAGAAAGGGCAATGTTTTTAATAAGAAAAAAAATCTGAAGTATACTGACCCACCATGCTGCAATATAAGCAGTTCAGTCCTGACATAGGTGGATAACACAGCTGAAATCAAGTAAAATGTGTGGTGCTGTTTAAGGTATTAAGAAAATCAAGCAAATACCAATATTTCTGGTACCGAAATTCAAACAGAAAGGATATCCATATTCATCCATGAAGCCAAAAAAAGTTGGTAGTGTTGAATTGTATTAATTCTTTATTATTGTTCATCATACACATATTGTGATGTGTGTGTTGGTAATATGATATGTAATAAAAATAACTAAAGTTAATTAATTACACGGTACATTCGGTACGTTGCAAAACTATTTAATTGCGGGATATGATAAATCTGGTTTGCCACTAAATAAAAAAATACACCCGTACAGACTCGTGATAGCTCAGTGTCCGAGCGCTCGCCTTTAATTGAATTTACTCGAGCAACCTGAGTTCGATCCCCGGGGCCAGCACCAATGAAATTGATAATTTTAAGTGATAATTCAGTTATGAAAAAAAAGCCCGCTGAGTTTCTTTCACCGGTTCTTCTCAGTACAGTGGCTTTCTTTTCCAAACCGGTGGTATTAGTAGTATTTTGCCTATCAATAAGATAGTGTAATACTCCTATGTTGAATAAATGTATTTGATTTGGTTTGATCACAAGCATATTTTCGAATAATAACAATAAAAATATTTCGAAAATATGTGAAGTCCACCAATCCGCAGTGGGGTGGACTACATCCTGATACTCTCTTTACAGGGGAGGCCTTTGCCCAGCAGTAGGAGATTTATAGGTTGTTACTTTACTTTTTTTACACTAATACTAATAATGGTATACTAGTAGTTTTAACCGCAGTTCTCCGAAGTAGCGGGCACATCTAGCTGATATATAAAAATAGATACTGGTATATCAAGTCGATCTCTTACTAAATAAAAAAAATAGTTTTTCGAATGAAACGAGTAATTTCCAAATATACACGAATACGACATTGTAATGCTTTCATGGAATGCGATTCCCGCTGATTCGTCATGAACACGACTCCAAATGCGTTAAAACATATTAGTTATTAAAAAATCCTCTTACATATCAAATGGTATAATCACATAACGATTTGTAGTAGAGTAAAGTGTAGTAGACGCAATATTCCCAACAACAGGATTCATGCAGGTGAGTAAATACTCAAAGCAAATTCAATCCACACAACACACTTTGAAACCATTTTTTTGATAGTCAAATGAAAGATTCCGTCAACCCGAATCGCATTTGGTAATCAAATGAACGGAAACACCCATTCATTCGCCGCCATCTTACGAAAGAAAGGTAATATAAGCGGGTTTTGTATTAAGATGCCGCCGTAACTGTGTTATTATCATATGTGAAGATCCAACTTAAGATAATATGCATGTAGAACGTTTGATGAAGGGGCAAGCTACTAAGTTATGATTCGTGGCTGTGTTCCTTTTTATAGAGAGACTTACAAGAGTATGTGATTATTGAGAATAGTTTCTGCATGTATTTTGTAGGCTTTGCATAAGTATTTGCATTGCATAAGCAACCAATACAAGTTTCAGTATCGTCCTCTTAAAAAATCCAGATTTAAAATTGTCGACAATTACATCCGTTACATTGATCGATATTTCCACACAATAAAATATTTCCAAGCTGTCGAAAACGAACATTTTTTTATGTGAGTAAGTGGCAAACGAGCTAGCGGTTCACCTGATGTTAAATGGTAACCGCCGGCCATGGACATTTGCAACACCCGTAGGGTTGCAAATGCAACCACAAGTGGCAACCACTTATAAATAAAATGGCTACCTCACTCACCAGACGAAGCGCAGAAATGTAACACTTCTACTTCGGTCTTCTGTGAGGTCGTGGTACTTACCCAGACGGATCTGCACATTGGTGCAACAGTGAACACTGTTGCGTGGTCCTACTACAGTCAAACAACATTTTAAAATTTGATGTATGTGCACTCAGCATAAAACTTAACATTTGATTAAGAAAAGTATTGTCTTTATTTTTAATTCCCCCGTTCTTCATTCCTTTTTTCGGGTTAAAAGTCTATAACTTTCTTTTTTAAAATAATCAATTATTCTTATTTGTAACATAACTCATTTTGGAAGATAGCTCTGAAGATATTGCAGTCAACGCAAAAGTGCATTACTACTTAAAAGTAAATATTACTTTAACTTTAACCTAACAATTTCCATGTAGACATTCATGCAGTAGGAACTAGGTACTGCGTGATTTCATCGCAGTAGAACGGATCAAGGCAAATTATTGATTTTTCTGTGTTTATCACATTCGTATTACTCCGTGGCGCAGTTGCCAAAATATTGGCTTCGGCGTCGGCGGTCGTGGGTTCGATCCCCACACGAAACAACTATTTTTGTGAGCCACGGATAGTTGTTTCGCATCTGGAGGTTTGTCCACGTGCAATTTATGTTTGTAAAACGTCTTTACAACACAGGATAATGTTATCCTAAAGTAAGGCAATGTTTTAATAAAATAAAAGCAAAATAAAAAGCAAGTATCCATATCTCCAACAGAGGGCTCCCACAGTTTCCTATTACCTACAACAAATGTAAAAGCCAACCGAATTCTGATATTAGAGTTACCTTGATGGACTAGTTGTTTAATAGTTATGTTAGTAAGGTAACTAAACTTATCTTGATCTATGAATTATAATTGCGTTAAAGAAATCCTTCAGCGTATGTCAGTTCATGAACAGTAAGTTATAGATCCAAACCTACGTCTTATTTGATTGCTATAAGATACGAATATTCAATTATTTAATTTCTTATATTTACACAAACATTACGCTTTATTAAATGAAGCTAGTTTTACGAATTCGTCGAGTTCATTTTAAATTTAAATTCCTATTTCGGCGAAGCAAATAAGCCGTTAAAAATAAAGTTCTTACTTTATATACTTTATATAGGCTCTTGCCTATAATGTCCCACTGCTGGGCAAGGTTATTAGGGCATAGGCCACATGACCCCACTGGGGGATTGGTTGGCTTCACATAGCTCCGATTTTTTTCGAAAATATTCAGGTTTTTTACGATGTTTACCTTAACAACTGAGCACGTGATAATTCCGCACATAAAATTAACAATTTCATTGTTAATTTTATGTGCGGAATTCTGAAGTATTCTGAAGTATATTGAATTAAAAGCAAGCGCCTGGACAATGAGCTATCACGGCTTTTCAAATAAGCCCGTAGAAATAGTTTAATCTTTTGGCAGGTGCACTATTTAAAGTTAGTTGAAAAGACTAATAGGTATATGCTAAACAAAGAAAGGGAAGTCTCTGATCCGAAGGCATATATTCCTGTAGCGCTATTCCAGGTCCTAGAACGAGTGATGCTTGCGTATGGAACCGAGATCTTTTCAGGTATTTGATATTTCACAGCAACAACATGGATTCCGCAGAGGACGGCTCGCCAGTCGCGGCGATACTGACAATCTTGAACGTAGCCTAAAATATTCCTACACAACCTGTTGCTGTGATTCCGAATATTTTCAAATTTATCTCTATTAACATCAGAATTATCAAATTTGTTTTTAAAATTTGCAACATTTTTCTTACGTTGCAATTAATCTCTTGAATAAACCATAGAGAAGAATTATCGATTTAAGTTTAGGTGGGCGTAATTTATATGACAAGCAAATCAAGCCGTTGTAAGAAAATGCATAGCAGGCCACTGACCATGTTTAATATACCTAACAAAATCAATTGAAGAAATTAAAATAATATCTAGGAGAGTCGGAGAACAGTTAGGAAAAGAGTTAGCATAAAGGGGGAGAATACGGTATCTAAGTTCGATGCATTAACGATGGAGTTAAGCCGAAAAAAGCGGGATTCGTACTTTAGAAGGCATGTATGTATATCTCCCATAATGATAGAGTCCTCATAGAATGGATTTGTCTAAGAGGCTTTCAAACGTAGAAAAGTAGTCAATTGTAGGGATAGGATTATAAAATACGCTAAGAAGTAGATTGGCACCAGAAAAAAGTACTTCAATAATTAGGTGTCCAGCGCCTGGAGTATCTTGATTAGGTGCAAATAGTACATAAAATAATTTTTAAGGAGTCGAGAAGTTGAGTGCGTAGAGACTATACCGTGTGCGTGCATCCTCCCGCGACTTGGCCCTTATAAGCGCGAGGTTGTTGGAACCATGGGAGGTAGTGGGTTGACTCTTCTGCCTTTGCCTAATGGTAGCAAAGCATTCAAAGATGACGCAGCCTCTGCGCCTCCATCATCACACCCTCCCCATCACACCCTCCCCTTGAACACGTGTAGGTCGACGAGGTTACGTCTATCCAGAACCTTAAAAACGGCTCTGCACCCGAGATTGACTTTATTTTCAACTTAGTGATTAAAACAGTCCCTGTCCACCTCATTTAGTGACGATATTGAACGTACTTCTCTACAACTGCACCTTCTCCGATAAGTGAAAAGAAAAGTGCACGTTATCGACGTCCCTAAACAGTTAGTTTCTTCAATTTTGGGCACCTGAGCGGTCTACAAGTGCACCGCCTCACTGACCACTTTCTCTCTAATGGTCACTCTAACCATTTCCAGAAGGACAGTCGCATAATGTTACTTGTGTTCAACGTAGCGATGACTTTCGACAAAGACTGGCATAACGGATTAATTTATATACTCGCTAGGGGACTACATGTGGAACGAACGATTTTATTTTCATGACATCAGAGCCATTAGCTCCATAACGTAATGAACAATTTTTATTATTTTTAAATTATAATTAATTTCATCCCGTTATGTATGTCGTCAAAAGAATAAATCTGACTGCGCAGAAATCTGTAGATCATCGACATAAATATAAAATATTGATTTCATTTTGTGATATAAAACTAACAGCTTATAAAAGGACAAGTGAATCTTTAAGAAGATATACCTTGTTTGAAATGAAGAGTGACGACATAAGCCCTTGTCCCTGTAATAGTCTGTACGTACTCTTGGTCTGTACCAAATGGAATTACAAATACAATTTCAATGCCAACATAAATATAATTTCATGACGTTAGTGTAACGAATATTTAATACAATACATAGGTAGAATGGGTAAGGAAATAGAATCGAATTCAAAAATTGCGAGTATCGAATTACAAATTGTTAACTCGGGTACCTCACTACGTGGAATTTACCTGTCACGATCTTCCTTGTCAATTAATATAGAATTCGTAGATTTGTTATTGTGGTGGGGCTAAATGTGTAATTGTACGGGCGAGAGCAAGTTTGCTGTAATTAATTATGTAGATTATCAGACCCATTGTTTTGGAATGCCGCTGCATAAAAAGTAATCACATGTTCTCATGTAGTGTAAAGAAAGTGAACTTTCTGCGAAAGATTTCCAGTCTCCGTGCTAGATCTGTGTTGTCGCCAACTTTATGTCCGTGATCAATGGTTATTACGTTGTCCGTTCGTAAATCGCGTAACGCGATCGATTTAATTAAATAGAAAGTGTTCATTTGTGACTTTAACGAATGGCAGGTTTTCATGCAAGAGATACGATGCCTAAAATGGGTCTTGTCACAGATTTGCGGGAACAGTGGCTGGTGCGGGCTGACGGTGCTTTAGCTCATCGATTGCAAGATCGGGAAATATCTTCTCATCTGTGCGAGAACAGGTACCGAAATCAACAAATACGCGAGGATTTCCCAGTGGCATTGAGCGAACAGAGGGGTATAGAGCACGAAGTGCGTTTGAAAGAACTTGCACTTCGTCGTCAAGCTGAAATCGATGCTGAAATAGCTCGTGAAATGGCAGAAATAAATCTCCGTAGGCAGCGACGTCAACATAACGATATTCTACAACAACCAAGTTCATCGCGTACTGCTGCACCAGCGCCGCCGCCTGATATTGATCCTGAAGAACTAGGTCTCTCCTCCTCAGAGTTGGAAGAAATGAGGAGACGCTTGGAGCAGGAGGAAAAAGATGCTAGGCTAGCTAGAGAATTGAGTCACGAAAGTGATGAGGATGGGTTACTTGCTGACATGAGATGTGCCGTTGAAGCTCAAGACAGTGAGCTTGCTCGCTTACTACAAGAGAGAGAATATAAAAAACTACAGCGAGCCAAAGAGAAGGCAAAACAGAAAGCATTGCTAAAGAAACAACAGCGTTTGGCTCAATTACAAGAACCACTTCCAGAAATACCTCAAGCAACTCTTTGTGAAGCCTACAGTAATCCCCGGGATGTTATTCAAGAGAACAGGCTTAGACTGTGTAAATCTGTAGATTCAGATTTGAATTATGTAGAGCCTTTTGAAAAAGAGATAATACAATCAAAAGCAAGTGCTTTAATATCCAAAGAAATATCCAAACAATACTACTCTCACGATGCTGGCTCACCAAGTGGTAACACACCACATAACCACTCATTGTCTCTTAATGCCGATAAACCAACTTTTCACACAAACAGCTCAATTCAACATAGGCAACCTCCTCCTCCACCAACCACAGGCAAAAAGCCAAGGTTTCCTGACCCAATTAGCATTAGGCCTGCGTCCCACTACCCAACTGACAATGTATTGTCCGGTACTGATACTCAGCACAATCCTGTAGCACAAAGCCTCAGTGAAAACAATAACTTATATAGTTCCATATTTACAAACCAAAATGATAGTTCTCAAAATGTAAATTATGAAAGGGGTGATTCTACTAAACGTCTCTCAGTTATATCGGATATCACAGCAGAAGGTTTAGAAAAGAAAAAAAGGAAGAGGGCTAAAAAGAGCAAAGGTTGTAGGATACAGTAGTAGAATTTCAAAATCTTACATACAAGAACAAGTTGTTATATATTATGTTAATACATATTATTTAATAACATTATTGAAATACATTTTTAGACAATAAACTTATTAAAAATAACTTTTACACTCATATAATCTCAGTATTGTAGAATTCATTTTTTGAAAGTATTTCACTATACTACAATGGACAATATTTAATTTATCTGTACAATCTGTCGAAGTGACTGCAGAAAAGGAACCAATGAGCCATTTTTTTTATTAAAGTAAGGTCTTTATGTGCCTTATATTAGATGTAAGTTGGTAATAAAACATTCCAATTTGTGATTATATTAAATTCCGTGTATTCCTATTATACAAATATAGGAAAGCTTAAAAATAAAAATAAAAAACATTTGTTATAAACTATATGTAGAAGAAAACTTTTATGATAAAAATCACTAACAAACATTATGTATGACTTATACTTGAAACAAAATTGCAGAAATATTTATATTTCCATTTTAAGTATAAAATATAAAACAACCATAATTTTTATACAATTTTATATACAGGGTTTGATTGTCAGGAATAGGTTGTAAACTACCATCCACAGAATTGAAGTTTATATGTAACAGAGAATAATGATCAAATTATTCTTTAAAACTGTCCAGCATATAACTACTTTCAAGGGTGAATTAATTATGTTAATAACTAATAATAATGAAAAGAATCTATAATAAGACTGATTAAAAAATAACAGTTTAAAATATATTATTTCTATGATACAAATTGTCGATTGATTGTTGATTTATAAAACTGCATACCTGACAATTAATGTAATTGATTACACCTCTAAAGTAACATGAATAAACATGTTTTAGAATTGTCCAAGGTTTAAGGTTACATTTCATTGTAGGGTAATATAATTTACAAGAGCATTGTATATTTTATATTTGAATGCTATTTGTTTGGTGCTTTCAAATGGCCTTTGTCATACAAACATAAGGACAATAAGAAATACCTATATATTATAGCAAACAATTTTAACTAAAATTATGACTATCTAAAACAAATATTTAACAAAAATGTCTAGCTCATACCAATAAAAAAGTACTTTTTTATTGGTCTGAGCACAAGCAACCAACTATACTATAGTAGCAAGAGTATGGAATTTTATAACAAAAACCATTTCTTATGCGATTACTTTTGGAGCCTGTCTAATTTTGGATGGAAATGATTATTTTAATATTATGTTGTATTATGTTCATTTGTAAAAGTTTGAGCTCTCTACTTTGTTTCAAAACATGACTTTGTTTTTCAATAGATGCATTACTATGCATATTGCTCAATTGAATTTATACTGTATTAATATAAGACTGATTGTGTACTGACATAAGAACATAATTGGACGAAAGCCAATAGTACTGACCTAGAGTTCCCCACAATTGCATTGCTCATTAATTATAACTTTAATGTAACTACAAAATTATCTGATGACTATTTAGGTCAACAGAACTTTGATTTAGTTTGGCCAATTTCATATGTTTCCATTAATTGTTTGTATGTCTATGTTACAAAATGAGTTTTACACGAACAAGTTTCTTTCTTAAGTTCATTTATTTTTTTGATACCGTAATCGTTAATTTTACATGAACTACAATCGAAAAGTGATTGTAGTTCATGTAATTAACGACTTCGTATACGTTAAGAAAAACCCTGTATAAGTAAATAAGGATTTCTTTCTGTTTTTTATAGAATATTCTTACTAACACTTTTCAAATACTCTTTTCTTTGCAATAGTAATACATAATATACAGTAGAATAAATTACATTTAAGATTAATTGTAGGCTACACTGCATATTTAAAAAAATAGTAAGTGCAAGCACTACAATCTTTATTAAGTTTGTTTATGACCTGTGTCAAAATTTTGTCAATTGTGGTATTTATGACATCAAATTAGTCATGCAAAGGCTCATTTGATTTATATACCTCAAAAATTCAGATTTTCTTTACTGGTAAGACATTAAGAATTAAATCACCCAACTATCGCCGTCGTCATGAATATCCCAGCAGGAAAATATCCCTCTATGGCAGGGACGCTTGCGACTTGGCGGGTTCAAGGGCGATTGTTACAAATAGTTGTGTCTCTATTGCAATTTTGCAATACACCATACATACTCTTACTGTCATGATTTAAGGCTTACATTGTATGTGTAATGGGTTTTATCATTGCGGATTTCCCGTTATACAAAATGTAGTTTTAAATTTTATACGTAAGTAATCCTGCGAGTGCGATTTAATAATATAAAGTTTATTAAAACTCTTCTAAATAATTATCTGTAACTTTTTTTTAAATATGCAGTTTGCTTCGAATGATAATTTTAGCTTTAATTGCAATCTACGGCCTATATAGTGCCTTAATGAAACTGAACCAAACTCGAATATCTAACTTTTTTATAAGTGCTATATATTAGTTTAGTATTTTTTACAGATATTTTAAAACATGACACAGTGTCATTGTTGTATATTTAAATGAGTAAATGTCGATAGAAAGTGAACTTCACAAGTTCAAAATAAGTCCAGTTGATTTTTTATTTATGATTATTATTCGTATATTTCGAATTTAATTTTAATAAAGTGTTTGAATTCTATACTTTTTCTTTACCCAGATTCCAATATTGATTAGTTTATCTAATGGGCTACCTCTCAGAAAAGGGGAGAAGTAAAACTCCTATTTAAGGTGTATATTATTAATGGACATAAGCAGTAACGTTTTACTAGTGGGCAATCAATGGTCTAAATTCGACCATAATTAATTATACATGGTAGTGTGTGTAATGTTTTTTTTTTTAATTTTTTTTATTGATTGTATTTTATGAATAATTAAAAAATATTATTATATAGAGCTGTGATAGATAGCTCAGTGTCCGGGCGCTCGCCTTAATTCCATATACTCGAGCAACCTGAGTTCAATCCCCGGTGCCGGCACCAATCAAATTGTCAATTTTAAGTGATGACTTTATCACGTGCTCAACGTTGAAGGAAAACGTCGTGAGGAAACCTGCATATTTTCGAAATAACAAAAAAAATATTTCGATGTTACGGTATGTAATTATGTGAAGTTCGCCAAGTGCAGCCGCGTGGTGGACTATGCCCTGATTCCTCGCTGTAAAAAAGAGGAGTCCTTTGCCCAGCAGTGGGACATATATAGGCTGTTACTTTACTTTAAAAAAAAATATTATTATATTAACTATACTTCTACTCTATATTAAGTATAAGTGTGGGTAACTACATACTCTTCCTTCCGCGCAATTTCGTAAAAAGGGTTACATAGTTTTTGCCTCACCTATTATTATATAGATTTAGTATCAGATGTTTAATAATAGAAAAGAAAACAAAATGTGTTCTTTTAAATAACTCTCATGCTTATATTATGGTGTATGAGAATTATTTAAAATAATACATTCTCAACCCTATCAAGGATAGGGTTGAGAATGTATTATTTTAATGCATTTGCCAGATTTGATTTTGCTTACCTTAAGTTCAGTGTAAAGTATATTGTAAGGTGTTACAATAAAACAAGCTATTTTTTTAAATTGACTATGTTCATTCATCACATTAACCAGAATAAATACAAAAATATGACACAGGATTTGGGAGTGTCGTATGAACGGAGATATCACACTATTTAGTAATTTTTCCTGTGCTTAAGAAATTTCGGTGTACACGATATGAGGCGAGGATTCATGAGGAAAGAACTAAGGCTATCAGCAACAATCTGTTAAATTAAAATTTTGTAAACATGTACTGTATTTTTTGGCGCCATGTTTTTTATATATCGTAATAAGCATAGCAATGTTGATAAACATAATTTAGTGATAAAACAATAATTCAATTTACTTTTATTGTTTTTAAGTTTGAACTTTGAATTTCATGTAAATTTAAAAAAAAAATAATTATTTGTACCATAAGACCTCAATCTCTTATAGAGCGAAGTTCAATTGATGATGTGAAATTTGAAATATAACTATTAACATTTTCTTTATACAAGTTTACTGTGCAATGGGTACTTTCAGATTTTCATTGTAATGTTAAAATACATACAAAATGACCATTTAATGCTGCTTACCGACCAACCATTTAATTGGTAAACAGCATTAAATGTAAACGCTAAGCCATACTGGCTGCTTGTTTCTTCGCTTTGACCAGTTCAACCAATTCTTTGTATCTCTTCATGCAGTCTTTCTTGGTGCGATTGGGGATGCATTCGGCTATTTTGTCCCATCTCTCTGGAGTGCTCACCGGGAATGTCTTTATCGCTTGCTCCAGCAGCTCTTGCTCGGTTTTCGTCCACGGCCGCTCCTCTCTCGCGGTTTCCTTCACGACGTCTCCATTCACTTTTGGCTTAGCCACGCCGTTCACCAGTTTCGCGTCGTACTTCGATATGCCGCTGTCGTCGATGCTATTCACCACTTTCTTCTTGTCCTTTTCGAACTGATCGAAGGCCTCCTCGTTGGCGGCCTTCTTCAGGCTGCTCTTGGAGAAATCGGAGCTCTGCAGGTCTTTAGCTTTGTTCAGCACCTCCTTAGCGTTGAAGCGTCTCTCGTCGGCGAACGTTCCGTGCTGGTTGAGAAAGTTGGCGACCACCTCCCACCGCTGGTTGGTGCCCGCTGGGAACAGGTTCACGGCCTTTATCAGGAGCTGGGTCAATTCCGGTATCCATTCGATGGAGGCTTTCAATACCGCCGTCTTCTTCGCCTTCTGATCCTCGGATTTCTTCGTTTCGAACAAGGCTCTACGTTCTGCCTCGAGTTTTTCCTCGGTTTCCTTGACGGTCCTCAAGAAAGCGTCCCTGCCGTTCGCCTCCAATTCTTTCATAAAGTCCTGCAGCTCGGCGGCTTTCATCAGCTCGCAAATCTTCTCCACTGCGGCCAAATGCGCGACGGTTTCGTCGTCGTTGCGCGCGTAGTAGTTGTTGGCTTTGCACATATCCCTGAGGGATTTGCGCTCCTTGCGCAGGTTCTTCTTGAGCTGTTCCCTCTCCGCCCTCGCAGCGTCGAGACGCGCCTTCTCAGCTTCCTCTGCCTTCTGCTTAGCGAGCAGCGCCTCTTTCATAAGACGCTCCTCCTCGGCCTTTTTAGCTTGAACGGCATCCTGGAATATGTAAATGTTATTATGTTAATTAAATGTGAGATGGTTAATTTAGTCATTAATAATTTTATGTTAATGGAATTGAAGTATTTACTTATCATTAAACGAGGTGTGATCGTAAACTACGGTCAATGGAATTACATGGCTCACAGTTTGACAGTAAATCTGTCTGAAGTATTGCTTTCAATAGTCTTATTTGTACAACACCTAGAAGAGTGAAATCATAAGTTGCAAAAAAAATGATGTGAAGTTAACATGTTATAACTAGTGTAATAAATTGACAATGTGATGATTGAAATTGATTGAAAAATGACGATGCTTAATAGACATCAATGGCCGTCATGCCTTACATCATTCAAAGTCAGTTTGAATAATACAATATCTGTAAAACAATATAGGGTAAAGAAACCCGAAAATTGAATAAATGGTTTTCTTCTCCATCACTTCAATGCACTGTGCCAAACATCACTACTGTCCACAGTCTCTTCGTAAACTGAACTTTACAGTAAATTAATTGAAAATTGACATAAAATTATTTTTTTATAATAAAGTACTTTTTAAAAATTCTAATTTAAATAGTGCTAATCTCTGATTAAACATAAAAATTCTTAGAAACAATTTGTTTTTTTTTTGAAAATTGAAATTGAAAAGTTTTTCGACGCTGTGGGAACGATATTCAAGTCTTCAGGTTTACGCACTTTAGCCACAAAACTAAACGGCTGATTGCCTCACTGACGAAAATCTCAACGTCTTTTAGCATTTGAATTTTTTTTAGCATTTGAAGCAATCCTTTCCACCATACAAATAATTCTGAATATTGTTTTACAACGATAATTCGAATGAGATGTCACCATTGCTTTTTAGAAATTTAAATTTTTTTATAGTACCTACTAATTTCTGCATACAAGATTAAGCTTGGGGCATCCATTGTTATATCCGTTCCAGCATCACCACTGATTCAAAATCAAAATCAAATGTATTTATTCAACATAGGAGCATTACACTCACTTATTGATAGTCAAAACACTACCACCGGTTCGGAAAAGAAAGCCACTGTACTGAGAAGAACCGGCGAAAGAAACTCAGCGTGCTTTTTTTTTTTTTAAATAAGCAGTTTGACATAAATTCGTTAAAATACAATATAAGAACTCCGATTGAAAGAGCCTGGAGCGATCAGTTCATTACCAGAGTGTGTTATCATTTAAATAATCATTAATATTATAGTAGCCTTTAACACACAAACGTTCTTTTACTATTTTTTTTAATTTAGCTATTGATGCATTTGAACGTTTTCTGGAATTTTGTTGTAATAACGTATACATTGTCCCATAAAAGATTTACTTATTTTACGGAGTCTACTTGTGGGTAGGATCAATTTATTTTTGTTCCTAGTATTTATATCATGAACATTATTATGTCTTAAAAATTTATCCTTATTTTTATGGACATACAAAACATTTTCAAAAATGTATTGAGCAGCAACAGTCAATACCTTATCTCTTTAAACAAGTTTCTTAACGATTCTTTGGGGCCCAGATTGTAAACTGCACGAATAGCTCTCTTTTGTAAGATAAAGATTGTATTAATGTCGGCCGCGTTACCCCAAAGCAGAATGCCATAAGACATTATACTGTGAAAATAACTAAAATATACCAAGCGAGTGGTATCAACATCAGTTAACTGTCTTATTTTTTTGACCGCGAAAGCTGCTGAGCTAAGTCTACTCGCCAGTCTATTAATATGGGGGCCCCATTGCAGTTTGGCATCAATAGTTATGCCAAGGAATACAGTTGAGTCAATAGGGTCCAACGCTTCCCCATATAAAAGTACATCAGTTTTTACATGTTTAACATTGGAGGAAGTTGTAAATTTAATACATTTAGTTTTTTTATTATTCAACAGTAAATTGTTAGCACTAAACCAATGTACTACAGTAGATAGAGTATTGTTTACATCGTCATAACTTAAAGAACGTCGGTTTACTTTTAAGATTAAAGAGGTATCATCCGCAAACAATACTATCTCATGATTATTATTAACAAGATAAGGTAGATCATTTATGTAAATGAGGAAGAGAAAAGGCCCAAGAATAGATCCCTGCGGGACCCCCATATTTACCAAGGCCCCGGGAGATCTCTTGCCATTCACGTCAACTCTCTGAATTCGATGGCTCAAGTACGATTTCAAAAGATTGAGTGCGGCATCTCTTATACCATATTGGCGTAGTTTCCTGACCAAGGTCTCATGCTGTACACAATCGAAAGCTTTGGTTAAGTCACAGAAGTCCTAAGGCATCCTGCGACTTTTCCCAGGCTTCAAAAATATTCATAACGAGCTGAACACCCGCATCAGTTGTTGAGCGACCCCTAGTAAACCCATATTGCTTGTTATGTAATAAATTATGAGAGCTAAAATGCTGTAAAATTTGATTCAACATGATTTTTTCAAAAATTTTACTAAGAGTTGGCAGTACAGAGATAGGTCTAAAATTATTGGGGTCAGAAGTACTACCAGATTTAAACACCGGAATGATTTTACTATGTTTCATAAGGTCAGGAAATTCGCCACGATTGATACAAATATTAAAAATAGTTGCTAGGTAAGGTGATATTACATCAATAATAGAACTGATCACCTTAACCAAGATCCCCCATAGATCTGCAGTTCTTTTAACATCTAAAGTTTTAAAAGTTTTAACAATTTCTGTCTTGTTTACAGTAGTAAATTTAAAGTTGACTTTACATTCCATAACATTCTTTTTTAGTAATGACTCAGCAACTGTCGGTGAGGAAAGAAGTGACTTGGTTGTTGAAACTGGAATGTCAACGAAAAATTTCTCGAAGAAAGTAGCAGCCTGTTGATTTGAGTTAATAGAATTATTATCATTAGTTAACATTAGGTCAGATTTGCGCTTCGTGACTCTTCCCGTTTCGCTTTTAATTATTTTCCAAGTCATTTTGATTCTATCAGGTGAATTTTTTATTTTATTCCTAATATATAGAGATTTAGCAGTATAACAAGCTTTTTTAAATATTTTAGAGTAGGCACTAACATAAAAAACAAAACATTGACTATGATTGTATGTCCTTTCACTATAAAGTTCATACAATCTACGTCTACTATTATGAATTCCGACTGTTGCCCATTCATTGAAAACTACAGAGCTTTTAGGTTTGACTGTCTTAGGAGTAAATATAGTATTAAATTCCACTTTAATTAAATTAAATAATATGTTGTAAAGTGCATTGGGGCTATCATTATAAGGTAGATACGTCAGCTTTTTTGTTATATTACTTCTAAACTTCTCAACCCGAGTTTTATTTACAGGAACAACCATTATTTTTTGTACCTTAGCACTACTATTTTTTATATATGATTTAAAAGTGGCAAGTTGTCCGCAATGGTCTGAAGTAAATATATTAATAATAGACTTGTTAATTGGGTTACAATTTGTAAATATGTTATCTAAACAAGTTGCGCAAGAAGTAGTAGTGATTCTAGTTGGTTCAAGGAATAAATTGGCAAGGTTATATGAATTTAACAATGATCTGAATCTAATAGAGGTGGTAGAATTTTCTAATAAATTTATGTTAAAGTCACCACAGACAATAACATATTTATTAGACTCAGATAACTTCAACATCAATTCTTCCAAAACATTTTCAAAAGTTTTCAAATAATCATTTGTAAAATTTTCGGCAGATTGACATACATTTTCGTTATTATTCAAGGATAATTAGATGCACTTTTTTAATGGCTAGCAATGCATCTACAACCTTACGTTTAAGATGTCCATGGCGGTAATCACATAAAAAAATTGTAATTAGATATAGTGTTTATTATAACCCAACTAATGTGATAGATTATTTCAATACTTACAAATAATCTAATAGTAAATCATTCCGTCATTTTTTACTCTTGCAAATATAATAATTTAGTATAGTATAAAACATTAAATTTTTAATTAAATAAAATTATTAATGTTAGCATATCATACATTATTAACAAAAAAAAATTGCAGTTTCTACAATCATTGTCTTAATCTACTTTAATCTCTTGCTTATTCTTCTTTATTAGATGTTAAGAAAATAATTTTTATTAATTTAACCATGCTATTTATCAACACCCTCTTGGATATCTACAACACCTGATGGTTGGTTGTATTATATTATATTGGTAGCAGGATATATTGTAAACCTGTTCAATGGTACTTACCTTTGTTTCAGTTTATTATGCAGAAAGCAAAGTAGTTAAACCTGTTTTTAGATCACACAGATAAAAAATAATTAAATGATACAGATTAGAAAATTTACCTGTCTTGCACGCTTTGCAGCTAATTTCTTGTCTTTATCTTCTTGTTTGAAACGCTGAATTCTTGGATCATTTGCATAAGCTAAATCTACAAGACTACGGATTCTAGCCATTTCCTCCTTCTTTAATTTTGCTCTTGCTGCCTTGTTTTGCTTTTCTATCCATCTCCTCTCCTCCCTATCAGCACCCCTTTCTTTCTCTTCTTCATCCAAGTACGAAAATTCGCGCCAAGAATCAAATTCGTACCAAAATGCATAAAACCTCTCTACATATTCTCGGGAACTATTGTCATCACCCAATAAAGGCGCATTTCTCTTTTCAGACCAGCGTGCATTAGTTTCAAAGTACTTGGCAAATGCTTTAAAGAAACCTTCCTTCTTTACTTCAGCAGTTGTTGGTATGGAATCGTCGAACGTTGGATCTATGGAGTCATATGATTTGCGTTTGTTTGGTGTACCCAGGGTCTCATATGCTTTAGTAATACACGTGAAATAGTCATCGTCACTACGCACCTCTTCGCCTTGCGCCTTCCGTTTGTCCGGGTGATGTTTAAGTACCTTTTGACGGTAAGCTCGTTTAATATCATCTTCAGTTGCTTTATATCGCAAGTCTTTCATACCAAGAACAGCGTAATGGTCCTGCTTTTTCCATTCTTTCGGGTCCAAGCTACGCAGATATTCTACATCATCTTCAAATATCACTTCTTCCGTATTATCTTTTGAAGTTGACGTCAATAATTGTGTGTCTTCGCCGTGACATTTAATATTATAATATCTCAAGAATGCTACACCAGCACATTCAACTTTTCTTTTTAAAAAAGGCCATTGTATAGCTACCACGCGGCTATAACAATTCTGAGCGCCGTCGGTCATTTTCTGCTTACTTCTGCGAGAAAATACAGTGTCGATATGGACATAACCTCAAAACACAGTAAACACTTTACAAATTAGTATCGAAGAATACAACACTATAACAACTTATAATGTTGAAAACTACAATAGGAATTACAATAAATAATTAGTTTTCATGCTAACTACTTGAACACATTACATTTTAATAAACTCTACAGCGCGCCATGGAGATGACAAAACGTCAGTAATTCATGTGTAGGAATATTTCATTGAATGTATGGAATGAAGTTTGAACGAAGGTGACATTTAGCATTTTTAGAGCTTGCAATTAATTTATTCACAGTGTGTTAACAAATAACAAATAACAAATAGTTTAATATTGTTCTTCATACTGGAAGAACATTATTTCTTTCTTTATTCATGTTATGTGACGATTATTTACTTACTTTTCACTACTATAATTAAAAACTGGTTTTATTCAAATTGAAATATCTTTATTCAATATTGCAGCAATACACTTACTTATTAATTGTCAAAACGCCACCACCGACCGGTTCGGAACCAGCCAAAGAAAACATCTTTATCATTACTAGTTGTCGCCCAGTGGTCGAAATTCTACCATAATTAATTATGGTAGTGTGTGTAATTTTTTTCTTTTTCATTGATTTAATGTATTTTTCATCCTCTATATAAACTATAACTGTGGAAAATTTCATACTCTTTCGGCCGTGCAATTTTCGTAAAAAAAGCTTTGTAACCCACAAACTTTTGGCTTCACGTATTAATACATAGATTTCACAAGAAACATGTATTGAAGTCCACATGAAAGAGTCTGGAGCGATCGATTCATTTCCAGTGACAACGCATCAACCACCCTACGGGTGTTGCAAATGTTCATGGGCGGCGGTTAACATCAGGTGAACCCCCAGCTTACTTGCCACCTTCTGACATAAAAAGAAATCGTTCGTGGGTGATTATGATCACTCTTCATCAGGTGAGTCATTTGGTCATGTAACTTTTTTATAAACAAACATTAATTTTGGATTAAAATTCGTTAGCATTGACATTTGTTACAATCCACTAGGAACACTACTTAATATACGAGCAATAACAATTATACTTAATAAATATTGAACCAAATCTGGAATAATGTTATATAATAAACCATGCTTAATAATAATATATAATTTAATAGGTCAATCCTATTAACTGTATTTGTAATTTAATAAGTGCATTGATTTGTAATGTAGTTGTGATGACTCATTATATTTTTGTATAAAAGCGCATAATGTTTCAGTGATAGGGTACAACACTCTTATCCTTTGTATAGGACGTTACTCTGTCCTAATAAGTAGGAAGTAGTCTAATTAATATATAAAGTTGTTTACGCTATCCTCACTATTTTATTTTGGCCGACCAACCTACAGTCTTTAATACATTTAAAAGATCGATGTTTCAAATAGCATGCGAGGGTATTTTATTAATTATCAATCTAAAAAGTCTTAGAAAAGAGTACATAATAATATTTTTGTTAAACTGTGTATAGGTTTGTGTATTAAAAAAAATTGGAATATTCATGAAAAATGAATAAATAATGTACAGAGACAATTTACAATTTTTGCATCACACTTCATGTTAACAATTACTCTACCTATGATATAGATAGCAAATTATGGGTTCTGCAGATGATGAACCTATCAAAGTAAATTATTGCGCCGGTTCCATCACCGAATAGAATATAGACCACATAGAATGAAAACAATGACTTTAAATGAATTGTTATTAAGTTAATAAATAATTCTTAGTGGTAGAGACATAACAGCTTATTTGCCTAAAGTTACCAAAAGTAACAGCTTAGATATGTCCCATTGCTGGGCAAAGACCTTGGAAGATTTATCCTTTCCAGTTTCGTCTGATAAGAACGGTAACCTAGTCCCTCGAACCTCTTCTTTAAACGGTTGGCAACACACCCGGCTGCCCGCTTACCAATGTTTTTCACATAAGAAAAAAAAGGCAAGCCGAACATTTACCTATATTAAATCCTGTTTCTGACTTCGTTCAGTGTTTACTGTTTTTTTCTGTGGTAAGACTATATAACTGTTCGTCAGATTATAGTTTCTCGGTGTACAAAGGACGGTCTAGATTACAAAGGACTGGAGATTTGGTATTCGAATCAGGGCGATAATATTCAATGTGGGCCTCGTCGATGTATTAAAAAAAAGGACGGCGCCGCGCATGGAAGTAAAACACTGGAACGAAGAAATGAAACGCAAGATTGTCAAATGATTTATTGGCCGTTGAACCGCTCGGGCGCCCTCGTTAATGCGGCCTTGGTAATACCAGCCACAGGCGCCTCCACGAATAGCCATAGCGGTGCTGCCGTTAAGAAGGACATCATCACCGTAGCCGCTAATAAGACCAACTGCAAAGAGACGAGAATGTTTGAGTAGTACGGTGGTAGGGCCACGCAGCAGCCTCGGCTGTTGCACGAATGGACAGGCTCGTCCGGGTAAGTCCACGACCTCACAGAAGACCGGCGTAAAGTAGAAGTATAATGCTTTCGCGTTTCGTCAGGTGAGTGAGGTGGCCGGAGCCCAATTTTCAAAAGGTTGTCAACGCATCTGCAACCCTCGGGTGTAGCACATCTGCTACACCCGAGGGTTGCAGATGGACATCTCCATGGGCGGCGGTATTCACTTAACATCAGCTGAACCGTCTGCTTTTCCATTTGGCAACTTTTCACATAAAAAAAAGTAATTATAAGCAACTGTGGTAAAAAGCACGTCGAATCCGGCTAATGTTTGTGGAATCTGGATATTCCCCGAGTTTTAGCCCGATTAAGTAGAGTTATTTAATGAGCATTAGGCCTGTAAAGCTTGAAAGTGGTACCGGTGACTGAGAAAATAAGTGTGAAAAAATAATAGTGTAAGGTTGACACTTTATAAGAAGGGTTGTAAGTCATGTGACTACAACAGTGTTCAGTATGAATGTGGTATGAACACAAATAGTTTGGATTGACATTGATAATTCAAATTTTCACCCGATGTTAAGTGATAACCGCCGCCCATGGACGTTTGCAATACCCATTAGGTCGCAGATGCGTTACCACCTTTTAATAAAGAGAGCCCCGTACACCAGACCAGACGAAACGCGGAAGTGTAACACTTCTCGTTATTTCGGTACTTCCCCGAATGGGCCTGCCCATTCATGCAACCGACTGCTGTGTGGCCATTGTTAAATCGTTTGCAACTTTTTCTTTAAAAATTCACCACGTTGTAATCCGAAATGTAGGTGGACTGCCGTTGGGAGCCGGCGAAGCCCCTCAGGAACATCACGTGGAGCAAGTAGGCCCCGTAAGTGAGTCGGCCGGACCACGTGAAGCCGCGCCATTCGACTATGGGCCGGTACACCGCTGCAACATGTCGTACATGAATATTTCCTTTTCATCTCTACGGGGGAAGTCAGGCAACTAGACTGCATTTAGCCAATGATGTTTTTAATAAAGTTGACGCATGTCCTTACTGCGCGACGGTTAAAAATTGTTCCGCTTTACATTATATGAAGGTAATGATGATATAGAACGTACGATACGGAAAGAGATAGCAGTTTACAGAATTTCAACCTATTTACACCACTTGGCGTAGTTTGAATGCCTTTTGGTGCGCTAGTGACATATCTACTTCGTATTTGTATATAATCTCATTGACAGTTAGCACAAACAACAAACTACATATGTAATCATGTAACTATATTTTTGTGGATCATTTGTTGTAAAATATTACGCAAAGGGTACGGCTGCATAGGGCAGACAGGAGTAGTTGAATATTGTGTAATGTCACCGCCCGTCGCTATATGACAAAGGAGGCGTGAACGATCGGCGATGATTTTTTTATATATACGAAGGTGATATGACGACCTGATGTTAAGTGATAACTGCCCATGGACATTTGCAATACCCGTAGGGTTGCAGATTTGTTTCCGCCTTTTAATATAGTGGACTCCGGTCACCGTACTCACCAGACGAAACGCAGAATTATAACACTTCCACTTCAAAGTCAAAGTCAAAGTATATTTATTCAATATCGGCCTAACTTAAGCTCTTATTGAACCTCAACAAGAAATCTACCTTCACGCCGATCTTCTGTGAGGTCGTGGTACTTACCCGGACGGACCTGCCCATATGAGCAACGGCGAAGTAGGATGATGCAATAGATCATTATTAAGAATCCGAAAAACATCAAAATAGCGCACGTAGTAGTTAAAAGCAACTTCCCCAACCACGAAAGCGCCAATATACTACTTTATTATATAAATTGGCGCATTTGTGTTTCGCAGCAAACTGAATAAATGTTGATTGTATAGAGATACTATAGCATGAAGGGAACATCCAACTCACATTCAAGCTTAAAGATGCAGCTCAGTATGAAGGCGACGATGAACAGCTGGAACAGAGGCTTGTAGAAAGTTGCGTAAATGATTTCGATAGCTCTCGGTACGCTCCAGTCTTCTATGTAGAAGATCGCCCCAGACAGTATAAGCAGAACCCCCAGAGGAAATAGCAGCCACACTATCCACCTGTACTTCTGCAAACGGTACATAGGTCAGAGTTATAAGATTAATATATTTTAGCCACAAGCCAAAATCTGCACACACAAGATGGATGCTAAAATGTGAAATTTTGTAGATAAGTGAACAAAAACTTTCGGCGATGCGGGATTCAACTTACGTTTTCCAGGTAAGTCCAGACGAAGTATATTCAATAAACTTTCCCTAAATGCTCAAAGTTTTAAGAGTTCACCAAGAACTGTGGTGAGTATTTCGATTACCGGAATAGCTCAGCAGGTAAGAAAGTTACACTCGGAGAAGACCACAATAAATATAGAAACTATCACAAAGTATAAAGGTTAGCACTCAATGAAAATCAGCGCTGTGTTGGGATTTTGACTTCCAACACAGCATAATGCTGAGCTGCTGACCTATTGTAACGATAAGAGGGCGTACAATTGACATGACTCTTATGGTGATAAAAATACTTTTTAAAATGTTTTGGACATTCTTTGTATTAGATCCAGTTAGTTCATTCATGTTTGAATTATATACTGACTGTTTTGTCTTGATTATATACAGCGTGTCGTTACCATCGCGACAATAAATGAACACACGTCTAACGCTACTGGCCAATAATCATAAAAAAATATTAACCTTAAACAAAATCCATAATTAAAAAAAAATATATTTTTCAAACAAACTAATTAAGTAAAAAAGAAACAAAATTTTTAACAACCTATACAACTCGCACCACAGCGTCGCATTACAAGCCTCTCCTTCTAACAGTATGTTTTGTCTCTTTTAAATTCATTCAACCCATTCATATGCTTTGTGACCTTTACAAATGAACTTTACGTTACAGTTTTATACGTAAGGCTGTTCTAAAATTCTTTGTTTCGGAAAATTTAATAACTCTGTAAATATTGATGTTTAAAGAATGTATATGTTTAAAACAATTTTAAAAAGTTATCCTCTATATGTGTGTTCATTTATTGTCGCGGTGGTAACGACACGCTGTATATTGATTATATAAATATTGATTATTTATTTCTTTTATTTTTTGTTTTTTGCCTAAATTACGCTTCTTGTCTGCCGAGTAAAGTAACCAGAAACTTACTTAAGGTCGGCAACGCATCTGTGATTCGATGTCTATTGGCGGTGATTATGTCCACCGGTTGAGACCCTCGTCGGTTGCCACCTATCGCAAAAGCCGTGGCAGCACGGCTCACCCGCTCTTTCTACCAGCTACTACTAGCTCACCTTGTACTCCTCCAAGTCCTTGCCCTGCGACTGCCAGCGGTAGACGAGGAAGCCGCCAGCTAAGCCCAGCGTGTAAGTGGACAGGTTGGTGTGGCCCAGCACGTACATGCGATGGAACGTATCGTTGTCATCGTACACGGTGCGAGCGGACCTAGCACGGGCCGAATATAAATCTAACATACAAATAAGACCGTACACAGGATACTGGCGTGAAGCGTATTATGATATTTATAGCCTTTTTCCCACAGAATGAAGCGTATTATGATATTAATAGCCTTTTTAACCGACTTCAAAAACGGAGGAGGTTCTCAATTCGACTGTATTTTTTTTTTAAATGTTTTATCTCAGAACTTTGACTGGGCGAACCGATGATACTTTATTTGAAAGCTGGTGCTTCTGAAATTTTATTGGTATTGTATCTTGGGTTCCGGAGACATGTAGGGAAATAGAATAATAGAGTGAGATATTTGAAGTCGGTTATATTTTCCTTAATATAAAAAATGTTTTATGTATGTTCGCGTATAACTCCTTATATAGACGACCTAACCTATTTTTAGCGAGTATTTAATTTAGTTCCCGATGAAATTTAAATATGGCATCACATGGGAAGCACCAGTTTTCAAATAAAAAAAAGAATCATTGAAACAAACAAAAAAATACAGTCAAATTGAGAACGTCCCCCTTTTTTGAAGTCGGTTGAAAACTATCACCCGGTTCACTAAACTAGACCTATCTAGAGAAGAACCGACAAGAAACAAGTCTCGTTGTCTATTTTGATGTATAACATAAGTACACAAAAGTATTTAGTAGAAAAATGAAATACTTTGTGTACTTGTATACCTATTACACTTACTCGGGTGACTGGATAACGATTGCATCCAGATTCTCGAAGTAGGTCGTGGCGGAGGTGATCGCCAGGGACAGCAGGAAGGTCGCGGCGAGGGCCCGTTTGCGAGCCCTCGATGAACGGAAGACCAGGCACAAGAGCAGGCCAAAGCAAAATAGCTGCGTGTCGGCCGCTAAATACCTTGTTCAAATAGTCAAATAATGATATAGTACCTGGAGGACCTTTTTTGGTAAACCTAAATAAACATGTATTTTGGAAATTAAGAGAATAAAAAATAAAGAAAGCAATGATCTGGTATAGAAAAAAAAAAGTAAAAAAAAATAAGTCTGTAAATGATCGTGACACGAACCGTCAACACGGCCTTCTGTTTCGGGGCCGCCAGATTACCGACCGAGTTATTATGACCTTGTTTTTTCGGCGAAATTTACCGTCATATTCGAATGATATTTTTCATTCCCTGAAAACAGGGATAAAAGGACATTTTCTAAAAATGAAACCTAGCTAGATCGATTTTTCGCCCCCGAATCTACGCACATACTAAATTTCATAAAAATCGCTGGAGCCGTTTCCGAGATTCCGATTATATATATATATAGAGCCTATATATATATACATGTATAGAGCAGAGCCTATACATATATAGAGCCTATATGGCCATATATATATATATATATTCGACTGTTAGAGGAACTTCATTAGAAAACGGTGCTAGATTAAAAATAGAAAAAATTTACTATAGATAGAGGAAATGTATGTTTCATAAGTCGATGACTAAATTATATTCATTTTTTTCTACTGGATTTGATTTTTTTTGTCTACTGGATGGATTTCGATTAATTTCTACGTGTTCTATTTCTTTGACATTTGGTTCCTATTTAATAAAATATTGTGATATCTTCATTTAATGTAACGTTGTTAAAGTTTTTGTAAAAAAGGATTTTTATAAGCACTTTTCTTGCAGTAGGGCAAGCGGTGTAGTCGTTAATATACTAAACAATTAAAAAGTTGATATACTGAACACGAATCGAATAAAAATAAAATTCGATGTAACTATCGAAACTTTCCGAAAACAAACTCGCGAGAGCATAAAATAAGGTTTCGAGCTTGCAATTCGATCATATGACAATGTCTCAGCCAAATAAATATCGACTCGATAGATAGCACAAAGATCGCAGGTTAACTTGCTAGCTACCTCCGACCCCTATATTGTTGACCCGTAAATACATTTTTGTAACACTCGCGATACAGAAACTGTAAATAGTTTCAGCGGTCAATAGTTAGCAGGGGAATTTATTTTAATGTACAAAAAAGGAAGGGCGGATAACTGTGGTAGGGCCACGCAACTGTGTTCGCTGTTGCACGGATGGGCAGGTCCGTCCGGGTTAGTACCACGAGCTCACAGAAGACCGGCGTGAAGTAGAAGTGTTGCACTTCTGCGTTTCGTCTGGTGAGCGAGGTAGCCGGGGCCCAATTTATTAATAGGGGGCAACGCAAATGTCCGTGGGCGGCGGTTATCACTTAACATCGGGTGAACCGCCAGCTCGTTTGCCGCTTCCTCATATTAAAAATGCTGTGCACCCGACGCTTTGAACACTTACCAGGTGGCCATCATGCATTTGTCCTCGTACAAATAGTTGTGAACGTACAACAAATGCGCCCACCAATACTGCCTGCAGGCGTTCGACTCGGCGGTGACCACGAGATCCCACGTGGGGCCGCTGCCCATGTGCCTCATCAAAGTAGCGATGGTCGCCAGCACCAGCGCGTACGACGGGGTTAGGCTGCGAAACGGCTAGGTATTAGAGGTTTCGATGGCTGAGCTCCAGGAAGATGTGGGGGCAATACCACATATTTTTCATTGTTGACTTAACCACGCGGGAAAGTGTGACTGTCTTAGAGATACTTTTCGTTCTTTGTCGATGGCTTTCAGTGTTGGGCTTATTGGGTTTTTATGAATTAAACTCGCAACATGTACGAATGCATACAGGACCGATGAATGTAACTAAATAAAAAACCTCTCTGGGTCACCCTAACGAATACTACATTGTTTTCAGACGTTTGGTACATTGTATTGAAGACGTGGGTTCGATTCACACAGCGGCGACAATCTTTTCGTTCAAAAGTTTAAATAACTTATAATAAATAATGTGACTTACTAGTTCCTAAGTTGGACGATTTGCCTAGATTAAAATATAATATTCACCGTATCCATCTCAGGAGGACGCCCTTGGGGAAATGCCACCACGAGACCTTGTGCTTCTCCGCGTTGGTCTCGAAATTGTACGCCAATAGGAAACTGGACATCACGAAGAAGGTGTGCGTCACGAGGCTGCCGTTGAACAGTATTTGCTTAATGGGATCTTCGAAGGCCTGAAAAGAATTTACACACTGCATTAACAGTGGTAGGGCCACACAATTGGCAGGAATGGACAGGTCCCTGCGGGTAAGACACGATCGCACAAAAGACTGGCGTGTAGGCCGCGAGTGTTGCAAATGTCAATGAGCGGCGGTTATCACTTGACATTGTGTGGACCGTCAGCTCTCTTGCCACCGTCTCACATAGTTAAAAAAACACGTCACTTTACGATCATGTCGCTACACGATTACTTATATTAACGCAAACTTTAACAAAAGATAATTAATCGAGATGAATAGTTTGTCTAGTGACGCTGGCCTGGATGAGTCGGGAAATTATATTTTCAGGTTTACGCGGTACCATGCGTTGAGATAGATTTATTGAACAATTCATGCAATCTATTAAGTAACATTTGGTTATATAAATATTTTAGAAAGTCGTGATAGGCCAGTGTTAGGGCGCTGGCTTTTAATTAAATATACTCGAGCAACCTGAGTTAAAACCCGATGCCGGCATTAATGAAATTGATAATTTTAATTGCTGTATCACGTCCCCAGCCGTGAAGGAAAATATCGTGAGGAAACCGGCGTATTTTCGAAATAATAACAAAAAAAATACTAAATATGTGAAATCCGCAGTTGAGTCGCGTGATGGCCCTTGAGCCCTCTGTATAGAGGGGATCTTTGCCCAGCTGTGGGACATATGTAGGTTGTTACTTTACCTTTATGTAAGCAACTTACATATAAATCTCCTTTCTCCTGTCCCGATCCCACCTACTTGGGACCTGCACAACATGTGTACCATGTTGTTAACGGTACGGGCTAGGTCATTTACGACCGGCCGCAACAACAAGAAAATTATCAACTGAGTCAAACTTTCCAGTACTTGTCCCGTGTGGGAATCGAACCCACGACCCACTGGGCCGCAACCAATATTTTTAAAACTGCGTCACAGAGTCATCAATTTTAACAGATGAACATAAACGGCAAGTCCACGTCGTACAGCTGTACTTCCTAACGATTTTTAGGGTTCCAACCCAAAGGTTAAAACCCTATTACTAAGACTACGCTATCTGTCTGTCTGTCTGTCAGTCCATCTGTCACCAGGCTGTCTAATGAACCGTGATAGTTAGTAAAATATGTAGAAAAATTAAAATATGTAGAAAAAGTGCGACAGTTGAATTTTTCACAGATGGTGTATTTATGTTGCCGTTATAACAACAAATACTAAAAAACAGGATAAAAAAAAATAAGTGGGGCTCCCATACGACAAACATGATTTTTTGCCGTTTTTATAGATAATGGTACGGAACCCTATGTGCGCAGGTCCGACTCGCACTTGGCCGGTTTATATTATCTTCAGCTACTTACCTTCTCGACGTACAGCGGATTCTCTATGTAACCGTTCCCCATGACCAGTACGGCGTGCGAGAATATTACGCATACCATTGTCATCGCCCTGTGTTGGAAAAGGGGTAAACTCCGATTATTGGTTACAAGTCGATTTATTTTTTAATAACACGTTTTTTAGTAAGACGTGGAAGGAAAGGAACATGTTGTGCTGACCCCACCTAGTGTGGGATAAGGGCAGAAGAAAGAAGAAGGGTTTGTAAGACGCCGCATAAATAACGTTCGCCAAGCAGTTTGACCTTTTGTTCTGTCAGCACGCATGACTCAAGCATGTCTAAGCATATTATAATAAATCAATTCAAATTATTTATTCATCGAAATAAGAAATATGCATTTCATCTATCGATAGATTTTTTAAGTTTAGTATCGTTACGTAATCTGGTTCCTTAAGTTCTCTTTTTTGTCATTTTTTTTCAAATCTAAAACAAATTAAATAGTCCTTACTTGGAGCCCTATGTCCAGCAGTGGACTAATAGCGTGCTCATGATACTGACAAACGGTATGTTTGGAATTTTTATACAAACTACAGTCTTCCCAAAAATTTTTTTTTCATATTCAGTCAGTATAAAAATTGTAATTCTGATATGACCTCAGCCCGTGGAAGGACTTTAATCTCTCCATCCGCGGCTCTGGACCCGCACCGCTGGACGCCACCAGCTTCGCCCAGTTCCGACGGAGCGAGAATGCCAATACGTAAGCGTTACCTGAAAGATTAAGTCAGGATATGTAAAGGAAGCCTGAAGGTACTTAAAATGTAGTATCAATATCACGAATGGGCAGGCTCGTCCGGACAGTACCATGACTTCACAGAAAACCATCGTGAAATTAAAGAATAATACTTTCGCATTTCGTGTAGTGAAGGAACAGACGTTAGAAAACAGGTTTCAGAATCAAGAAATGTGGAAATAAGTAATTTTTGGGTGACGGATGTTACTGTTAATGATTATATTATCTTTCGGTGAAATAAAATTTAATGATCGCATCCTTACCTGATTTGCAATTAGGTTGGCAGAAAAGAACATCGTACAAGCTTCCTATAACATTCAGTGCTATCAATATCAGGTAAACGATAATCATAATGAAGTCACTCGTGTCCAAATCCAGTTGTTCGTCTTTGCTTTTACAGTAATGGACTCTGTTCAGTCGCGCTTGCAAGCTGTATTCTCGCCATATTGATTCATTCAGGCATACCTCAAGGGTCGTGCTTAGGCCCCATGTACTATTTATGTGCGCGCAAGTCTGCGTTACACACACTGCTCTGTGTATAAGTGTGTGATTGAAATGTTTCTTTGTGTCCGCCGAGTATTCCTGTAACATAAAGACTTGACAGTAAAGTTGACACAATTTATTATAAGTGTATTTATTATGGTAGAGTTTCTGGATATATCGGAATGTATAAAGAAAAAAATATATACGGATAAACATTTATATTTAGCGAAGACAGCAGTACATAACAGCAGATACACAAAAACAGTCAAAGCTAATAGCAAAAAACATATATAAGAATATAAAGTTAGGCTTTTATATAAGTAAACGGAAATATTTTTTATTACACTAGTGGTGCTATGTATAATAAATTAAAGATAATCTGTATCTCCACACAGGTTATCGTTAGTTTATTATACTGAACAATATCGTTTGCAGATTGTTCTAAACTAAAGAGAAGGAAGTAACAAATATAACATGAATGTCTTTGAAAATAAGAAACAAATATGCCTTAAGCTTTCACTGAACTGGTTATTATAACAAAACAGCTTTAACCTCTCATTGAAGTAGTATGTTTGCCATCTACGGTAACATCATCATTTTTTATCCTGTTCTAACGTGCGTTGCATGTGTCTTTTTTAATTAATTCGATTAACATAATCACAAAAATGGTATAGATAATATGCGATCTGTAACAACCTCTTTATCTGTGTCGCTAAAATTGTTATTATATTTAATAACACCTAGTTTGGTATCTAATTATCATGGACAGCTGAAACAGTTTAGGCGCTGTTAAAGAAGTAATAATTATTTTAATAGACACAATTATTTGTCGGAAAATTGTAAATTACCCATAAGATGACATACAAATAACAAGTTTCCTTCAATGGCTCACAATGTATACACAACTATCACTTTTATAGATTTATTATAAAAATCTTGTTTAATCTGTTTGGAAAAATATTGTCACCGAACTGTTGCTTTATTTTACGAACTTTCATTGGTCACCGTATCAGCCATAGCAATGGTAATTCGTGGAATAAGTCTCTATACGGTTTCTGGACGGTATACAATATAGATTACGAACTGACCAAGGTTATATTTTATTAAGAATATTATTTTATGGACGGCGTTATTATATCTTCACGAGAAATATATTATGGCAGCAATTACAGCGTCAGAGCCTCAGAACGTCAGATAGCTATAATTTTTATGTTAACTTATTCCTTCGGTTGATTATGTATATATATATATAAGATCGTTTATTAATATAAAATCAAATAAAGTGTGTACTAATTTGAGAGATCTAGGTTATGTTCCCAGTGTCAGTATCATCAACGGTGGTAGGGCCACGCAGCAGCCTCGGCTGTTGCACGAATGGTCGGGCTCGTCCGGGTAAGTACCACGACCTCACAGAAGACCGGCGTAAAGTGGAGGTATAATACTTTCGCGTTTCGTCTGGTGAGTGAGGTGGCCGGCGCCCAATCTTCATCAGATTGTCAACGCATCTACAACCCTCGGGTGTAGCTGATGTCCATGGGCGGCGGTTTTCACTTAACATCAGGTGAACCGCCTGCTCGCTTGGCAACTTTTCGCATAAAAAAAAACAGTCAAATAATATATTTAATTATATAATTGAGCAATGAAGTAATGAGTAAAAGCTTGTACACAGGGTTCAATCTTCTGAAATTGAATGAAAATGTGTTACTCCCTCTTCTCTTTTTTATGAGATTTCGTATGGAGATAAATAATACACTGGTCTAATACACAGGACCACATTCCCCTTAAAATTGACTACATGTCGATGTTAACGACACTTAACGAGATTAACGAAATGACTTGAAATTAACGACACCCAGTGTGATGTACTACTGGCTCACATCTATCAACTGCATTAGTGTTGAGGGCTCCGTGGTGAACAGATCTAGGTCAATGACGCAGTAGGTGCCTCCTGCGTCCAGCATGCACCCGTCGAAGTCATCGAGCTGATACATTGGGGGCATCCGGCGGTACTCGCTACCTGCAACACGAATCAGTTATATTATATTGATTTGTTGATTTTACACGAATATTATACGTATTAAATTAAACTAGTTTACGTGTGTTATCGCGTTTTAATTTTGTTTTTATTATTCCCGATGTTTCGATGTGACAGACCATGAACGCTGGAAAGGATTCGATATTAAAAGAATAAAAAAAATCAAAATTAAAACGCGATATAATTTGCAAACTTCTATCATTCAACAGTTCTATTATGTTAGAATAATCTTTTTTGTTTTACTATAATACAAATCCACAGCTCGTTTAAAGTAAGCAGGTACATCTTATTCGCTAAAATTACAACCAAAAAAGGATTTTTACACAACGTGCAACAGTTAAGAGGAAGAAAACACTAAAAATATATATAAATTACCTATAACTCATATGACTATGTTTATTTCCAATATTAAATATAACTAAATTACATATTATCTAATGAACCTAGTCCACGCGGCATGGTGCCAATTACTGGCTGCATTTTCTTGCATAATTATGCTTACCGTTTGAGAGAGTAAATAACCAACCCTCTTGTCCCCAGCCGCAGCAAGGGGTCTAAGAAGTAAACCTTTAAACATTTCGATGTACGGGGACCTCACGGACCTATAACTTAAATAAGAATATAAATATGTGAGATTATTCTATCGCATGCTTGTATCTGTGACCATATCGCATTGTGTGTTAGTGCGTTCTAGTCAATAATCCGATGTTAATTCTATTTTTTTTTTTATATCAGATATGAAATCAGTGGCGGATTTACAAATTTGCCGCCTATAGGCTGTAAAATTTTTGCCGCCCCTACTGACCTCTAAAATTCTATACCTTAGTTCGCAATCATATTAATTACATTTTGTTCTGTCAATAAAATTGTGAATTAATGATTTGTGCTCTATCATCTTCAATAAACCAGTTTTTTTTTTAGTTATTAGCATGATTTCGAATTAGGTTTTCGTTGTGTCAGTTTCTACATTATTACCACCCACGATTTAGTGAAGATTACACTAAAAACAGTTTTTGGGTATATTTCTGAACTGAAAAAAGCTCAATCATGTTCTTATTACAATACGGAGTAAGTTTAAAAAAAAAGGCTTAAAACAGTGTTAAAATACATAAAACATTTCTGTGTGACAAAAGTTTAGGGCCAAATTAGTCGCCCCACAAAAACCTGAAACTCTAGCCTACTTACAATACAATACAATATCAACTATTGCCGTCCACTGCTGAAGTGTGGGACGGCCTGCAGCACGATGAACTGACGACTTGAGAACGGTGGCGGGCAGCCTACTTAGCCAGGTGATAAATCCGCAATCCAATTGAAAATTAAAATTTGAAACAAAAAAACGCTTTGTTGTTCCCGAAAATAATAGACAGCCAATGGGAGCCTTGATGGGGATGACACGTCTTAATTTACGACGGGGTCTTAATTTACATAATTACACATTTTGACAACAGATGGCGCTAAGAAATGTTTGAATTTTTCAAATTATGAAGTGTCGAGGGCGTTTCCATCGGCCGGGAGTGTGGTTGTTAATGAAAATAAATATAATTACGAATCTTATTGCTTATCGCACACATTTGTCGTATATCTTTGAATATAAATTGTGTACTAATCGTTTTGTTCTTCGAACATTAACCTGCTTATCAGACCACTGCCCACAACTAAGTGCCTCTCTCTGTACTTTATTTTCCTAGTTACTCTTATACTTACTGGCATTTTACATATTATCTATATATTAATACATGAAGCAAACATTTTGTACCACTTATACATAGTTTATATAGAGAAAGAGTGCAGAATGCTAATATTTTTTTTTAATTATGCATAAAAAAATACATTAAAGCAATAAAAAAAAACATTCAAAAAAAAAATAACAAAAAGAACAAGACCGCAGAGTTTCTTGGCGGGTCTTCTCTGTGCAGGTCTAGTTTAGTGAACCGGTGGTAGATTTTTTGTTGATGTTCAATAAGAGCTTAAGTTAGGCCTATATTGAATAAATATACTTTGACTTTGACTTTGATTACACACACTCCCATATATAATTAATTATGGTCGAATTTCGACCACTGGGCGACCACTAGAAATAGGAAAAAAAATAGATGTAGGAAATGTTTTATCGGTTTCTTTTGCACTCGTCTTAATTCCGTGATAAAAGTTCTTAATTCTCGGTTTTTGGCGGCATATAAGTTCGTTCAATCAGTTTCAACCGTAAGCAGAGAAAACAAAAAACATTAACACGAGAGAATACTATATTAAAGTAAGCCTATACATGTCCCACTGCAGAGCAAAGGCCTCCTCTATATAGAGGGTATCAGGGCATAGTCCACCACGCGGCCCCACTGCGGATTGGCGGACATCACATATCTTCGAAATATATATTTTTTTGTCATTATTTCGAAAATATGCAGGTTTCCTCACGATGTTTTCCTTCACCGCGTAGCGCGTGATAAGTCAGCAGTTAAAGTTAAAAATTTCATTGGTGCCGGCACCGGGGATCGAACTCAGGTTGCTCGAGTATATTGAATTAAAGGCGAGCGCCCGGACACTGAGCTATCACGGCTCTAATATTAAGTGCATATTAGTGCACGGAATATTATATCAAAACTATTAAGTGGCTATGGACTGTCAGTGTTTTAATGACAAGGGAAATAAATTGCCTCAATTATTTTTCTGTCCCGTTAATAGTCCGTTGTCATATTACTGTTTGATTCCTTAGGTTAATATTAAAATAACTGCACAAACATGTCTGCATTGGACACGTACCTCTTTTAGTGCATACAAAGAGTTGTTACTTTGTTCATGATCATGGGTTCGATTCATGCGCGGGGACAGCCATTTGAATGATCTACATATAATTTTTCTTAATATAGATTTTTGCACAAATGTGCGTCTTTAGTCCTTTTGCGCTTGGGCCACACAGCTTGTGCTGTTGTACAAATTGGGCAAGCTCCTCCCGCAGAAAACCGGCGGGAAGTGGAGTATCATACTTCTGCGTTTCGCCTTGTGAGTGAGGTAGCCGGCACCTGCAAGCCACGGGTGTGACAAAAGTCCTTGGGTGGTTATCACTTAATATCAGGTGGACCGCCAGCTCACTTGTCACCGTCTCACATAAAATTAAGTTATTATATTAACGAAAAACAAAACCGACTTCAAATATCTCGCTCTGCATACATTTTATAATTGATTTTTAGGAGTTCCCTAAGTATCTCCGGAGCCCAAGATCCAATGCCAATGAAATTAATACGGGACCACATGGGGAGAACCAGTTTTCAAATAAATAAAGAATCATCAAAATCGATTCACTCAATCGAAAGTTCTGAGGTAACAAACATTTAAAAAAAATACAGTCGAATTGAAAACCTCCTCCGTTTTTGAAGTCGGTTAAAAATTATACTTTCATGTTTCGTCTGGTAAGTGAGGTAATTGGGGCAAAATTTTTCAAACGTTAGCAGCGTATTTGCAACCGGTCAGGTGTTGTAGACTATGTCCATGGGTGGTGCTTGCCAACTTTTCACATAAAACAGCGCGTAATACCTGTTAAAGTAAAGCTTCTTTTGTTATTTTTGTTTCAAATCTTCGTGATTAATAAATTAATAATAAAGGATGGTCTTCTGCGAGAATAGGTCAGTTGAGCCGTGATAGCTCAGTGTCTGGGCCCTCGCTTTTCAATACACTTGAGCAATATAAGTTCAAATCCAGGTGATGGCACCGACGCAATTATTCGTGCAATTTGAAATGCTGACTCATCACTTAGCGGTGAAGGAAAACATTGTGAGGAAACCTGCATGTTTTCGAAATTTCGTGGTCTTGCCACAGTTGTTCTATATGCGTTCATTCATTCAGCCGACAGCAATAAAACTTAAAACTATCAGCACATGGCAGCGAAGTTTCTACAGCCAGTTTTATCTTGGCGTGTAAGAAATGTGCATAAAAATTATTTGTGACTGTGCAAAAATTAAAAAAAATTATATGTGTTATTACTTACGTGCGTACATAAGTATAATTACTTATGTACGCACGTAAGTAATTATACTTTTTTAGTCTAACAGATAAATGAGATTTAACTAAAAATTTTATCCCCTGTGCCAGCACTTTTTGTTTGTGAAATAGACGTTAAATCCAATACTTGAAATTGGAGGTAAATTTCAAAGAGTTGTTATTGGTAGCCATGGTAATACCGTAAAGTTCATTTCTATATATCTATATAGTTTCTCTTAAGATTTTTTCAAAACTCCCCCAAAATAAGTATAACTTCATAAAACTCTGGTAAATACTTTTTTTAAGTGGCTTTTGTAACCATATCGAGTAATGCTACTCGTAGTATGAAATACATACATGCAACAATGTAGGATCGTAAATTCCATCCACCGCCGTACTGAATCTAATTACACCATAAACAGTGTCAATTACTTTAGGATTTTTACAATTTTTTGTACCATTATCTATAAAATCGACAAAAAAATCATGTCTGTTCTATGGGAGCCCCTTCCCTATGTGTTTTTTAATTTGTTGTTATAGGGACAACAGGAATACATCATCTGTGAAAATTTAAACTGTTTAACTATTACGGTTCATGAGATACAGCCTGGTAACAGACGGACAGATAGACAGACAGACAGCGGAGTTCGGAATAGTTTTATTCTTAGGGTACGGAACCCTGGCTAGAAGGCGGGCGAACTCAACCTGAAGTTTCCGTCCAGTCCAAACAGTTTCTTATCCGAAGATTGTGACAACGATACCGGCTCATCCACTGAACGACATATCGACGAACCCGGTGGATATCGGATAACTACAACGAGACAAGACCGTTTTGTTAGCAACACTGCCAGACCAAAAACTACGCGACATCTCGCGGAGAGCTCTCAGAGGGTTACACTTTCGCGTTTTTAACGCGCTTTTGTAAGTTTCACCTGAATGTATATATGAGTATAACGGAATAGTTAAACGTGATTTTGCACCACTTTGAACGATCAGATTTGAATGAGACCCATGACAATGCAATAATTTAAATAGTTTTTCCCATTATCCTGATCAGGACCTTCAGGATTACTTTTTTATGAGATATTAGATATTTCCATTATGACTCTACATTTACCAGTATACTGTATATACTGTCATTAAAATATTAAAACGCACTCGCCCTTTTCTACAATAAAAAAAATTTTATTAAAAAATTTAATCACACTAATCATAATTTAAATTTATTGAAAATGTTTACTTTTAGTTCGGTTATTTAATTATTTTCTACTTTTAGTTCGATTAATTACAAAAGCGTGTTTTTTAATTTTTTTTAAACTGTTTTCCCGCGTATTGTCAACATTTTCTAATTGACTGCCTGACGTCTTGGTCTTCTACGTAAGGCAAGATGACGAGGTACAATATCAAAAACTGGAATGCGAAAAGGAAATATAATTTGACGCCGGACAACATTGAACCTAGGGTCAAGTAGCTTAAGATACTGCGAAATGTAAGACCACATAAGGAAATATACTTCGCAGACGTGCATGCACTATAAACAACCGCTAAACATTCATAATTTTAGCTTATCTGTGGTCATGTTTATGTAGAACTGGCTGGTGAACCCTTATGACCGCTTGTTTAGTCTTTATCGAGTACGAAGTGAAAAAGAAAGTTGTAACATATGGATACGAATCCCACACCCCGGTAGAGGGTATTGGGGCGTAGTCTAAGTAAGTTACTGATCTAAGTGGAATCTGCACTTAAGGTGTCTTCGGCAATATCATTGCTACCGCCACGAGGCTTTAACTAGGTAACATGGGTAAAATAGTGTAAAACTGAGAACTTTTCTTATGTAAGGTGGCAAACGAGCTGGCGGTTAACCTGATGTTAAGTGATAACCGCCGCCCATTAACATTCCCAACACACATAGGGTTGCAGATGCGTTGCCACCTTTTAATAATAGACCGCGGCTGGAATGGCAAATAAAAGATGATAATAACAATAAATCATTAATGAGCAAAGAATCACATACTTTAATAATTACAAATGTACATTGGTTTTAATCGTTCAAGCAATTGCACGCTTATTGCTTTAAGAATAAGCAACTCAATAGTCTGTAGCTTCTTCAATGAGCCTCTATCCATGTCTGATAATGCTATATCGTCGCTATCCCTACATAATTTATGTTATTTCGACAATAATATAACAACAAGATATGAGGATGATTCTATATGAATTGAAAGAAAAGGGTTTTACCGATTACAATGAAACGCCCATACATTCTTTTAATGCATCTTTCACTGATTTTATGCAGTATATATATATATATATATATATATTTCGTATTCGTAATAATTTACTTATATATTGGCAATAGAAGATGATCAAAGCACAGCGAGATTGCCGTTCGGCGGTCTTTATTCGACACTCATCTCACACTGTGTAACAGTTCGCGTTAAATACAATTTTGTCTTTGAACAGCGAATAGTTTTAAATCCTCGAATCAAAAATCAAAACCAAATATCTTTATTCAACACAGTTTATTCGTTATATTACGTTTATTCGTTTATTATTACACTCGCTTATTTATAGTCAAAATACTGCCACCGGCTTTGAAAAGAAAGCCACTATGCCGAGAAGAACCGAAAAATTTTTTGACAGGCAGAAAAAACGTAAAGAACAGTCGCCCACGCCACTCAAGGCGTTCCTCTGTTTGAGGATGTCATTACAATTTCATTTTTTTCGATGTTTTTTTTTTTTTTCGCTTTAGTGATTTTGGAGCGCCTTCCACTGCCTGTAGCGACTGCCGCCCGCGCTCTAACACAAGGCCACTGCTGGTTGGTTGGCGAGTGTTGATTATGGTGAGAAAAAAAATAAGTCATTATTATTGCATTTATGGTAAGATGACCGTGAGTGCCGCAAGCTGTTTGAAACATCATTTTACAAATGGTACGAACAATTTAAATTCGTTTTTACATTGTTACAGTACTTGCCTAAATAGGAAAACTTTACATCAATGTCATCCAATGATATTTATTATAACATATTATGACGCTTGTCCATACTGCGCGGCGTTATAAAATTGTTTCGCATTTCATAAATATGACATATAAGTGAGTTTGACAGATAATATAGAATGTATGATACAGAAACAGATATCAGTCTATAGAATTACACAAATTAGTGTAATTTGAGCGCCTCTGTTTCGCTACTCTACTATCTACGTCCTATTTGCATATAATATCAAATCAAATCAAATCAGTTATTCATCGAAATAGGAAATAACTAAAATAAATGATTCTAGCTGTATTTACTTAAGTCAGACATAGAAATTTAAATTGTTTATAGTGCTAATCTTTGCACTTAAGATTGAACATTAAAATATGTAGAAAAAGTGCGAAAAGATTGCCGCCGCTGTGGGAATCGAACCCATTCCCCTTTGAATAGATAGACTAATTCTTTGTCTGAGGTAGCGCCAGCTCTTCGATCTCCTGTGACGTTGACTAACCTATTTGCTATTTCCTTAAAAAGCCTTATAGCGCTAGGACCCCACGGACCAAGGGTCTCGACACCGAATCATAGAAAATCTTATTCGGAGCCTATACTCCTGTTAACGCCAAAGTACTAGACTTCCACTTTATGCCGGTCTTCTGTGAGGTCGTGGTACTTACCCGGACGGGCCTGCCCATTCGTGCAACAGCCGAGGCTGCTGCGTGGCCCTACCACCGTACTATATCCGCGGTGTGCGGTATAAATATGATCGCGGTTGGACATATACAGTAACGAACGGCTGACCAAATACCTTTTATTTCTTTACATATTAACTAACACTTAGCAGTCGACCACAGAGATGATTATTACAATAAAAAAGCTTAATAATCTCGCAAAATGGGTAATCATAACTATTTAGCGAAGAAATGCAACTAACATTATTAGTACTATGCCGCGTGGACTATTAGTACTATGCCGCGTTTATCAGATGATAATTATGTGATTTAGTTAGATTTAGTGTTTGAAATATAGTAGCCGGAGCCCAATTTTCAAACGGTTGTCAACGCATCTGTAACCCTCGGGTGTGGCAGATGTCCATGGGCGGCGGTATTCACTTAACATCAGGTGAACCGTCTGCTCGTTTGACAACTTTTCACATTAAAAAAAACCGCGGTGACTCCGTGGCGCATTGGCCAAGGTATTGGCTCCGGCGTCGGGGGTCGTGGGTTCGATCCCCACACGGGACAACTATTTGCGTGACCCACAAATAGTTGATTCGCATCTGGGTGTTGTCCGCGTGTAAATTTATGTTTGTAAAACGACCTTACAGGATAATGTAATCCTAAAGTAAGGGCAATGTTTTATTAAAAAAAAACCGGGCGTGTTTTTTCACCGTTGAATTGACAAAACAAGCAATAATGTAAACAGCGCAGGTAAGCGATCTGAGGAACAACCCGACATGATAATTAAGTTAGTTCCATTTTCCTAGATAGCAAGATTTATTTTAGACTTAGTTCAAATACTGAAGTTAACTTATTTTATGCAGATAAGTTGAATGAGGTTTAAAACAAAAATGTAACAAATGCTAAAAATATTGTAAAGGAATGTTAATTTCAGACTGAAATTGAAATTTTTGTACTCAAGTTCCATTCAAATATAGACACAATTAAATTTTAAATTATTTTCAAATACAAGTAATGAAGGTAATAAATAAGGATTAACGTTAAATATAAAATTTGTAAAAATAATAAAATAAACGTTATTTAACCCTTATAAATAGGTAATAGGCATATAAATTACAAGTACACTTATGTACATACATTTTGTGCTATTTTAGTTAGTTATATAGTCAACTAGCTGACCCGGCAAACATTGTTTTGCCATTATAAATTATTTGTACGGTAGAAAAAAAAGGTAGGGTTGAACCACCCTTAACATTTAATGGGATAAAAATAGATGTTGTCCGATTCACCACCCTGGCCAGTATGCACACAAAATTTCACGAAAATCGATCGAACCGCTTCGGAGGAGTTCAATTAAAAACACCATGACACGAGAATTTTATATATTAGATAGATTTAGGTACTTTACGTTCTACACAATTAACGCCTAAAATACGGGCCTGTAGTCAAACTTCATCAAAATGTTTGAGTTAAGTATATGTTTTTTTTTTGCTTTATTCGTAAAAACACAAGAATTTCCTTGTATACCTTACGAATTTAATACTCATTTCCCTCTTTGTACAGTTACAAATTTAAAGATATTTAAACTTCAATTGGACGTACATAAAATGAGTAAACAAATCGGAATCATTTATATCGGGTAATGACATATTTATAACTTTAAGTGTCAATAAACTCACTGTTAATGCTGTAGACAACGCCATTGCAGCCGCCGATTAGCAAGAGAGTAAGAACTGTGACCAGCATGATTAGCCGTGGTAGCCAATGCTACCGTCCACCATCAGCCTACCGTCCACTTCACACACTCAAGTAGGAATAACTCAAGGCGTGTTGGCTTCTGCACTGACTTTTATAAAGACAGCTAAATGACAGTACTCTAGGTCAACATATGCGTGAATAATAACATTTCATTGTTGTACTACCGACCCGTCCAGGCTTCGCACGGGTGCAATATGTTATACATATAAACCTTCCTCTTGAATCACTCTAACTAGTAAAAAAAACCGCATCAAGATCCGTTGCGTAGTTTTAAAGATCTAAGCATACATAGGGACAGACGGACAGCGGGACGACTTTGTTGTATACTATGTAGTGATAGTGATTCCTCACAACGTCCATGCGATAGGTGCACGCGGTGAAATGTCCGTGTGTATATTGAAGCTGATTTTTAGAGGGATGATTCATGCCATCAAGTTGCTGTCGGAAAGTACCATTATGGTAAAGGTCAAGAGCAGAAGGTCGCAACAGGATGCGGCATCTTGTTGTAAATTTCATTCCGCTCTAGAATTTCCTAGGAGTCATCTCCGCACAGAAAGAGTATTGAAAATTCACCTAACTCAGATTCCGTTGACGATAGTTTATATATCATTGGTTAAATTAAAGTATTTTATGAATTTTATCATGTTTTATTTAAATTTCAAATTCCCAAAGTTTTGAACACTTTACGTTGTGAATTCACTTGTAGTATCATTTAAATACAAAAAAAGGGTTTAATGATAGATCAATATTGCCCTAATTTAATGGAATATTATTATCTTTTCACTTTATTTAACCTTTTGCACGAAACGCTCGTGAAATCTTTGCGTGTGCTCTCCTATTGCTAGGCTCAAAGCACCATGCGCTCGCGTGTAATAGATTATACGATTAATGTTTCCAAATAAATTATTTTGTTTCCTAGAAAATGTCATCAATTTGAACCCTTTTAAACATGTATGAAGTTAAACCACTGGATGCAAATAGCTCGGTAAAGAGATGTTTGAAAAGGTTTAGGAGAGGCCTACGCCGCAGAGGTGACTACTACTAGCATATTATAATAATAATGACGTTTTCGTGGGGGAGGCCTATGTTCAGCAGTGGACTCAAACAGGCTGAAATGATGATGATGATGATGACGTTTTTTTTATATACATTTATAGAGAAATATAGATCTAAATTTGTTTGTAAAGATATAAAGCCAAAGATAAATAGAAAGTGATGAAAAAAATTAACGTTAGTAGTAAGTAAATAAAGGCTATTTTTATTTTATTTTATTTAAACATGTGTGGAAAACTAAAAGAGAAGCATCCTGTTGGCCAGTTTAATATCCCAGATATCGCTGGAAAGATGAAGTCCATAAATATCTGAGCGATCTTCAATCAGCCAATTGGCAAGACAAAGCGTAGAATAGAGAGCAGTGGCGTATTTTAATGTAGTAGGCCAAGATACTTTTAGGGTTAAGTAAGTCAGCAAAGTAAATATGTGTTATAATTCTGTCACGACGACCATCCATTGGGATGATCTTGTCTGTCATGTGAGATGACGCCAGAACAGGCAGTAACACAGACTTAATTAGTACACTTATTTTAGTAATTTAAGTAAATTACACTAAAATTTCATTTTCTCTGGAATGGAGGGTCCATTGGAGGACGTTTTTGAAATCGTTCTATTTTCCGGGATGTAAATAAACATCGATGTTCTTTACGAGCCAATCTATCAGTTTAGTATTCTTTAATTACTTTGAATTTATGCATTGATTACGTCTATATAAGTATGTTGGTTTATAGATAAGTGGTATTTTATAGTGTTTAAGGCAATAAAACAACGTATTATAACGTAAAGTTAATTTTGTCCGTAATTATCTTTACCATACGACTGTTAGTCTCCGTTTTTTTATGTGAGGTGGCACGACCCGACGGTTCACGTGATTTAATATTAGATATCCGCCGCCCATTTATTTTCACATCAACCGTTGGGTTGCAGATGTGTTAGAACCTTTTTGTAAAGTGGGCCCCGGCTACCACACTCACCAGACGAAACGCAGAAGTGTAACACTTCTACTTCACGCCGGTCTTCTGTGAGGGCGCGGTATTTATCCGGACGGAACTGCCAATACGTGCTACAGCGTAGACGTACAGTAGCGTGGTCCTACCACAGTTCATTGTTTATGGAAACGAACTAAAAAGGAGGTGTCAGTTAACGGTTTGGCTGTTGTAAATGAAACAACTCCTAAGAAGTTGACGTACGAAAAGCATACTCTTTGCTATTCGACTGCTTATTGTTTTGAATTTGATCTTTGTTATATCTTTGATAATAGAAGTAGCATGTATCCTATACTATCGAATGTTTGGACGTCAAAATTGCCACCATATACGGGGTAAAAGAACAATATAAAAGGATAGATAAATAAAAGAATAAGTGTCAATAATACAGATATATCTCATTGTCCGCGCGCTAGCTTTCTAATTCAATATAACTACCCGAGTTCAGTACCGGCACCAGTGAAATTGTTAACTTTAAGTGCTGATTTATCATTTGCTCAGCGGTGAAGGAAAACATCGTGAGGAAAACTGCATTTTTTGGAAATAATAATAATAAAAAAGGATATTTCGAAGATATGTGAAGTCCGCCAATCCGCAGTGGGGCCGCGTGGTGGACTATGTCCTGATACCCTCTGTACATAGCGGGCTTTGCCCAGCAGTGGGACCTGTATAGGCTGTTTATTTTATTTTATTAGGGATAAGAAACAACTACAATATATGACATAAATAGATCTGCTGCGTTGAGGTAGTACATAATAAAATTGCAGCCGACTACATCATCACGTATTGAACATGCAATATTATTTTAATGGAAGCTAATAAATAAATTACAATTAATAAATACAAATATGTAGCAAAAAGATAAAAAAACACTTCAAAAATACACGATTATTAAAAATAAAAGCATAACTTATTTAACGTGGAAACTATTGGGTTCTTAAAGTTAGATTTACGAGTAGAGCATGCAAATATATATATATATATATATATATATATATATATATATATATATATCAACGAAATTATAATTATAAGATATAAGTACACGTTGTTTAGGACATCTTAATCCTGAATTTGTTCGGCAGGTGTTGGTGGCAAAGAGAGTGCCCGAGCGATAGTGCGAGGAACTACATAGCAAAGCTTAGTTGATAAATCAATGCAATCAATCAATTGTGGTAGGATCATGCAACAGTGTTCACTGTTGCACGAATGGGCAGGCTCGTCCGGGTAAGTACCACGACCTCACAGAAGACTGGCGTAAAGTAGAAGCGTTGCACTTCTGCGATTCGTCTGGTGAGCGAGGTAGCCGGACCCGATTTATTTAAAGCGAGCAACGCATTTGCAACGCTACAGGTGTTACAAATATCCATGGCGGCTGTTATCACTTAACATCAGGTGAACCGCCAGCTCGTTTCCCACTTTATCACATAAAAAAAATATACTCTCATATGTAAATTTAGGGAAACAAATAAAGCAAAAGAAAATAATAATCGTGTTTCATGTTAAATAGGCGTTACGGCATATGCGGCGTAACGTCGCGCGTCTCAAGGCGATCGTTGGTAAATAAGAGTCATTAATATTAACTTATTGAATTAAATTAAATTTTTTATCTATATTTGTAATACTACGTTAAATTGCGCCTTTTTTATAAAATTATCAGTGTGCTGCAGCTAAAGTAAAAAGTAAAAATAGACTTGTTAACTAACGTAAAACAAAATCAACTTCCAATATCACGCTCTGTATTCATTTTATAATTGATTTTCAGGAGTTCCCTAAGAGTCTCCGGAGCCCAAGATCCAAAAGCAATGAAATTAATATGGGACCACATGGGAAGCACCAGCTTTCAAACAAAAAAGAATCATCGAAATCTGTTCACCCATTCGAAAGTTCCGAGGTAACACACATATAAAATACAGTAATTGAGAAGGTTCTCAAGTTCTTAACCGAATTCAAAAGGAGTAGGTACTCTTTTTGAATTCGGTTAAAAAAATTGACTTGTTTATGAATAATTAAAAAAAAATATTTGCATTACTTCTGTATATAAACTAAATTAAATGAAATTTCATATTCCTCCGTCCACGCAAATTTCGTAAAAAAGGGGTACAAAGTTTTTGCTTCACGTATTAATTATATAAAAATATTACATAATATTCTTTCAATAAAATTGCAACTTTATGATTTGTGCTCTATCGTCTATTATTACATCAGTTTTTTCTCATTATTTTCATGATTTTGAACTAGGGTTTCAGTTTCTAGATTAATTTTACAACTCGCGATTTAGTTAGGATTACACGAAAAATAGTTGTTGGGTATATTTCGAAGCTAATAAAAGCTTCATCATGTTCTATTTATAAGACGGGGCAAGATATGCCTTAAAAATACTTATAATACCAATATATATAAGAGTTCTAACGTAAATGACGTAACGTAACGTAATGTAAGTTCTAATCTAAAAATACTTATAATACCAATATATATAACCTTCATTCTAATATTTTAACTATTACTGAACATGAATATTAACAACTATTAACGACAAGCAGCACTAGTGGCTCTATCACCGTCCGAGAACGCAGCCGAAATCCAAGTGACCACTCTCTACCCGACCCTGTGACCCTTAGCACGAGTAGATAACGTCATATCCGGTAAACTGTGATGCCAGCGCCAACATTCGGCCGTCCTGCATCACGCCTTCGTCCTCGAAGGGTGTTGTAGTCTGGTACAAGTAACCTTCATAAAATTAACACCTTACCGTGTGGCTTATCGCCCTCAACTGGGATGAATATCGCCACTTTCAGAACACCTTACACGGTGGCTTATCCCTCAACTGGGATGCATATCGCCACGTTCAAAACACTTACGCTGTGGCTTATCCCTCACAACTGGGATGCATATCGCCACGTTCACAGTTTTCATCGATTTATCAACTTAGGTAGCTTTACCGGTTAGACTAGTCGTGTATTGCTACGTTGTCTAAGTACCAGTGATAGTGTTTACAATGGATATCCATCGCCAGTTCAAGCCAAAACTTTCGTTACATTTAACTAAAAGATTTTATCACCATTACGTATGGTAACTATAAAACACATTGTTTTATTTTACGAGGGTAGGTACCAAAGGAGAAAATATGTCGCCGATTGTTTGAATAGCCAAACGCGAGTTTTCGTATTGAATCCCACTTCTGATATAAGAGTTCTAACGTTTTTACCTTCATTCTGATATTTTAACTATTACTGAACATGAATATTAACAACTATTAACGACAAGCAGCACTAGTGGCTCTATCACCGTCCGAGAACGCAGCCGAAATCCAAGTGACCACTCTCTACCCGACCCTGTGACCCTTAGCACGAGTAGATAACGTCATATCCGGTAAACTGTGATGCCAGCGCCAACATATATGAATATTTGATACAAAATAATGTAAAGTTAAATTTTCAAACCTCGTTTTCTCTACGTATATAATGATATTTTTCTGTATTTTTTTAGACAAAAAGTTTTGGCTCAAATTTGCCGCTCCCTAAAATCTGCCGCCCTAAGCTCTAGGCTTTAGCTTCTATCTTGCTGGTACATCCGCCACTTTATAATTTTCGATTCCCGACACTTCGAACCGTTTCCAACGTTCATAATCACGGAAAAGACTGAATTGCCTCGCGTCCCAATGTCAGAGTTAACCTAGTCAATTATTTTATTATTTATATAATTCGGATCTACACAAAAGGAGCTCATGATATCTTGAGGTCTAGCAGTATTGTACTGCTTGGATTTAATTTTATAATTTATTTATGGGATCTCCTAGCTCTATTTAGTTTCAGGTATTTTCTTATTTCAATATATTCGCGGATCATCATTGTAAGGAATCGGCAGTTTTGAGGTTTTTCAAATGTAATGTTGAGGTCGTTTTAAATATTCACAAATTACAGACTTACAATAAAAATAAAATGCTATAAAATCCGTAAAATTGTTTCGTTTAAACATGTATTATTCGCGTAAAAACAAGAAATCAACATGTCGCTAATGTCAACAATCGGCCATGGTTTACAGCGGACAGGTGAACGCCTTCTAAAAATTTGCAGCAATGTTACATTAGAACATCGGGCTATATTGTTATTACATTTAAACCTGAATATACTGTGAATCACAGTCTGTAATAGAGCTATGCAGTTTTTTTTTACTATAGTTTAGTACTGTGTTATTGTATTTTATAGGAAATATTGGATTAATGTCATAAGCAGGCTTCTAACTTCTACCTTCATAAACATACAAATTTCATCCACACCACCTCGATGTCCACTGTTCCACAACAGCGCTTCATTTTTAAGGCAATTCCTGCCTATCACAACCACTCTGCGGCACCAGCTGATGCCGGCGGTCTTTCCGAACCGTTACGACCTGGGAACCTTCAAGAAGAGAGCATATTCTTTTCTAAAAGGCCGGCAACGCATTTGTAAGCCCTCGGGTGTTGCAGATGTCCATGGGCGGCGGTGATCACTTACCATCAGGTGAGCCTCCTGCTCGTTAGCCGCTTTTTTCCCATAAAAAAAATAAAAAACACAAATACGAAAGACCTTTGTATTATAGAGTCCTGCAAATGTTTTTTCTAATGTTCATAGTTGGCAAACGAACAGGCAGTTCACCTGATGTTAAGTGATTACCGCCTGGACATCTACAACACCTGACTGGTTGCAGATTAAAGGCCAATAATAAAAAAGTGGGCCCCGATAACCACACTCACTAGACGAAATGCGAAAGAATTGGTCATACAACTGAAGAATTGTCACTTCACTACAAACACTTGGAATACATGCCATACTTATATAAAACTTAAACATAATACCAAAAAAAATAAAGAGAAAAGTTTTGAAAGAAAAAAATACTTCATGTTATATAGGTACATATCTCAACCACACCATCAAACACATAAAAGTTTACAATGCTAAAAGATATTTACAAAGTTTTACCTACCCTCTCCACAAAACATAACTAAACACCTTTATTAGATAACATATCATAAGAATCACCTATCATAAGAAGTCACAATTTATTCTTCATCCTGTGTTAATTATAATTTAATTTAAAAATATAATTAGGATTTTAAAATTTTTCTCTAGATATATAGATATAGACAGGAAGTGTATCCATTTTTTTTATTAAATTATAGATAAATAAAGTCATATAAAAAAATGATAAATATTTAAAATTACTCGTAATTAAATAATTACATTTATTTGAACTTATCTCAAAATGTGCATGATTGATGGGCAACTCATTTATTTTACGCGCCATTATTCATAACTAACACGCACGTTCGTTTCAAAAGTATACGACTCATTTATGAATGACTATCGCATTGTCAACAAGTTCTGTTTTTTAGGGAATAGAATGGCATTTTTTTTAAAAAAAAAGTTTGTTTTAATTTCAATAAACGATTATACTACCAAGTCTGAACCTCCTATGTGAATTTGGGCACTTTTAGAACATCCACCCAGTATATATTAGGTTCGGGAAAGTCTTTTCGCAAATAGGATGTACGTACTTATTATATAATCTCTTTGGCTATACCATTTGTATCTGGCTGGTTTTGGTATCATTAAAAAGTTTAAATTTAAAAAAAGATAATTCCAAATTCAAATTAGGAAAGTGTGTGATTTTCATTTGTTTTTCTTAGTGTTAAGATGAGTGATTCTAATGAAGAAATCGATACATTTTAAAATTTTACTAATTTTAAGGTGAAAATACAACGCAAGCCGCGAAAAATATTTGTGATATTTAAGTACTTAGTGCAGTGTTTGTGAGAGTACACAAATTTGGTTTAAGCCTTTTCAATCCGGAAATTTTGATGTCAAAGATGCACCTCGCTCTCGGCGCCCTGTTACGGATAAAATGGATGCCTTGAAAAAGTGGAGCAAGATCGGCATATCAGTAGTTACGATGTAGCTGAAGAACTGAGAATTGATCACACAACGGTTTTGGCGCATTTGAAAAAAGCTGGGTACTGAAAGAAACGAGCACTGAAAGAAACCTAATAATCATTGTACTCATTTGTAATTATTTATTACGAGAAATGAAACCGAACCATTTTTGAAAAACTTGATAACTGGTGATGAAAAGTAGTTTATCGTACGACAAGAACATTCGAAAAAGGTCGTGCTCAAAGTCTGGTCAGTCTTCACCAACTCTGGCAAAACCCGGATTATCTCGCAACCAGGTATTGCTGTGTATATGGTGGGATTGGAAGGACATCATTGATTATGAGCTGTTACCGCCAGACAGGAACATTGATTCTGCACACTACTGCGAAAAACTGATGAGATTAAAGGAAGAAGTTGAGAGAAAGCGGCCGAAATTAATCAACAGAATGGGTGTTGTTTTTTATACCATCACTAGCCACTCAGCAAAAATTATGAGAGTTTGACTGTGAGGTGTTAATGCATTCGCCGTATAGTCCTGACCTTGCACCTTCAGATATCTACTTGTTTCAGTCTCTTCAGAATTCTTTGGGTAATGTCAGGTTAACATCACGAGAGGACTGCCAAAACCACTTGTCGCGGTTTTTTGATCAGAATTCCCAGAATTTCTATAGCACTGGGATCATGTCGCTACCTACAAGATGGCAGAAAGTTATCGAACAAAATGGAACCTATATACTTTAGTTAAATGTAAATAAACTTTATTAAAAATATTTTGAATTTTCCTATAAAATGCGAAGAAACTTTTTCCCCAACCTGTTATTATGGTTATATCATTTATTATGCTTATATCATTTATTAATATATTAATAAATTAATTGAGATATCATTATATTTTGATGTTAAGAAAATTTTTAAAACCCTAATTTTATAGAATGTAAACCTATAATAGAGTTTCACTTGTTACACCTTGTACACAGACACAGTTTCATTTACTGGATAGTAATTAAAGACCATTTAATGCAATATGATCTTTGACTAAATGATTCCCCACTCGATGCAGTCGTCGACGATTTCGCTGAACCTCTGCTTGTACAATTCGTTGGGCTTCATCACGAAGTTGGTGACGTCTTCTGTCAATTTTGGCGCCGCGTCCGCGTCTACCGTCACGACAGGAAGCACCATCACTCCGTACAGAACCATTTGTGGAAGTTTCTGGAATGTTAACAATATTTCCTATGTTACTTAATTGGAGGTTTACTATCCGGTAACGTGTGTCAGCAATGTAATTGCCATTTATATAGAATCTCTCGGTTTATACTAGTTTTTATTAGTGTTTGCTTAATAGCTTTGTCTGTGTACACTGACAAGAAACTGTATTAGCATTGAAAATTTAAAATATTTGTAATTGATTTATATTTGTATTTTATTTTATAATTTATGTACACAGAGTTATGGCAGAAATGTAAATAGATGAAATAATTTGTACAAAGGCCCTGCTTATTTCATAAGAAATTTCTTCCAGCAGACCTGTGACTGGAAATTGGTTACAGATGGTAGTTAATTGTGTACATACATCAATTTAAATACACGTATATGCAATAATTATAAATATGATATCATTACTAAAATAAAATATATATAAATACATAAATACACACACATATATATATATACATACATATACATACATACATATATATACATAAATAAGTAAATAAATATATAAATATATATGTCGCATTTATACTGCCAAGGAAAGGTAGTGATCCTTAACTCTTTTCTTAAAAATCGATATAGTTTTAGATTCCCTGATTATCGGTGGGAGTGAGTTCCATAATCGAACTGCATGAACAGTAAAGGAATCGGAATATGAAGCGCTTTTATGGGGAGGGAATTTAAGGAGGGTTTTAAGATGGGAACGGCAAGGAGCGTACGGTGGACGAGCGAAAGCAAATCGCTCACGCAGGTAAGATGGTGAAGTAGGGCAATACAGGATATTAAAGAGCAGACATAAAATCCTAGTGTTCCTTCGAAATCGTATTGGAAGCCACTTGAGATCCTTGCGAAGATGAGAGGCGTGATCAAATTTACGAAGTCCAAAGATAAAGCGTATACATAGATTTTGCAAGCGCTCAAGCTTATTTAGAAGCTCCTCAGTAGCATCCAGGTAACAGGCGTCAGCGTAGTCTATGATGGGTTGGATGAGCATTTGGGCCAGAGAGATTTTAGTCTTTAAGGGCAATACACCCTGGAGGCATTTAAGAGCATGAAAAGAATAGTGAACTTTTCGACTAATTACACTTACATGTGCACGCCAGGAAAGATTAGATGATATTATTATCCCAAGATCCTTGACGGTATGGGTATATCGCATAACTTTACGGGGGGTATAGTAGAGAAATTGATCGAGTTTCTTGCATACCTAGTACCGATAATTATCGCCTGTGATTTAGTGGCATTAAGTTTGAGTCCAAATGATTTCGACCAAGAGTTTATCCGGTTTAAATCTTCGTTAACAGTAGCAATAGCTAAGTCTGCTTGTGCTGGAGGAAAATGATGATAAAGCTGCAAATCGTCTGCATAGAGGTGAAAATTGGAAGAAATAACTGTTTTGACTGAGTTAATAAAAATAGAAAAAAATAAGGGAGAGAGAACGCCACCCTGAGGCACACCCGCGCTTGGTTCACAAGAGTTAGAGAATGAATTTTCTATGCGAACGCGCTGCGAGCGGCCCCGAAGATAAGAGTCAAACCAATTTACAGAGGAAGAGGAAATGTTAATTGAATGAAGGATGCCGAGTAAAACATCAAAATCAACAGAAGAAAAAGCGTTACTGAAGTCAAGCAACACCAGTAAAGTAAGTTTATTTGTCTCCATAGCCCATCGAATATCGTCTGTAACTTGTCTCCATAGAGAATAGAGTAGTTTGAGGAGAGCAGTTCTGTGACTGGGCCGAAAACCGGATTGGAAAGAACTTAAAAGCGAATTAGAACATAGAAAAGTTGATAGTTGAGTATGGCCAATGTGCTCAAGAACTTTGGAAAGAAAAGGTAAGATGGAAATGGGCCTAAAGTGGGACATTACAGTCGGACAAGTAACCTTCGGGAGTGGTATGATGTGGGCCTGCTTCCAGTCCAAGGGAAATGAACAGGTTGACAATGAGTGATTAAATATATGGGTAAAAAAGGGAAGTACTGATGACAAAATTAAAACTATCATTCTAGAGCACATATTGTCACTGCCAACAAATGATGATGAGATTGCCAAAATGGATCTTTTCACACACTCCTCTGAAACAGGGGTGAAATTAAAAGAGAGGAAAGATGGCCTCGGCAGGCCAGACAATACGCGCAGTGTTACGGATTGGATGTAAGGATCCAGGATTGAGGAAGATTGAGAGAAATATTTATTAAGATTGTATTACGTCGTTTTGTGGAATTTCTTAAAATTCGTCACTTATCGGTGGAAATCTCTTATAGACATATAGATAGATATTATGAAAACAGATCCCTAATGAGTCGAGCGTCGAATACTTGTCTTCTTCTAAGTCTAACTCTTGGCAGAGCGGTCGTGGCTGTCGATGGAGAGGATTGTGTCTCGTCGTCCCTGTTCACTTCCAAGGCGAGCACAGTACGCAATAAGCCTCGCGTATAGCAAACTGCGAAGTAGTTCAGAGCTATATTTACCTCGGCTCTACTATATCCAACCTCGGTGGCTCTGAAGACGAGATCAAGCGTCGATGCGCTATCACACGGTCAGCAGTAGAGCGGTTAGGGAAGATTTGGAAACACAAACGTATAACCAAAAAAACCAAAAATTCGACTAATGATATGTCTGGTATTTCCGATCTTTCTGAGACACATGGTCGCTTAAATTACAAGATCGCCAAAAATCGATGCCTTGGAGATGTGGTGTTGGAGACGACTGTTGAAAATTCCGTGGACAGCGTTTCGGACTATATTTCCATCCTGAAAGAACTTCATATACAAAATAGACTTTCGTCGACTGTCCAACTACGAATTCTCAAGTTCTTTGGGCACATCTCTAGAAAGGAAGATTCTATGGAGAGACTTGTCATTCAAGGCCGTGTAGAAGACCTCGAGATCGAGCCCCTCCGCCCCTCCTCCTGGATTGACCTCATCACCAGCACTACGAAAGCCACCGCAGTACAATGTGCTCGCATTGCCAACAGCCGCCTCCGATGCAGGAACATCGCAAGATATAATAAACCGGATACAAATTTGAGACTGTAATAATTACTGTACATTGGAAGTCTTAAAACTAAAAGAATATAAGGACTTTATAGATTTCTAAAAAAAATTTAAATTTGTCCAAACTTCGCCAAAACATGTGACAACAAATCGAGGTTTATTGTACCAACAGTTACTCATTAATTCAATTGAACATAATCTTCTAATTAGCAATCACTTATGAAATATATTTTAATTACATTTCATACATTTAATGCGCTTTTTTAAGTTTCCAAATAATTAGTAAAAATCTTATAATGTTACGGAAATCCCAAAATAGAAAGCATTACTGTTTAATGGCAATTTTCGCTTTCTTCGTTCAAGAGCTGTTAGTACTTTGGTCTACTAACAGCTTTTTCCAATTTTAGGGTTCAATAAAAGTCTCTGTAAGGAGAGTCTTAAAGAAGAAGAAGAATCTCTTACCCTAAAAGTAGCACACAGTCTTATTCTAAGATTCTATGCAAAGTCAATGGATGTGTATACTAGTTATGCTGTCACCACCTTTTCCAACTCCATATCGAATGTCTCCCTTGGATAAACATCGATAATATCCAGCGACAGCCTCTCTAGCGAAAGTGCGAGTTGCTCGTAGTAGTAATCGATGAGCTTGTGGAAGTACTTGGCCCGGAACTGGTGGTCGGAGCCGAGGCTGATGAAGTACACGATGTCGCTCGCCACACACCCGGAATGGACCAACTGGTAATCCACCGCCATCGCCTCAAGTGCATCGTCCTGAAATTGAAACGAAGGAAATCTCAATATGTTATTGCGATTAAAATTTGTAGAAAAGTGCGAAAGGATTGTTTCCGCTGTGGGAATCGAGCCCACGTCTTCGTCACAACTTTAAAGAAGATCTGAGTAAAGTGAGGCAACGGGCCGGCCCCAATAACTCCTACCGACGTCTCTACGCCCAAGCCGTGGTCGTGGTCCATGGCTGACAGAAAGGGTCTTCTAGCACCCGGGGATAGGAGGCCTGAGAAGGCCATAATCTACTCTGGGTCGCGGAAGATAGCGTTTTCTTGTTCCCGTATCCACGGCCGATGCGACAGAGTCAGATGCAACGGTGGATTTTACCCACGCAAAAAGGAAAAAGGCCAGGTTAACTTTCTTCTTTTTTTCTATGTGAGAAGGTTGCAAGCGAGCAGTTTACCTGATGTTAAGTGATAACCGCCGCGCGTGGACATTTGCATCACCCTATGCTTTGTAACCTTTTAATAAAGCGGGCCTTGGATACTTCACTCATTAGACGAAACGCTGAAGTTATAACACTTCCTCTTCACGCCGGTCTTCTGTGAGGTCGTGACCGGACAGACCTGCCTTTCGATGCAACAGCCGAAGCAGTTAAGTGGCCCTGTAACAGTTAGTTCTCAACCCGCTTAAAGGTTGGCATCAATTACTGGCTTGTTACGGGATACCATTTAAGATCGGTCGAATAACCTGCTCATTTGCCCTTTCTCTCATACAAAAACACGCGTAAAAAACTATAGCTGTATCAAACTTTTGCCAATGTAAAGTTATTATCAAAAATTCAATATGGTAATGAATATCTGACGTAGCTGTGGTCCAAAGTGTGTCAACGCACTCGTGCGTTTCGTGCTGCCGTGACCCCAAACTTGCCATAATTCGCAATGCTTAACTCTCGACGACCTCAAAATGGCGGACAGTCGATTGATGGAATGTTTGTTTTACTCTTGGCGCATTTCACGGTCGATTTATGCGAGGTTTGCTAACGGAGCTAATTTTAAAGTTTTTCACCGCCATGGTATTAGAACTCGTGCCTTGCGGAATGCGCCAAACATTGCTTAAATTTTCGTTGGCGTGGCAATCAGCTGTTTAGCTTAGTGGTTAAAGCGCCTAAAGATTGTAGCTCACATATAAGTATGTTTGCTCTTTTTGTTACAATTGTAGTCTTTAATAATAAAATCTTTGTATCTAAACAACAAGCCAAAACTTTGTACCCATTATCACGAAAATTTCGGGGACGGAGAAGTTTTTATAGATAAGGAATGCAGAATGCTAATATTTTTTAGAATTATGCGTAAAAAATACATTAAATCAATAAAAAGAACATTACACATCCTATCATGTATAATTAATTATGGTCGAATTTCGACCACAGGGCGACCACTAGTATATTTAAAACAGCATAAGCTCGAGTAGACTTTCGACACTACGTAGGTATGGTCAACGCGCAAACTGGTGCTTATTTGACATCCACTGACTTATTATATTAACGTTTATTATATTATTTATCTATGTTTCTTACTTATCAAGTTCTGTTTATTAGAATCTGTTAAATACTGTCGTGATATTATTTTCGCATTGAACTCGGGACACAGATCAAATAAGCCTAATTAAGCAACTACCAGCTCTAGAAATAACTGGTTTTACAGCAACATATAATTATTTGCATGTAAATCTAAGAAATATAATAATAGGGTATGTGGATAGACCGGTAATAGAACGGTTTGATCGGTACAACGCTTTTATCGTTAGGTTTATGTAAATTTCAAGAGAACCTTAATTAAGAAACGTAATGAAATATATCTAAGTCTTCCAATCGTATTTGCTGACGGCAAAGAAATAAATATAATAAATAATTTTCGAACAGTTAAAAACAAAACAGGTCAACTTATTTTAAGCAGTATGAGAATCAACGAACCTATTACAATTTTAAGAACTAACTAGGACAACAATCTAATTTATGCACAATTTTCTAAAGAATTTTAATTTATTCCGTATTAAGTCTCTTTAATTTCATAAGAATCAGATCTTTAGATCAAATTTAGTTAAGCCTTTCATACAGTCAGAATATAGATATACGTAGTTTTGTCTAGATGTTCTACATTTGGTAAACTCCATAAAATTTCTATAATTTTAATCTGGTCCAAATAACCGAAAAGTTTTGGACCTGCATTGTTACCTGACTACATCGAATCGTATCAGTAACCGGATTGGACGTCGGCTACGTCTGGATTACTACACTGTATTAGCGTATTCATTTTGAATTCTCGTCTAGACGGGACACACTTAAATGTATATACACAAAGACATAAATACGCTATTGGGTTTATAAAACGTTATCATATATGTACATATATTTTTTTAATGTGAAAAGTTGCCAAGCGAGCAGACGGTTCACCTGATGTTAAGTGAATACCGCCGCTCATGGACATCTGCTACACCCGGGCACAGAAGCGTTGACAACCTTTTGAAAATTGGATTCTGGCCACCTCATTCACTAGACTAATCGCGAAAGTATTATACTTCAACTTTATGCCGGTCTTCTGTGAGGTCGTGGTACTTACCCGGACGAGCTTGCCCATTCGTGCAACAGCCGAGGATGCTGAGTGGCCCTACCACCGTAAAATTATTATGTTTACATATTTATTATGTTTTATTATTACTGTTTAATTAAAATTATTTTGTTTGTCAATTATAAGTACGATTACATAGAATGACCATTTTATAAAACACAACACAACAGGAAGTAAATTTTTGTCGTTTTTATTTATCCACAACCAGTTTAACTTTGACCTATTCACGAAGCTTTAAACTGGCTATGACAAAATAAAATATTGAATCTGACTTAAACAGAACCGATACTGCTGAATGTATTATCGAAAAATCTTGTTGTGAATTTCTACAACACTAGTTCGGTAGGGTCATGTTTTGATTCATTCATTCTGTTTAAGATTTAGATTCCCTACCTACTCAAAATAGAATAATTTTATTTACATCAACTTACCTGTCTTCTAAAGAGCAAATTGCTCAATCTATAATCGCCGTGCACAATCACTACCTTCTCCACTGGTTTCGCGTAATTCTTCATCGCTTTCTCATCGTACACAATCTTCCTCACTCTATCTCTTTTGTCTTCCTCGATCACCGCCAACGAACTCTCCACTAGCTGGACCCAGAACTTCTTCAGGTTTTCGGACTCCGATCCCATTTTGGACTCCAACTCTTTGGCAACTCTCTGGAATTCCTCCGGTTGCTCCTTCTCATAGGCGAAAGACAGCGCGTGGAACCTGGCCAGCGTCTGCATCGAGGTCGAAGCGTACTCCCAGTCCGTGAGCGTAAATCTATCGTAGCAGCTGTACCCACGCGCGCACAAGTCCTCGGTCAGCACCGTCTCGCTGCCCTGCTCCGTGGTGCAGCCGAAGAACTTGGGGAAGACGAACCTGTGCTCCGGGGGTACGGCATGCCGCCGCTGTATATCGTCGTACACCTTCGCCAGTTCCGTGTAGACGTACCTCTCGGTGCGGAAAATCCAATCGGCGTTGATGTAATCTCGCGTAGACGCGCCGAACGAGGCGACTTTGGCGAACAGATTTAACTCATCCCCCGCTGTGGTGACGAGGACTCTGTACAAAGCTGAGGTGTAGTTAGCCCCACCGCTGTCGAACCTATCGACCTTTATGCCAGAGACATCGCGCCCGTCCTTTCCGAGGGTTTTTGTGACCAGCTCTTTTAACACGTCCGCCATCATCGACGTCTCGATGACCACTGGGCCCACGGTGGGCGATCAAACGGCTATGGTGACCTTTCACGTAAATCTGACGCGGCCATTCTTTCAAACCTTAAATAACCAAAACTGTTAGATACGATAAGCCTCTTGTAACTGCGTCTTAGTTTCTTACGTGGATGACGTGCTCTAAGCAAGCAAAAAATGACACTAGACGTATTACGGTGCCGAGATTACATTAATTTTGTTATTATGACGGAACTTAACTTACCGTTAGGGATAATAAAGATACAATTGGAAAACATTTGAATAGTATTTTAAGTTTGATTTACATGTAATTGAAAGAGGAGTTAGAGATATAAAAAGGTCTATTCTTACCGACCTCAACTACTTTGCTCTCCATAGCTTTTAGGGTTTTGTACCCAAAGGGTAAGAGGGGACTAAGACTCCGCTGTCTGTCCGTCTGTCACCAAGCTGTATCTCATAAACCGTGCTAATTAAACAGTTGAACTTTTCACAGAACAATTTTTGAAAATTTCTGTGGCCGCTATAACAACACACAATAAACAGAATAAAAGTTTTTTAGGGCTCCCATACAACTGACGTGATTTTATAGATAATGGTACGGAACCCTTCGTGCGCGAATCCGACCCGCTGTTGACCGATTTTATTTACCTCACAGATTTCTATTGATAAAAGTTGTTTTATGTGTCTGAATTTATCACTACGAATTACGTGATCGTCAATAATGATATTTATTGCCGATGATTTAAAATCTTTGAAACACAAAAACATTATGCTACGTTCAGTGGACGCTAACACGAAAATAAATTATAAAACAAATAAATTGGCTGCGTCACAAATAACAATAAATTTTGCATTGGCCCGGGATTGATCTTATATGATATCGGATTGATCTTATGTTCCGCATTGAGAACGTAATTCATATACCATATCAAATACGCCATAGTAGCTTGAGTTCAAATCTGTTATTTGAATTTATGTCAATAACACGGGTAGAGGTTTATAGATTTAAACGTCACATGGTTTTCATTAAGTTAAACCTCATTTATTTCAAACTTTATGCAAAAAAAAAGCTATACGAAGGCGGAATTCATGCTAAAACTATTAACTTACAGTCAACCTAACTGTTGATCCTCAAAAGTTGAGTTAGCTGGTATAAAATAAAAAAAAGAAATGAACACACGTAATTTAGAGACAACGTTACATGTAATAAATATCATAAACTACTATGCAGGACAAATGTATGTAAAATAAGAGTTACATATAATAAAAATACATAGAGATATAATAATACGTACCTACATAAACACATACATACATACTTTTATATAAGGGTTGACTGATCAACCGACTCTTAGCTGTCCTTATTTCGAAAGGTAGCGTATTCCACAGGAGAATAAACTGGATGAAGAACTAAGATTGTATTATGTAATCAGAATGATGAGAAGAACATTGTAGAAGACTTTTGGTCGTGCGAAGATTCTTATCGTTTACAGTACAACGGTATTAGAACTACGGAGTTAAGTAAGATGGAGTGGATGAAGAATAAAATGTGGTCAGAGCTTTATAAAAACGTCATTTACAAATAGGTAGCCATTGAAATTGGGAGTGATAGGAAGACACGTGGTCATACTCATGGTGGTACTTACCCAGATTGAAAGCGAATCGAGTGCAGTTATTCAGAGGTCGGTCGAGTATATTGAGGTGATCTGCATTCGGGTTCAAGTAGCACATGCCACCATATAAGGAAAATTAAGGCCCGCACGTGCGTTACATTGGTTTCCGTCAGTAGGAACTTTTACTTTGTTATCGAGAACCCGCCGTGACTACATCGATATTTTAACAATGCATATAATATGTAAGTATACTTGGTCTTTGGTATTATATTAAACAAATGCATCACTCAAAGTTTTGCCGCAAACCCAGAGATAGCTGACAGAATCTTTTGTAAACTAAATTTTCTTTTCTGCGTACAAAAATACGCAGCCTTATGACTTTAGTGAGAGCACTAAGATAGCACCAGTGGGCAGCAGTGGAACTTGCGAAGTTTAAGCATAGTAAGCAAGCAAAGTAACAGCCTATTTATGTCCCACTGCTGCGCAACCTCCTCTGTTCAGAGGGTATTACGGCATAGTCCACAACGCGACCTGTTCAAGCATCTTCGAAATATTTTAATTATTATTTTTTTTTTTCAAAATCAAATGTATTTATTCAACATAGGAGCATTACACTCACTTATCAAAACACTACCACCGGTTCGGAAAAGAAAGCCACTGTACTGAGAAGAACCGAAAGAAACACAGCGGGCTTTTATTTTTTTAAATAAGCAGTTTGACATAAATTCGTTAAAATACAATATAAGAACTCCGATTGAAAGAGCCTGGAGCGATCAGTTCATTACCAGAGTGTGTTATCATTTAAATAATCATTAATATTATAGTAGCCTTTAACACACAAACGTTCTTTTACTATTTTTTAAAATTTATCTATTGATGCATTTTGAATGTTTTCTGGAATTTTGTTGTAATAACGTATACATTGTCCCATAAAAGATTTACTTATTTTACGGAGTCTACTTGTGGGTAGGATCAATTTATTTTTGTTCCTAGTATTTATATCATGAACATTATTATGTCTTAAAAATTTATCCTTATTTTTATGGACATACAAAACATTTTCAAAAATGTATTGAGCAGCAACAGTCAATACCTTTATCTCTTTAAACAAGTTTCTTAACGATTCTTTGGGGCCCAGATTGTAAACTGCACGAATAGCTCTCTTTTGTAAGATAAAGATTGTATTAATGTCGGCCGCGTTACCCCAAAGCAGAATGCCATAAGACGTTATACTGTGAAAATAACTAAAATATACCAAGCGAGCCGTATAAACATCAGTTAACTGTCTTATTTTTTTGACCGCGAAAGCTGCTGAGCTAAGTCTACTCGCCAGTCTATTAATATGGGGGCCCCATTGCAGTTTGGCATCAATAGTTATGCCAAGGAATACAGTTGAGTCAATAGGGTTCAACGCTTCCCCATATAAAAGTACATCAGTTTTACATGTTTAACATTGGAGGAAGTTGTATATTTTATTATTTCAAGGTTTATAGGTTTCCTCACGGTGTTTTCCTTCACCGCGGAACAGGTGTTAATTCAGCACTTAAAATTAACAATTTCATTGTTGCCGGCACTGGGGACAGAACCCATGCTACTCGAGTATACTAAATTTCTTTTTTTTTTTAAACTGCCCTTACTTTAGGATAACATTATCCTGTGTTGTAAGAACAAGCAATAATAAATGATAAGTAATAATTTTACAGACATAAATTTCTCGCGGAAAACCATCCAGATGCGAAACAACTATCTGTGGGTCACACAAACAAATGTCCCGTGTGGTAATCGAACCCACGACCTCCAACTATGAAGCCAATACTTTAACAACTGCGCCAAATTAAAAGCGACCGACCGGAAAATGTGCTTCACGGCTATCATGTGAAGCGAATAATCATGTTATAAACATTTCAACGTAAGAAAATACAGTTAATTGAAGACTACATAGGATTATATATTGTGTTTTAGTATGTTTGTGTCAAAAAATAATGTTTTATTGTTTGACACAAAAATACTAACACTACACGGCGTTTAGAAATTGCTCCGCTTCACATCACATGATATATATAATTGTATATAAATGTGACAGATGATGTATAACGTACAATACGGAAAGAGATAGCAGCCTATAGAATTGCAATGTAATAACACCAATTGGCGTAATTTGAGTGCCTCATTTTCGATGCACTAGTGTCATGTCTACCTCGTATTTATCTTTTATCGATATGACACCTGTCATCAATGTGTCTTTGCAAAGAGAATGTAATCACCAAAGAGAATGTAATCACTACGTTTACGTGGTGTCTTTGCTGTATATGAAGAAAATGTTAACTTGACGTTTCCCCCCTGTCAAATTTAGACAGTCCATTGGTATTTTTCATTTAAAATAATAAAAGGCTTCCAATACGTTTCCCCTCAATTCTTCCATAATGACTGCAATAAACACTATATTTATTCTAAAAATTAATAATAAAAATTAAAAATATACTATATTTATTCTTCAGACAGTCCATTCGGTATTTTCATTTTTCAAAAGGTAATAAAAGGCTTCCAATAAAATGTTTTGTATATACCAAACCTTACTGATGAGTAAAATAAACACTAGGGACACTTTTTAAACATGGCAATCAAATTCTATACATAGATAAGGATCCCTTTCCGGTCCTCCATAATGACTGCAATAATAGTCGTCATTGAAATTTCGATGGCGGCATTTATTTTTTATTGCTGTTTTTTTTACAATGTAGTTTTTTACGACAACTTGGCCTTCAGGAACCATTCATTTTTCATTTTTTAGGGTTCCGTACCCAAAGGGTAAAGCGGGACCTATTACTAAGACTTCGCTGTCTCCGTCTGTCTGTCCATCTGTCACCAGGATGTATCTCAAGAACAGTGATAGTTAGGCAGTTGAAATTTTCACCGATGATGTATTTCTGTTGTCGATACATTAGGGACCTTTACAGGTCCGACGGACTTGAAACCGACGTGACGTGGAAGTGTTATACTTATGCATTACGTCTGGTGAGTGAGGTAGCCCGCTTTGTTAAAAGGCTAACGCGTTTGCAAATCTACGGGTCGAATCCATGGGCGATGGTTATCACTAAACATTTGGTTATCCTCGGTCACTGTGACGTAGGCGCGGTGCTCGAAGTTTGTTGTCATGCAGAACTTGCTTGACATGTTGAAGCTCAGCGGCCAGGTGTTGTTTGTCACAGATCCCTTGTGCTCTCTGAAACAAAGATTTACCCACGGTAAATCAAGCGGGCTTCAATTAATACATTCTACAAGCCGCTGAAGAAGATTAGTCAGTTTTTACCATCTGTCAAGTGTAATATCCCACTGCAAGATCCAGGAGTGTACAAACTTGACTGTGAATGTGGGCTCTCTTACATAGGACAAACGAGAAGAGCTATAAAAACCCGCGTGAAAGAACATATAGCTGACATAAAACATAGTAGATTAAACAAGTCTGCAGTTTGTGAGCACACTGTAAATCTGCCCAACCACTACATCAGGTTTGATAGACCACAGATCCTTGCAAAAGAACACCGATTCCTCCCGAGGATGATTCGCGAGGCTATTGAAATTAAAAAACACCCAGATTTCAATAGAGAAGAGGGTTGGGTACTACCATCAGCTTGGGATCCTATCATCAATAAAATTAAATCTAAGCCCAAAAGAACCACTACTGCAAGACAAGATACAATTAGCTCCCTCTGCATAGATCGGACACAAAATTAATAATTCAAAAACTGACGGTGATGGTAGCCCGGGTTAACTTTGACAATCAGACGTCTAACACCTCAGTCTGTCCCGTGACCATGAACGCTGTAAATGGTTCGAAACGTCGGGAACTAAAATTAAAAATAAACGCGATAAATCCGTAAAATTAGTTTCATTTATTAGCAAGTATGTACTGAGAAGCTACAGTCAATATTTTTATTTCTTTAAACAGGTTTCTTAGTGAATCTTTGGGGCCCAGGTTATAAACCGCTCGGAAAGCTCTCTTTTGCAGGATGAAAATAGTATTTATGTCGGCTGCATTTCACCAAAGTAGAATGCCATAAGACATTATACTGTGGAAATAGCTAAAATATACCAGACGAGCCGTATCCACATCAGTCAACTGTCTAATTTTTTTGACTGCGAAGACTGCTGAGCTAAGTCTACTCGACAGTTTATTAATATGGGGGCCCCACTGCAATTTGGCATCTACAGTTATGCCAAGAAATACAGTCGAGTTAATTATGTCTAACGCTTCCCCGTGTAAAAGTACATCAGTTTTTACACTTTTTACGTTGGTTGTTGTAATTTTTTTTACTATTCAACTCGTTTTTTTGTTTCGTTTTTTTACTATTCAACATTAAATTGTTAGCACTGAACCAATGCACTACAGTGGAGAGAGTATTGTTAACATCGTCATAATTTAAAGAATGTCGTTTAACTTTGAAAATTAAAGAAGTATCATCAGCAAACAATACTATCTCATGATCATTATTAACAAGATAGGGCAGGTCATTTATGTAGATGAGGAAGAGAAAAGGCCCCAGAATAGATCCCTGTGGAACCCCCATACTTACCAGGGCACCGGGAGATCTCTTGCCATTCACGTCAACTCTCTGAACACGATAGCTCAAGTACGATGTCAGAAGATTGAGTGCGGCATCTCTTATACCATAGTGGTGTAGTTTCCTGACCAGAGTGTCATGCTGTACACAATCAAATGCTTTGGTTAAGTCACAGAATATACCTAAGGCATCCTGTGACTCTTCCCAGGCTTCAAAAATATTCTTCACAAGCTGGATACCCGCATCTGTTGTTGAGAGCGACCCCTAGTAAATCCATATTGCTTGTTATGCAGCAATTTATGTGTACTAAAATGGAGTAACATTTGATTCAAAATAATTTTTTCAAAAATTTTACTAAGAGTTGGTAGTACTGAAATAGGTCTAAAATTGCTGGGTTCACAAGTACTACCAGATTTGAACACCGGAATAATCTTACTATGTTTCATAAAGTCAGGAAACTCGCCACGTTGAATACAAATATTAAAAATAGTTGCTAAGTAAGGTGAGACTACATCAATTATAGAACTGATCACCTTGACAGAGATCCCCCATAGATCAGCAGTTCTTTTAATATCTAGAGATTTGAATGTTTTTATGATATCGTTCTTATTAACAGTAGTAAACTTAAAGTTTTCTTTACATTCCATAACATTTTTCTTAAGAAATGATTCGGCAATTGTCGGTGTGGTAATCAGCCGTTTAGCTCAGTGGCTAGAGCGTCAGGCCGCGAATGCCGAAGACGTGGGTTCGATTCCCACAGCGGCGACAATCTTTTCGCACTTTTTCTACATATTTTAATTCCTTGGATGTTTTGATGCTCCAGGCTTATACAATTATTGCCATTTTTATAATTCATATTTTTAGTTAATATTCTTGGACAATTCATTAAATTATTACTATAATACCACAATGATCGAATCTAAAAGATTATTCTAGATATTTCACTAATATATCTTAATTATTTTTAAGAGGGTCGGCGTACCTTAATTTTGCTCACGGTGTGGCGCTAAGCATTTCTGAACGATGCAAATCGAACCTACAACCTCTGGCCTAAGAGGCAGCTTCACTAATTCCCACGCCAATAGGGTCGATAGAAGACGCTCTGGTCCGGGTAAGTCCTTGTTATTAGTACAATTAAAGTAAATTATGCCATTTGAACCCATGTGTTGCGCCAGACAGTACTATTCTTCCATTGGAAAAATATTGTATGATGATCGTTGTATTTCTCCAGTTTCTGGTTGTTTGTATGTTAAAGTATTGTATCAGTTTCCTAATACTTTATATAAGCTTTGCTTACATTGGTACTAAATACATATAATGTATAACTAATCAAAGTGCTGTAGAAATATGTCCTGAAAATATTTACTATTTATTTATTTAAAACTAGCTACATTGTCATAAATATATATTACAGCATTAGGCTTAGCGAGTAATATAAATATTTGTATTATATATAGGATATTTAAGTTATTATTTTAATTTTAATATCAGATCTAAGGTCAATCTCGTAGGTGTGAGTCCATCATCATCACTTCGGCCTATTTGAGTCCACTGCTTAACATAAGCCTCTCCCACAGACTGCCACGAAGCACGATCCTGAGCCACCTGCATCCGTCTACTTCCCGCACACTTGCACAGGTCGTCACTCCATCTATTGGGGTAATTCTTACTAATATTATAAACGCGAAAGTTTGTATGTATGGATGGATGTTTGTTACTCTTTCACGCAAATACTACTGAATGGATTTTAATGAAACTTTACAATAATATAGCTTATACATAGGCTATAATTTATATACATATTTTATGTATATCTGTCTTTCTGTCTGAATGTTACGCTTGCAGCCTGTTCTACGCAGACGTAGTAGCGGGCAGCAGCTAGTCATAAATGAAGTTCTAATTTGTAGTTATCCGAGCTTAATGTAATTTAAAACGTTATAATATACCAGATTTATAATGTTACGAACACACAAAAAACAAAGAAACTAGCGCCATCTAGCGTCGACCAGTAAAACCACTCAAAGAACAAAGACAACATAAAACCCCCTACCCAATACTAGATAGCGTTAGAGGAACTACTGTCGAACTAGTCTTGAAAACCGGGTACATTCGCGAACTTTCCAGAATCACGATCACGTTCGCGCGTGTCGGGTACGTTCCAGGAAGGAACTTTCTGGAATAGTCTGGGACTCGTCTCGGCCCATATAAAAAGCCGCAGGGAGGCGAGCCAGTTCAGTTCAGTTTGAGCTACCTTCGAGGCGACTTCGAAGTGAAAAATAGTGATCAAGTGTGATACCAGTGAAACCTACGACTTGGCTACAACCTAGGACAACGTCAGTGCTTAGTGTTTGGACCTAGTGTTTTGTGTTGGACCTAGTGCTAGCGAATAAAGTCTTCAAAAGAGTCAGCAGATCTTTCTCTCCAATTCCTCCGAACCCTAACGCGTAACAATAAGTTTAACTGTTTGAAAGAATAATGTCCATATCTATACTTTATTTCAACTCTTTCAATGGAAACAGGACACCGAATATTTTTTTATACATTGCAGTGCATATTGAATTATAATTTTATTATAGTAAACCCATTGGAAAAGTACCTAGACAAGAATTTCATGCAAAAGTACGACTGTAATACCTACATATTGAGATAAAATTATAAATAACGATTATATTTATTATTTGTTATGGTTTGGAATGTATATAATCACCTCGATAATAATTATCAACGTTTCCAAATGATAATTATTACCTCTGTAGAACAATAACATCCTGAATCATATAAGACAACATAGATACAATCAATGATAACTAAAGTACGTGCGCCAACAGTTAATTGGTTCCTTGATATTTTTATTTATCATAAAAGGTGATTTTCAAACAATGTTTCATATAAAATATTCTGATATCATGTTTGGAGTATTAACAAGAGAAAAAATTACATTTCTATAGCATTTTAAATAAAAATAAGAAGAATACATAAATATTACGACTATATTTCACATAAGATAATAATTAAGGAAGATAATTCTACGTGAAACTTATATTGTATTACTATTTGTTTGTCTTATCCACGTCATGCACACATTATAATTGCAATAGAAGTAGAACATAATGCCTTTAAAAAACTAAACACGTGATTTATAACAAATCTTACGAACACAAAACTATTTATAATTACTTCACTAATTAGACTATTTAATGGTTATTATGACACAATTACAATGGTAATTTCATTTTAAAATCCCACCAATTGTAAATATTCTAACGTCTTACACTCCAAACCGCCCAAGTACTATAAGACTATGTACCTATGTTGTAAATTTTTCGGCTAGGTGGGAACTTAAAATAAAACTATTCGATGAAATTCGTTGAAAACATCGAAATCTCCTTTTATTAACGATCGGATTGTTCATATGCAAAATCGTTGTCTAAATGACTCCCCACTCAATGCAGTCGTCGATGATTCCGTTAAACCTCTCCTTGTATAAATCGTTGGGCTCCATCAGTAGGTTGGCGACGTCGTCTGATAATTTCGGCGCCTCGTCAGGGTCCACCGTCACGGCGGGCAGGATCATCACCCCGTGCAAAACCATTTGTGGAAGTTTCTGGAACGTGTTCACAATGCTTTTCACTCTCACAGCCAGGGGACTTGCAAGTGCAGAGCAAGAGTCATTTCCACACATCCTTGTCCTCAATGTATTCCTCGACATTATAATAAGCCCTTTCCATTAAGGTGGCTTTTACAAAATGTTTGAAATTATTTACACTTAGTTGTTTGTGGATGTCACCTATTCTATTATATAAGTTAATACATCTACCAAGAAACGATTTCCTGGTTTTAGCTAGTCTAATCCTCGGTATTTCCAACGTGGCACCACGGCCCGATGCGATGTGGTATGTTTTTTTGTAAAATGGTGTATGATGTTATTTCGTACATACATCATGTTCTCAAGTATGTATAGCGACGGCAGCGTTAAGATGTTTATTTGTTTAAAATATGCCAAAGGGACTCATGTGGACCCAGGCCATAGACAGCCCGTATCGCTTGCTTTTGCAATACAAATATCGTGTCTAAACCGGATGCGGAACCCCAAAGTAAGACACCATAAGACATAATACTGTGAAAGTAAGCATAATAAACTAATTTAGCTGTTGCCTCGTTTGTTAGTTGCCTGATCTTGCGTATGGCAAAGATGGCAGCGCTGAGCTTTTTAGCTAATTTATCTATATGCCCTCCCCATTGCAACTTGAATGCCTGAAACTTGACCTTGAATTGACATCGAAATGAATGTCAATGCCTTTTCCAAGGAATGCCGTTGAATCCTCAAGAGGTAGGATGTTGTCATCAACAAAGATTCCTGGTTTGTGAGACAGCTTTGATAATGAAAATCTGATACATTAGTCTTAGTGGCGTTCAGAAGTAAATTATCGGTCGCAAATCAGCCCGACACGACACTTAGTATTTCATTTGGTTGCTCTAATGTAACATCTTTCCTATTAACCTTAAACAACAGTGAGGCATCATCCGCAAACAAAATGATTTGAGACCTTTTTTCTACCACATATGGCAAATCATTTATGTAGACTAAAAACAGAAATGGGCCCAGGCCCGATCCCTGAGAAACACCCATTTGTACTATTGATCCCGATACTGTACTACAGAGCAACATATACCATTGCGTTTATCTCGTGAGTTAACCGAACCCTATGGTTGTTAAAGCATATTACGATCCGCTTACCCGCTCTTCACGTACAAAAATAAAGTTACAGAAATCCCACAGCTGCACAAATGTTAGGGGTTAATGCGAGAAGATCTGACTCTAAGGTCAAAACCTGCATCGCTAATGGTATTTAAGTCGTATGTAAAATAATAAGTCCAATATACATCACCACCTTTTTCAACTCCATATCGAAAGTTTCCCTGGGGTAAACGTCGACAATATCCACCGACAGCCTCTCTAGCGAAAGTGCGAGTTGCTCGTAGTAGTAATCGATGAGCTTGTGGAAGTACTTGGCCCGGAACTGGTGGTCGGAGCCGAGGCTGATGAAGTACACGATGTCGCTCACCAAACAGCCCGAGTTGACCAACTGGTAATCCACAGCCACCGCTTCAAGACCGTCGTCCTAGAAATACAACGATACATTCATATCATTTCGATCGTATATGTACAGTAGAACCTTTACAAGTCGAACTGTTGATGTTCGAGACGAGAGAAATCGAGTTACAAAGTTTTTGACTTATAGAGAATTTCGATTTAGGCGGATTTTGATTCGACAGTAAGAGGTGGGTCATTCTTATAAATTTTGAGTTAGAGGGGTAACAGTAAAATAAAAATCCAAGTTGTCGATGTTTTTACGGATTTATCGCGTTTATTTTTAATTTTAATAAACGTTTCGAGCGTTCCCTTGACTTGTTTTCGAGCGTTCCCTTTACAGCGTTCATGGTTACGGGTTAGTTTCATTCATAACGTGTAATCGCTTAAATACAAGAAATTATCATGTAAAACATTACTTATGTTCGAGACACAGAGGTAAAGTTTAATTTTTCGAGTTATGGAGGGAAAACATGTACCAAAATGGCTTGGAGGGACCCACTGATTATTTTGACTTATTAAAGGGTTGAGATTTTGAGTAATGGAGGTTTTGATCCACAAGGTCCTACTGTATATATATGTAATGAGAAGGCTTTACGAATTTGTGACTTGGTTTGTTGCGTCGAGGAAATTATCTGTGGTTGACCAATTTTGGTAACAATGTAGGTCCATCCACAGTTTAGACTAGCAATCTTGCGGAGTTTGTCAACAAATGCATTTGTCCAGGTCCAACTCATATAGGTTTAATACAAACATTATGTACGTTATCAGTCCATTACAAGAAAGATTCCCACTTTTGTAGATATTTTGCTTTGTGAATGGACCGGCGTGTCCAGTGTGTATGGAGGCAGGTTTTATACTTTTCTATTTAAAGGGTTGACTGATTACAAATTAAAACCAGGTAAATCCGCGCCTCATTAGCCATATTTTCTTCTAAAAACTATTAATAGATTCAAGTTACTCACTGTTGCAACTTGTTCGTCAGCGTAAATTCATTATCAAAAATTCAAAACCACGTTGACGAATTTCTATAGTACCTAAAAAGTATGATGTACTTTACTGCCTTGACCTCAAACTAGGCAGCCGAATCGAAAATAAAAATTGAATGAATGGATTTGTATTCACATTTATGTCACAATAGGCGGATATTTGAATTTAATTATAATTCAAATATCCGCCTATTGTGACATTCTTATTTTTTATAAATACCGACTATATTATGGCATAGTCCAGCTGCTCTGGTTAAGACAAAATAATGTTGACTTTGACGATGAGTTATTTTAGCAGAACTAAAATCAGAATCCAAATAGCAGAACAAACTATGATGTTCATTGCGATGTCAAAAACTCGTTGTAACGCTCTAGTAACCTATTCTGTTCAAGAATGATTATATCAACCCGGAATTAATTAATAAATAAATTCTTATCTTATATACATTGATTTACCTGTTTTTTAAAGAGCAAATTGCTCAATCTATAATCGCCGTGCACTAGCACGACCTTCTTCACTGGTTTCGCGTAATCGTTCATCGTGTTCTCATCGTACATTATCTTCCTCACTCTTTCTCTTTTCTCTTCTTCGATCACCGCTACCGAGTTCTCCACTAACTTGACCCATAACTCCTTCAGGTTCTCAGCCTCCGTATTCATTTTTGACTCCATCTCTTTGGCGACCCTCTTGAACTCCTCCGGTTGCTCCTTCTCGTAGGCAAAAGACAGCGCATGAAACCTGGCCAGCGTCTTCATCGACGTCGAAGCGTACTCCCAGTCCATAGGTCTGAATCTATCGTAAGAACTGTACCCTCGCGCGCACAAGTCCTCGGTAACCACGGTCTCGCTGCCCTGCTCCATGCTACAGCCAAAGAACTTGGGGAAGACGAACCTGTGCTCAAGAGGAACGGCATACCGCCTCTGTATATCGTCGTACACCTTTGCCAGTTTCGTGTAGACGTACCGTTCAGTGTAGTATATCCAATCGGCTTGGACATGATCTCGCGTCATCTCACCGAATGAGGCGACCTTTGCAAACAGACGCAACTCATCCCCCGCTGTGGTTACGATGACTCTGTACAAGATCGATGTGTAGTTCGCCCCACCGCTATCGAACCTCTCGACTTTTAGGTCAGAAATATCACGGCCATCTTTTTCCAATGTGTCTCTGACTACCTCACGTATCACGTCCGCCATCATCGATGTCTCGTTAGTCATTGAATCCACGGCAGGTATTTAAGCGGTTATCGCTTCATCACGTAAGCCTGAGACCGTTCATCGCCTTTAAGTAATCAAAATAATAAGAACCGATAAACTTTGAACAATACTGCCACCGTAATACTTATAATAAGAGTATAATATGCACAATAATGGTGCCATTAACATCAAGTGAACCTTCTGCTGCTTGGCAACTTTTCACATAAAAAAAAATTATGCAGCACCAAACGCCAAAGGATCAAAATTGTTTTTCTGGAAAAAGAGAAAACTAACAAGTGAAAAAGTAAAAAAATCCATTTATAAAAATCCATTACCTTCAGTAAACACCACCTTCTCTAATCCTCTCACTTTCACATGTGTAAAAGCAGATATAATCCTTGTACAAAAAAACAATAAAGTCTATTCTGTAAACTCTCAAAAGAATCTGTATTCAACTAAAACACTTAATTTTTATTGACCTTGAAATAAGATTTCACAAAAATTTTTCTGGACATCTCTGATTCTTAGGTCAATTATTAATTTCAGAATACATCCTAGCAACATGACCTGTTTGACGCTATTTTAGCGATTACTACCTTATATCATCATTTATAATCTATGGATCGTTATGAATTATTTAAACTCATTTATTTTGTTAATAAATTGTAGGTAATCGCTTCAATTTTAGTATCTATGTTTCGTTATGATTAATCAAAACACGACAGCTCACATATTTAATTTACTATCGTAATCGGACCAATTAAGTTATCTTATCCGTTTACTTATCCGTATTCGTTTCATCACCTAAAAGGGAAAAAGTTCATAGATTAAAATGATATATACTGTTTATTACATATGACTCAACTTTGTTATTAACAATTTAACTTGACTATGTCGATAAGAATTTCGTCTATTTTTTTCGACGTTACAATAGCTTCCGACAAAGTCTGCTACAACGGCTTGTTCTTCAAGATGTTCAACTTGCCAGACCGGCTCGTGCACACCATCCGAGCTTTCCTGTCGAATAGTTCTTTTCGATATTGAGTAGAGGGCACTCTCTCTACAAGTTGCCTCTCACGGCGGGGGTTCCCCAAGGCTCCTGCTTCTCCTACGTTCGTCTGAGACCGGCTCTACCACATAAATAACGGGTGAAGCGAAAGGGTCTTAAGGTGCAAACTATTATTGAATAAGGCTTGCATGTGCCCTAATATGTCCTTCGCATGCACGACCTTTGCCCACAGCAACCCTTCTCGCTTGCACAAGCTGCAGTTTAAAAGTAGTATACAACAAATTCATCCGCCGTCGACGTCGACTTGCAGTCTGCCGAAAAATTGCGGACATTTCAAAGATCTCACTAAACAGATAATCGATGGAACCGAGCATCATCCGAACCCTCTGGTGGTAAGCGCAGCAAATTACCAACCCGACATTGACGCGAATGTTAATACGCGTCGTCCGCGTCGACACGGCGGAGGAAGGGGGCTTAAGTACGTCGGATCCAAAACCAGGGGTTCCTCCAGACAACACATGGTTCGTGCTCAAACACAATAACCCTTCTTCGCGGTGCTCGCTCAGAGGCGTCAAACGAGGCGCGTTGTCATACCGCCGAACGGGGAACCACCCGCCCTGACCCTACGCGCGCAGCACGACTCATCACACACAATGCACTAACATAATTTTATACAGTACATCCATACAGTATGGGTCAGCGCATTCAACGCGAATTCGAGGTCCCACATTCGCGGTCTGTTCTTTTTCGAATCATTAGGTCGTGTTGTCATTGTCATGTGATTATGTGTTATGTATGACGAGTATACAAGCGAACGTATCCTCGCTGCGTGATTACTTATTTTGGTTTTATTTTATTTTATTCGGTACACGAAAAGCAAGCACATATAAACATTACAATAAAGTTAAATGATGTAAACGATTATATTATACTGTCAAAAATATGCATACACAATATGCTACGTTGTCATCGAAACAATGTTTGATCATTAATTTACACTAGATTAAAAAAACTGCTAAAAATAAAATTAAAAAGTTATAAAAATAAAATAAGAAAAGAATAAAAGCACATTATGGGCAGGTGATACTTTGTTTGAATGTACTCAGGTTTTGGTAGAATATATCTATCGAATGATAAAAACTGATTATAGGTATAAACTTTTATTTTGTAGACAATGTTTTTGCTAATGGATTGTTTTTGTTAACACGTGTTAATAAAGATGAACAATCGTCGTAAACAAATATTACTCGAGAATAGGCGATAGCGCGGCGCTGGAACATCTCGGATAGGCATTTTGCTGGACGCGTTATTTAAACAGGACAATGAATTTGTATTTCAAATTACAGTAAATTCTTTATCACTTTATATATACTATTTTAGATAAAATTATATATACAACCACTTGCATAACGGTTATCAATGTTTGCAATTTGATAAATTGCCTAAGGTTGAAATTGTCATTTAAAGTCGTTCCGTTCCGTTCCGTAGGCGGCAGCGCGGCGCCTCGTCGAGACGTTCCGGCGAAGAGTTCGTTACGGCGGTAGGGCCACGCAGCAGCCTCGGCTGTTGCACGAATGGGCAGGCTCGTCCGGGTAAGTACCACGACCTCACAGAAGACCGGCGTAAAGTCGAAGTATATAATACTTTCGCGTTTCGTCTGGTGAGTGAGGTAGCCGGAGCCCAATTTCCAAAAAGTTTGTCAACGCATCTGCATACCCTCGGGTATAGCACACTAGTAAATGCCCATGGGCGGCGGTCACTTAACATCAGGTGAACCGTCTGCTCGTTTGGCAACTTTTCACTTAAAAAAAATGTACTATTCGTATGTAACCGTTAGGGGCTTTTCTTCCGATTCTGTTGACCGTACAGATGGATCCCTAAGGGCTAAACTCTAAAATCAGACATTAGATGACTTTCTGCTTTATCTATACAAAGAGATATTGGACCAAAGTTTTTGACGGTATGCCTAGTGATAAGTCGGCGCCAAAATAGTTTATGCGATAAAATAATTGACAAAACTAACATAAACAATCTTTACGTTGTCCTGATTTCGAAACTCATCACATTCCACAAAAGAATAGACTGGACAAGGTAAGACAAATGCGTGAAACCAGTACGTTGAGAAAGATACTGGTGAAGACAACTGTGAGTCGAGCGAAGATTTTTATGATGGAATGTACAAATATTGAAAGTGAGGAGGTAAGTAAGACGGAGTAGAAGAAGAATCTAAAAAAGAATAAAGAGTGCCTAATCCTCTATTTATTGATTTATTTATTTATATTTTATGCACACAAAATATATTATATCATGCATTCTTTTGAAGAAATTGGAATATTATGGTATTTGCAAATCTGTTATTGACTTTGGTTTCTCGTTATCGCCTGTTTCTTCTCCGTTAGAGGAACCTCATTACGAAACGGTGGTAGATTAAATAAATGACTATCGATAGATGAAATGTATATTTCTTATTTGATTTGATTTGACTTTCGTATCTTGTTGTCTCAGAAACCAGAAATCTGTATTGATGATAAAATTCTACCCCTTGAGGATTCAACACCATTTCTTGGATTTTGCATAGACTGCAAGTTGCAATGGGGAGTTCATATAGATAAATTAGTTAAGAAGTTGAGCACTGCCGTCTTTGCCATACGCAAGATCAGACAACTTGGTTTATTACGCTTATTTTACAGCATTATTTGATATGGTGTTATGCTTTGGGGTACCGCCTCCGGTTCAGACACGATATTTGTATTGGAGCAAGCGTTAGAGTCTACATGACTCACTACAGCATCTTTTTAATCAAAAGAAACGTTTCAATGCTCCCGTCGCTACACATACTCAAGAAAATCATGTGTGTACGAAATAATATTGTTATAATTATGGCACATATTTAATATAATTAATAACTTATCAATAATTTATTAGTACAGTTTGTTGCGACTTATTTAAAAGTTGTTGGTTTGATACCTATTGCGTCGTGATATTTCCTACACTTTAAAATGGGGGGGTAGTTGGTATTGGTTTTTGAGGGGTATAAATTCAACTCTCACAAGGGTTAGTTTTTGGTTATCGATAGTTAAGGGCTGTTGCTGTGTCGGAAAAACTAAGTGCTATTGTTATCCAATTATTGAGTCATCGTTGAGTTATAGTTGTATAAGTCGGTAAAAGCTGTATTTTATAACTTGCCTCTAATAAACTCTGTTGGAAAAGCTAAGTATTTTTGTTACTCAATTGAGTCATTGAGTTTTAGTTATACAAATCGGTAAAGGCTATGTTTTATATTATGTCTCTAATAATTTACACCTTCACAAACGACAACGACGGCCTAACCGTTAGGGAATGTGGCAATGGCAGTCTGTGTGGGAGGCCTTTTCTTTATTGCCTCATCTTTAATTTTTTTCAATTTTAGAGTATAGTTTTAGTACACTAAACCTACTCGAGTACATATTGAGATAAAATAATTAATTCCAATCGAGATAAAATAGTTAATTCCAATCACATTCGTTATTTTTTATCGTTGATTATATATACAAACACTTGCGTTACGGTTATCAAGGTTTTCAATTTGATAACTCTTACTTTGTAACATAACAATTATAACAATTACATCTGGATCATTTAAGACAACACAGATCTAATCAATCATAACTGAAGTACGTGAAACACAGTTAATTAGTTCTTTGATATTTTTCTTTTAAGTATAAAGTGTTTTTCAAACAGTGATTCATAAATTAAACCCATCATTTGTCATGATTGACGTATGAACACGAAAAAAAAATCATGTGTCATTTAAAAAAAACGTGTAGTGAATATCTAGGCAAACTGTCACTACGTTCATTTTTAACGGATTTTGCAATCTTTATCTACAAATAATCATATTAATATGACGTAATTGCATGAAATCATGTTCTTAATTCATACGAAGCAGTCTTCAAATGTGTCATATAAATTTTTGCCCACGGTGGCGGTGCTGACATTCGAAGTTTTAATACGAGCATTAATTTTGACTTACATGTAAAATGTTACAATTAAGTTAACATTGCGTTATAAAATGATTTTATATTTTTTATCGTCTTTATAACTATGGTGCATTGTAACATTACAGCATACATAACGAAATAGGACAGTCAACAGTGTTTAAATTCGATTATTATTTGCAACCGTGTGTACAAGAAAATTAAACTATTGATACGCTTAGATACGGCTAATTATAACATAAGAACGTCCTTCACAATCTATCGTGTTATCATACGAGCCACAAAATGATATTATTCATGAGCGGAAATTTATTAAAGTAAAACTGATAACGATATAATGTATTGACATGAATAGATACGTTGTAATGTTATCATAATTATAAGAAGCAATGACGATGTTATTGGGACCGAAAATAAATATTCAAAAATTGGTGTCCTCAAATAAAACATTCTGGTGTCAAAAAGTATGTGTGTAGTTATCTACGCACGTTATAAGTTATACTTCTTTAGCGTAGCAAAAGAAAAAATAGCTAAAAAGAAATTCATCCCCAGTGCCAGAACTCCTTGTTTGTGAAAAAGGCGTTAAATGCAATTAATAACGGTTTAATTGAATAATATTGAATCATAGGTAGGTACATACATACATGTCAAAAAGATGTTATTGGTTACCACGGTAACAGCGTGAAGTTGGTGGCTTCGGCTTTGCAGACAACTTCATTATGTCAAAATTTAACCCTATTCTTTTTTTCCTAACACGCCGAAAGAAGTATCATAATCATCTTCATGTTTGAACTGTGGTTAAGCAGTGTAATTTCCATAAAATATTTTTTTTAAAAGATTAACAAGATGATTTAAACCATTAAGAATAATATGTTTACCTAAACCTATAATTCACGTTTGCCACGATTGTGCTATTATTATAAAAGTATCACCCTATACATGTCCCACTGCTGGGCAAAGGCCTACTTTGTAAAGAGGGCATAGTCCACCACGCGGCCCGGTAGAATATCATAATGATCAATAGGCTGAAGGCGTAACATTCAGACAGAAAGACAGATATACATAAAATATGTCCATAGATTATAGCCTATGTCTTATTCTGATGTATAAACTATATTATTGTAAAGTTTCATTAGAATCCGTTCTATAGTATTGGTTGGGTTTATAGATAAAAAATAAACATATATATAAATATAAATATTGTATTTAATACATATATAAATAGGACCCAACCAGACAGAAACCCTAGGCAGGGGAGACCAAACGGCCAAGGGTTAGGGTAAAAGGGAGAGAAACCGGCGGACGATGCGGGCGGTATCGAGGAGCACCGCCTTCTGCATTAGAGCTTGGAGCGTTCCGGAGTCCCAGTCGCCTCAGATGTCCGGAGAGGCTAACTGGGAACAACCCATTCGCAGACACGACTATCGGGATAATTTCGGTCGGCACACAACCTTCACAGATACTTCGTCTTCTTATCTGTTTCGGCTTTCACGAGGTTTTCGTCATATGAAATGGTAATGTCGACCAAAAATACCCGCGACTGTGCCCGGTCCATCAACACGATATCCGGTTTATTCGAGAGAATCATCCTGTCCGTGATGATGGGCCGGTCCCAATAGAGCCTGGTGGGGTCATCATCGAGCACGGCCTCCTGATTGTACTTGTAGTACGACAGTTTCCGATCTACGAGACCGTATTTCAGAGCGAGCTCCTGGTGTAGGATTCTGGCTACTAGGTTGTGTCTATGCAGATACTCAGAGTTAGAAAGCATGGAACAACCGGAGATAACATGACGAAGCGACTCCGCGGGATAGCGACAAGCTCGACAGATGTCAACGGTGCCATCCCCTAGGATGTATTTCCGATAGTTGTTCGTCTTAATAACCTGATCCTGTATCGCACAGACAAAACCTTCGGTTTCCCAAAAGAGGTCCCCGAGCGTAGCCAATTAAGGGAGGCAGCAGTATCTACGAAAGGCTCGTGCAGAGCCTTGTAGAACCTCCCGTGGAGCTCTTTCTCCTTCCATACGGTCTCTCGGTCGGAAACGCTCAGTACTCCCGGCTCCTGCCATTGCTCATTGGCTAAGGATAGAGTGCGCATGCGATTGTGCATGGTGAGGGCGCTTAAAAAGCCCCTCCTGCCATGATTCCACGGCAGGTACAGCCTCATCATTCACGATCTCGGTAGATGCGACCTTACCCCTTTCGACATGGAGGTCCGCGCACGTATCCGTACCAATTTTGATAGAATTGGTGAAGTCACTTGTGACTTTAAGCAATTCCATCAAATGGGAGCGATTGGAGGCGAATAATTTGAGGTCATCCATGTAGAAAAGGTCCTCCCTCCTCTCCGAAGCTGAAATCCTCCGCCCGAGCCCTCCAGTAACACGCTGAGAGGGTTCAGGGAGAGGCAAAACCATATTGGGCTCAAACAGTTGCCCTGGAAAATACCCCGTCGTATCCTTATCCGGTATTCCGCAGCCGTCATCCGCTCGCCTAGATGACAAACGATCGTACTCCATTGCCCCATACAGTGCCCGAGGAAGTCTCATACTGTACAGTCTATTTTGTACAGTTCGAGGACCCTCTTTAGCCATGTATGGGGCACCGAGTCGAACGCCTTTCTGTAGTCTATCCAGGCGGCGGAGAAGTTCCGACGGTTGCGTTTAACCATTTTGCCAATGACTGCGTCGATGAGAAGCGGTTCCTTGCTTCCACGACCGCCGCCCCACATCCATTCTGAACACGAGACATAATCCGATTCATATTAATATGTCGGGTGATTCTCATGCTCAGAATAGATGTCAGTGTCTTATAGATGGTGGGTAGACACGTAAAGGGGTGGTACTTACTCGAGTCTGTGGTAGGATGAACTTTAGGAACCAAATGAGTGACCCCAGTAGTAAAGAGTATCGGGAGCTACCTCTGGTCGAGAACCATTATATTTTAGGGCGTCATTTAACGGAAGACGCCCACAGACCACCACCGTTTTCAATAGTGTGGCCATACGCACAGACGGGCCTATGCACCCTAATCTCTTGGCAAGGCGCTGATTGATTGCGCCGACGTAACAGTTCTATCACTTAAACTTACTTAGTCATCACTTCCCTACTCCGATAATTTATATTATTATTATATTTTAGGTAGGCAGACTTTTAAAATATTTGACTCATTCAAATTTACACTAGCCTTAAGCAGCATAGACTATACTTTATTAATAAAAAAATTTCTGTTAAATTATCTAACACAAATATTTACTTAGGAAGAAAGTGACGATTTAATACACAGTGCTGAAGCATGTCTAAAACTGCGGTTACGGCAGTCTAAAATATAATAATCATAGCCTAGAATAAATGGAGGAATACTATGATTAGTATTTTCCAGTTTCATACTGTAGTAGTTTAATTACTTTAATCTACTTCTTTTCGTATTCAAACATAAAATTAGTAACCTCTACAAACCAGATCTATTAGAGCTTATCAGTTATCATGACAAAAGCAAAAACTTTTATCTATACCTAAACGATTTATACAAAGCACAATCTCTATATACGAGCAGATTGTAGTCGACAAAAATACGGTCGGATTTATTGGGGCCTCCATCAAGCCCAGTGCGTTCTCAGTACCGCAATATGTCGAACGCGGAGCGAGCACTGCGCGGCGTTCTGCAGACGATATCAAAGGAGTACGGTTACTGCGATGAATACACAACACTAGAGCAGTTGTCGACGGGCGGTGCCAACTACACGTCCCAACTGTACTACATCACGCTGTCAGCGCCCGGCAAGGATGACCTCAGGCTGTTCGCCAAGGTCGCCACCGTCAGCGAGAGCGTGCGAGCCCAAATGCCCTTTAGAATATACGAAACAGAGACGTTCTTCTACACCCAACTGCTTAGGAAATACCAGCAGTTGGAGGAGCGGCACAACGTACCCCACCAACATAGGCTGGCCACAGCGAAGTACTACGGCAGTTGCGAGGAGTACCTGAATGAGGTGCTCGTGCTGGAGGATCTGTCGTCCAAAGGATTCGAGACGCATGACAGGCTGAAGAGCTACGAATGGGAGTACGCGGCGAAGTCCGTACGGGAGATGGCTAAATTGCACGCGTTGTCTATTGCGCTATTCACCGAGGAGCCTGAAGAGGTTGACAAGATTTCGGAGACACTAAAGATAAGCATGGACATGGAACAAATGAAGCAGATGTTGAAGAGCATGGCCGAATCCGTTTTCGTTGTGGTTAAAGAAGAGAACAAAGCTCGGCTGCAGTCCTACCTGAACAGTTTGGAGGACATGAAAGCCGATCATTACTTCAAAGTGAGGCGGGTGCCCGTCATTGCCCACGGTGACTTTAGACCGAGCAACTTGATGCATAAGAACCTTGAGGTAAGATTGAGAAAATAATTAAAGATATAAGCTTAAGCAATTTATTTAATTATATATTTATTCGGGAAAACAACAGCATATCATAATTATAATAGTTCTTCCAGATTATCACATCTTATTGAAAGCCAATTACAGTTTTCCACTATATAAATACATATAATAATGAAGGTAACACATGTTCAAAAATCAATTGATTTAAAAAGGTAAACAGAAAAAAAAATGGCAAAACTTAACTAAAAATATACTAATGCATTATTTACTAAAACAAAAAGAGAAATTAAAGAAGGGAACGGCTCGAGTGCAAATGTGTGTGCGTGTGTGTGCGTGCGCGCCATCGCGTGCGTGTGTGTGTGTGTGTTTGTGTATGTGCGCGCGTGCGTATTGTTATATTATGTTTAGATCTTCCTTTATTGACTTTTTAAATGCATTCTATGGCAGAAAAAATATGTCTAAATGTGAATATTTGGTGTTGTATGTATGCGAGATACGATTCAGAACAGAGTTTCCTGCAAAACGAGTATGTACTAGTGGCGTATAAAACAAACGGTAGCTTGTATGACGAGTGCGCTTGATAGGCACATTAAGCGAAAGCTCGGCTAACAGATCTGGAGAGTAGGGAATGCAGAAACATCATATCTATCAATTCGCGTCTTTGTTTGAGTTGTGGTAGTTTATAGTATCTGCAGTCCTCTTCGTAGCTATCCGAAATACGACAATTTTTAAAATTAAGATGTCTTATAAATTTCTTTTGGATGTTTACAATGTCATTAATGTAGGTGTCATATTGCGAGGACCAAATACTGCTTGAATATTCTAAAGCACTTCGTACGAAACTATAGTATAAAACCTTCAAGCAACATGTTGACTTAAACGGTTGACCTGTTCTTATAATGAAACCTAACAATTTGTAAGATTTGTTTACAATGTAATTAATGTGGTCAGACATTATAAATTAACTATAACTAAGATTTTTGATAAATAACATTTTTAACCAACGATTGATCGTCCAAATTGACAGATTACTTAATAAAACTTTTGACAGCTCGTTGACCACCGAAAAGCGCTTTCAGAAACTCGATTTTCTGTTGATTGTCCGTTAATCAGTGACTAATTGCAAATCAAAATCAATGTTGTTTAAGACGTTCTAGCAACTCAGATTATGTTAAACAACGATTGACAAGAGATTTATCGTAAATTAAAATTGATTGCGCTTTCGGAAACTGGGTGTTAGTCTGTCCCGTGGCCATGAACGCTGGAAATGGTTCGAAACGTCGGGAAGTTCAAATCAAATTAAAACGCGATAAAAGTATACTAATTTCATTTAATATGTCAATAAGGCCATATGTTATTGTATTGTTCCGTGATAATAAATACTAATGAAGCGTCGAAATATTTTAAACGCAAAAAAAACCGTAAATCAGTTTCAGTTCTCAATGTCACAATTCGCGTAAAAAAATTCTTACTTCTTTTCCAGGATGGTGGAGTCGAAGTTGTCGCCCAGGATTACCAGACGCTGTGCGTGTCGAACCCGATCTGCGATTTGTTTTACTTCATCTTCAGCGGATCCGACGAGGAGTTCCGGGCGAAGCACTACCACCAACTCCTGGATCATTACTATAAGGAGTTGTGCAACGCCCTCGCAAGGCTAGGTGTTAATGCTGATAGCATCTATTCCAGAGAGGACTTCGACTATGAGATAAAGGAGGTAAACTTGAGTTTCTTTTAAAAACAAAAGCTTCCGGATCATCTCCTCCTTTTGTCTACAATCATTTAATGTTTGTAGTATATATAGATTAAAAAATATGATGAAAATTCACTTCATATTGTTACGTGTAAGGGTTCGAAGGATTTGGAGAGAAAGACCAGCCTACTCTTTTGAGGACTTTATTCACTAGCACTAGGTTTAACACAAAGCCTAAACAGCAAGTCTAAACGCTAAGCACTAACGATGTCCTAGGTCGTAGCCAAGTTGTAGGTTTCGCTGGTATCAAGTGTATCAAGCGTATGATGGCTCAAACTGAACTGAACTGGCTCGCCTCTCTGCGGCTTTTTATATGGGCCGAGACGACAAGGTTTTCGAGACTATAGTTCTATATAGTTCCACAGTAGTTCCTCTAACGCCATCTAGTATTGAGTAGGGGGTTTGTTAGGCAGCTATTAGACATGGACACTGCCAGACTTGTTTACATCAGTTATTTCCACAGCATCTTGTCTTACGGCATTTTGTTGTGGGGTAGTACATCTGATATAAATTCTGTATTTATTCTTCAAAAAAGAGCTGTCCGAGCAATCTATAACATCGGAGACCGGAATACACTCAGAGACCTTTTTAAAGAGATTAATATACTCACTGTTGCGTCTCAATATATTTATTGTATTATTTTGTATGTTAAATATAATATTAATAATTATCTAAAGAATAGTGACAGACATAAATTAAATACTAGAAATAAGGACAAACTAACGACGCCATTTTTTCGTCTACAAAAAGTAAACAGGTCGTTCATGGGGCAAAGTGTGCGCATGTATAATAAAATCCCACAGTTGATATTAAGTCTGCCACTTGATGAATTTAAACGAAAAGTTAAAAGTAAACTTATGGCTAAAGCATATTATACTATTGCTGAATATCTTGACGACGCCAATGTGTGGGGTAAATACTGTTGATACTCACGTAGGCTAAAACAAGACTATTATAAATTGTAAATTGACCTTTTAAAAAAGAGCAACTGTTGAGTTTCTTCTCAACAGAAACTGCTTTTCGAACCGGTGGTAACTTACGAACATATTAATTTCCTTGTAAAATTTCGACGTTTCATAAGAACGCGCAAGCGTCTATTTGAATAAAGATATTTTATTATTATTATTTACTGGTTTATTTACTGACGCTAGATGGCGCTAGTTTCTTTGTTCTTTGTATGTTCGTCACAATATTAAAGCAACTCAAGCAAGAGCTTTGTTTACAAGAGTAGTAAAATTACGAAGAAAATAAACTAAGATTTATTTTTAACTAGATATTATCCTGAGATAGTATTTTTATTTTATTTATCAAACAGCAGGAAAAAGTCACAACTGTATGCAAGATGACTCATAAGTTCTAAGTTAATAAGTGGGAACTAGTCGCGGGGCAAGATGATACAGAGCTTACGGTTATTTTTACGCAGTTGGTAATGGTCGTGTACCATTTTTTTATTTGTTTGTCACTATTCTTTCTCACACTTCACTCTTCTCTAAAGCAACAGCTATAATTAGTCGTCTGACATCGCCAAA